AATATCACAATATCGCGGTGTTTTTTCATGTCTGTGTCGTCAACATTTTAATTTTTTGAGCACTCCGCTCTTTCTGACTGTAAACAAAACCATTCTCCACCTCCCCAACCTGATTGGTTGTGAGGCAGACGCTGCTCCCCCGTGTTGTTCGGAGGAGCCCAAACAAAGTTAGCGTGCTACAATATCGGACAGTAGAAACCAACCAGAAAGTTTGGAAAATTGTCTGAATCGTCCTTTGACCTGACACAAGCAAGAAAACAAAGTAAATACCGGAGACTCTGGAGGAATAACGGGCGCTTAAAACGGAGGTAGACCGGACAAGAGCTAAAAAGACGGGTCAACATAAACGATGGGGAACGCTTGGGGATCTTGGTGACCCTGTAACCTTTCTGCTGGGCAGGTAAACCGCTTTAACAAAGTAAGACAAGTGTCTGTAACAGAAGTGTTTCTTGTCAAACGGACCTGCTGTAGCGTGTTGTAGCGCCCCTAAACTGTTGACCTCGGGTCCTGGACTATGTCACTTTATCCTAGTTGTAGAAGTCCTGCAAACATTGTGTTTGCTGGTAGTCTGTTGGCATCTACAGTAGCACCAATGCTTTTTACTCTCACCTTGACTGGGCCCCATTTGTAATTATCATAAGTATTTATCTGCATTATATCTGAATTTAATTGGAACGATACGAGCGAGCAGGAGCGTCTGTTTGTGGGCGGGGCTTGAGGGGAGAGGAGGAGCTGAGGGGAAAACTGGTTGGAGGGGAAGAGTTTACATTCAAGATTTCTCCTAAAAACTGGAACTTCCTCAGATCCTGCCTACCCCACCTTCATGATGATGTTTAACAACAAAAATCTCTCCATTCTAAGCTGAGCACAGAGTCATGACACAAAAATATCTGAGAAGCTCCTTGTAGAAGTGCTCAGGCCCATCATCCATTTCTCATTTTGCATCTATCAACGACCAACTCACACACACCTTTGTCAGATTCACTTGTTTTACTTCCTAACACTTATTTTGCCCTCAGCAAAATAATCAGGATCATTAGGCAACTTAGGTGTGTTCAAAGTTAATTACAGAGGCGATTAATAAAGTCAACAATAAAAACCGAGTCACCCGATTGAGCAAAGCATGTTGCCTGTCTATTAAACATTGCTAAGCAGCCTTTAAACACTCAGTCCATCACATAAGCACACTTAATAAACACTTTTAACACCCCTGAGAGTGTTTTTTTCTCTGTGTGATTACATGTCCACTGAGTATCCCATCAGGGAGTGGTGGAAGGAATTAGTTTTTACTTTTTCTACAGCGCATCAGGGCTCTTCTGCCAAAGCTTTTAACACCGTCCCCAGCCGTGGAGTGAAACCAAAACACATTACCCTGCTAACCAGGGGCCCTCAGATGGAGTTAGGCTTAAATCCCAGTGGAAGCGAACGGCGCTGATTAAATGTTGCCGTCCTAATTGCGAGAGAGGCGAGCTAATTTACGATGAATCCCTGATCTTTTCCTGCTGCTGCACGAAAGGAAGTCATTAATAAACTGTGAGTGTTCAATTAGAAGTTATGATGGGGGGGTTCTTTCAGTGGGAGAACTCATGAGAAGTACTTAAATTTAGTGGGAATTAATAAGGGATGGAGCTTTTTCAGTGAAACACATACCTTAAATATTTCAGATTTTATCTTTTTGTCATCTAAATGAGCAAAAAATTGATATTTTTTGTGGGAATGAGAGAGCCAGCGTTATTAGGTGTACTGTGGGGACCGTCTTTACCTCAATGCATCTGGTCTATCAGTGTTCCTGTGGCACCATCTTCAGGACACAGAGGAAACATCAACAACACCTCCAGCTGGGCCCCAGTGCAGAGGTCAGAGGTCTGTTCCCTTACTGTAAACCTGCATATGGAAGAAAAACAAGTGAGTTATAAACACCTCAATAACACAACCAGACAACATACAAAAGAATAGGCACTGTTTTAATTTAATAAACAACACAGACTTCATTGTTTCTTGTCATGTTTTAATATGTTATAACAGGAGTGTCAAACTCAACCACAGCAAGGGACATAATCTGGATTTAGGTCTAACTTGAGGGCCAAACAGGGTCAACATTTAACCAAAACTATGAACCTCCTTTTCAAAAAAATACGCAAAACAAAAACAGCAATGATTATAAATCATTTTGAAATTCAAAAAAGATAAAAAGAAAAGTTTAAAGGCAATCTGAGATAGAAAAAGGTTAATTTTGTATTCTATTTTTATTTATTAGTTCAAAAGATCAGAGCATGACATTAAGAATGCTTTTAAGGAGCAAATATACGAGTAGAACATTGAAATCAGGAAAAAAGGTCAAAATGTGACTTAAAAATTAAAATTGGAATCCAAAGTATAAAAATGACACAAGTCTAAATACAAAGTTTAACAAAATCAAAGCATGAAATAAAAAATACAATCATGTTTGTTTGTAATCTTGAAATGCAAAATTGAAAACGTGAAATTAAACATCAAATATTCTTTCCCCCACATTCTTGACTGTTTATCAAATCTTCCTTACTCTTTAATTTCCCAAATTTTCATGGTTTATTAAGGACATTTTAAATAATGGGGCTAAAGTTTACATTATTATACTGGAGGAAATCTGCAGACCTCATACTGGTGGGCCAATAATAATACAAATATGATATGATCTTGTGGGCCAGATATAATTGTTTCACGGGCCAGATTTGGCCCCCGGGCCTTGAGTTTGACACCTGTGTGTTACAAAGTTAACCTGAGCCGTATAAATATTTACATTGAAGGTGGACTTGAGGAGCTTTGTTTTATGAATGATAAATTCAACAGCCGTTATTCAAAGTTTTGAGTTTGCTTCTTAAATTTGTTCGTTTTTTTGAACATTTGTTCACATTTACCGGTTACCTTGTTTCCGACGACGACGCTCACGTCAGTCAGGTAGCTTTAGCTTTAGCTCAAAAGGCGTTCGACAGTTTTGCTTGGATATAGCTGAAAGTTTCCCATAATACTCAGAAAAGTAGCGAAAACAGTCAGAGAGGAGTTGGATTTGACCTACCGACTTTTCTAGGTCGCTTGATATAAGACTCCCACTTTGTTAGATGATTTTGTCAACAACCGTTCGCTACCATGCTAGCTTAAGGCGATAATGAACCGACATACGGCTCGCGCTTCATTCGTCTTCTTCTACGGTGCGTTTAGTGACCTCGGGGAAGCTAGCGCATGGCGGCCATATTGCTACGGGACACTCGCCCGTTCATACAATTACAGTCTACGGTGCATGTAGCATTTAAATAGCCATAGATTGATAAATTTTAAACAGATTTTCAAACAGTTTGATTTGTAACAAACCTCAGAGATTAAGTTATGTTCCTGCGAACTCAAGAATAATTTTAACCATGGATTCTAATAAATAAACATTAAGCAGATTGGTAGAACAATAGCTATAGGCAGTTATATTGAATTATTTCTATATGAAATATTTAATCATTCCATGTTTGTTATATTAGTAATATTTCTATTATAGGGATAACTATATTAACATATAGCAATAACATATGTATATATTTATTTTCAATGTACATTTTTGCCTTATGTTGCCATTTTAATTGTTTTTAACAAACCAGACAGTTTGGAAATCATGTGCAACTTAAGTTATGTTGAATCGAAAGAGCATTTCTGCCTCTTTAACTGATGTAAAATTACTGGGTCAACTTTGTAATATGTACTTGGTCTCACTCACAGCGAGCCTGTTAGCCAAGTTAGACAGCTGATAAACACAAGCACATCCACAAAGACTGACACTTAGACAAAAGAAAGAAAGAAGGAAGAAAGAAAGAAAATAGGCTGTCATACAAGAAATTAAAATCTCGATTGTGGTCTCAGCCTTGACAACTCGTAAGTGACTCAAAGTTAGCACTTTAAGTTACAGTCTACAGTCATTGCAGCCAGTGTCACACGTCTCTTTGTCTTTTTTTACTGTATGATTGAATAACAAAATCGACACAAGCCTAAATGAGAGCATAGTCTACTCCCTGGTAAAGATTTTATAATATAAATCCACAGCAGAGGGCGTTACAGGCTTGAGCCATTTTAAAAATCACTTTTCTGGCAGTGATGCTTGATGCACTAAACGTTTTATTCTTATTTGAAGATAAGAGGTTAATGCAAAAATTTAATCTCACATATACTCCTAAATTCTTGTATGTATTTTACACCAGGAGGCATGTTGATTAGGACAGGTGGTAATGATGCTTTCTGAGAGCCACAGTTCCTCCTGCAGCTGGAGAAGCTTCATCTGTGAGATTTCTCGACAGGTGTGACAGACTCTTCGAACCGAAACCTCTTCACAAGGTTTTGAGTGTTATTTTCCAAATTTCACAGTTTTCTGTCACAGGATTCCCGAGAAATGAGTTTCCATTTCTCATTTTTGCTTTGTGTGGGTTTCTTTTCTATCTCCAGAACAACTTCTATGTTATTTCATGCTGAGGTCAGTAAGCCTACCTAAAACCTCAACAGGCTATACTCACACACCTTTTGACTATCCAATATAGAACTGTTAAATAGTTCAAATAATATTTTAAAAAATCACATTAATTCAACCTCCCAATTTTAAACTTGTTTTTCTGAGTGTTTCAAATACTGTTTATAGAAGATGGAAAATGATATCCATTAGATGTTGTGGCTCAGATTTAATGGATTAAACCAACATCCTGTCAGTGTAAATGTCTTCGGAGAAATCTCTTGGTTGACTTTGTGCTTGAAATGGTCATATCCTGTTACAGAGGAGAAATCAGTGCATTTGATATTAGCAGATATGAAGATCCATATGTGGTCTGAATACAGGAGAAAAACACAATAAGGTTGATGCCTTTTTGTACTTTGAGTTACGCTACTGCTCCTGACTCGGTCCTGCCTCTCTGAGCGGAGTCATAAAAAGCCCCGAAATAAAGACTTGAAAAGGTAGAAACCATGTTGGCCTTGGTTTGACAAAATCCACATTATTTAACACATGAAGCCCGACAGCACCACTCTTTTGTTGTTTTATTTTCTACTAAGGCAAGCTGAGCTCACAGACTCAACCTCCGCATGAAACACACAACAGTCAACACAAAAAGGTAAGAACTGATACGAAAACATCTTCAAATCACCTTAAGGCAAATATTTGTGGCTTTTAAAAGGGTGGCAATAAATTCAGGGTTGAGTTCCTTTCAGAATAAAAGAAGTGACATTGATACAAAAGGTGAGATTATGAAGCCAAACCAAACATCCTGCAGCGTATGATATTATCTCTGATATTAGGCAATGGTTTGTGGGCATGCTTTCGTCTTATGCTAGAGTACGAGAAATGATTTTAAAGAGAGGTTACGTCGACTATTTTTACTCTTTTTTTTTTTACAGTAAGAGTTGGGATTAATTATGAAAAGCAAGTAAAAAAAGAACCTACTGACCAAAACTAGTGAGCATGTCAAAATGATCACACATATAAAATATGTTTCCTCAAATATGTCAAACCAGGCACAGATTTTCTATTCGGCCTGCTGAGTTGTGTTACCCAAAACTTAACCTCCTCAAAGTCTCCTCTCTGGGAAGCGTTACACATCACAGTTTTAAACAAAACTACTGAGAAATAAGGCAAAGTGAAAGGGGGAACTGATATGAAAGAAAACATGCAGAAAATTCAGACTTTGCTAAGTAATCCAACAGTAACACAACAGTGATCTTAGGTGTAAGTTTGTGTGTTTCGGGTTGATGTGATGATTGTCGTTTCCTCTTCGGTAAATAAATAACATGCAGTCATCATGTGGAGGCAAAGGAAGATTCAGTCATACATGCAGAGTAATGTTATGATGTGTAGTCATGCCGTCGTTCACAATTCTACGATACGGTTTTTAATATTCTGCAGACTCATCACATCCAACAACATCAGTGGCAATCCCTTCATCAGAAATATAAAACAACTATGTTTAAGTAAAATAAAGTAAGACTTTGTGGATTTTGGACACTTTCTCACACTCGACAGGAGTAAAAGGCAGCAGCACAGAGTGATGGAGGGTCGAAATGCAACAACGGCAGCAGGTTTCCTCTGTTCATGAAAACAGAGAGGCTGCTTCTTCAGAGTCCTTCATGCTCTTCTCAGAATTTTCTTATAATGTAAAAGTCATTTAAAAACATAATTTTCATTACAGACAGAAGAGCTTTTCATTGAAGTTTAAGCACAGGTTTCCATTTTCTATTTTCATGTTTTTTCAGAGGCCAACTATGTAAAGATGCAGTTTTTTAAGGGCCTTGTGAGCACAGATATCAGCCAATGGATTACTTTAAATGCCATTAATCAGTCAAACTAATTATCAGTCCGTCTCAACTTAGAAGTAGAAACAAGTCAGTCTCTGTCAAAAGCTAAATAAATATTTCTCCAGGGTAACAATGCTCATGAATTGGTGCTGCTGAGCATCACAAATGAGCCTGGGAGTGAACCGCTATCTTCGCTCTGGAAAACCAATCTTGACTTATCAGGATTCGCACGACAAATCCTGCTTTGTAGTACAAGCCTCTGGTGGGTCATGCATCAGCTGTTAAAAAAGCTTTTCTGCACCTCTGTGAGCAGTGATAGCAGATAGGTGATAGACATGGATGTGGTCCTGCATGAATTGGACTGAGTGCAGGAAAATAGAGCCGTAAGTGTTTGCTGATAGACCCTGTGTCACTGAAATGTTTGGATGACAATGCGGGCAGCTGTTTGGAGTGAAGCCTTTCAGATAATAAATAATCATAATAATCTGTCACATGTCTGTTCTGTCCTGCAGGGGGTTCATTCGGGCCTGTTGCGTCTCCTGAGGCCTGACGCCACCTGCTCCGCCCCCACCTCCTCAATGTTTGTCTCACATGAGCTCTCTAATGAAGGCATCATCTCAGAGTCCTCCAATCCTTCTTCCTCCATAACCTCGTCCTCCTCCTCATCCCCATCCTCCTCTCCTTCTCCTTCAGACCTCTCTGGACTGAGCTCCTTCATTTCCTCCCCGTCTTTTACAGCTTCCTCCTCTGGATCCAAACTCTTCTTGTAGACCTTTTCAGAAGCCTCCGCTGTTTCCGCAGACGTCTGTTTGTCCACCAGAGAAGCTTCTGCAGCTGAGGCGTCTTTTGCTCCGAGAGACTCAATGAGCTCATCCAGGTTACGCCCACAGGAAGCTTTGGAAAGTCCCAAAACAAGGAATAACAGTCAACAACAAATCTGACAGACAATGAAAAGTGAAAACATTGTTAACACCCGACTAAAAACTGGGGTTACGATACGTTTGGACAACACTATCAGGCACTAAAAGGCTTACCAAAAGTCCAATTTAACCTTTACTGATTCCACTTCTTTCTATCTGAAGTATCGCCTTCATGTCACTTGTTTCCATCCCTTTTCACACAACTGTATAAAATATTACTCTATCTGCGGATATGGAAAGGGGGATAAATGCATTTGACCCATTAGACGGCTTTTAGTATGAAATATCAAATGTGGACTGATGAGTTTAATTGAGAAGGCCAGAAAGCAGTTTGATGAGCAATAAGGGAGCAGCAGAAAACAGTGACGAGAAAAACAGATTAGCAGAGAAGAGGTATGGTTCGACTGTAACTGTACTGGTGAACTCAGAGCACTGGAACACTATTTGTAAAAACAATAATTAATCATCGAAGTGTTGCAGATTTTGTTTTTTAAAATAAGAAATACTTGATTAAAAAAAAAGCCGATAATCAATAAGACTTCAGTAATGATCTGCTTTGAGGGCTGACGGTTTGGTGCAGCACAGTGTGGAGGTAGAGCTCCGGAGTGTGCAAATCTCTGTGAAGCAGCAGCAGCAGGTGGTTTTTGTTTGCTTAAAGGTATAATAGTGCAACCAGCCAGCTGCTCGTGTCTGTTTTAAAGGTAAAACTGCAACTGAGAGGACAAGCGAAAAAGACAGAAGCATGAACAATTCATGTTTTAAATGATGGCACAGTCAGAGGAGTTGCAGGCCTGAGAGGACCTGTTGATGTTGCTTTGTTGTTATACATCATTTGGGGAAATGCATGATCAATTTTTGGTGTTAAATTAAGAGAATTAAAGGTGCAGTGCAGGGATCTTTCCCCTGACAGCACACTCACAAACTTCAGAGCCCACAAACCTGTTTTTGTCTCTAAAATAAAGTTTGCAGAGCTTATTCATATCCCCTGATATTCACTTAACACAAATTAGTAGAAATCCGATAACAAGTATTCAAGAATGCTGCATAAACACTCCATAATGCATGGTAATTTGGAGTGAACAAACTTTGCTGACATAGTCTTGTTTAAAGATTTTTTCTCTTTTTAATAAAATGTTTTATTTTTGGCGGATCAGACCGACGAGTCCGTGTAAAACAGTCCATCTCCTCTTTTCTAGAAAAGCGTTCCGAAGACTCAACAGTCCTCCTTCCCCTGCTGTAACATCATGTCACTTTACATTTATATTTTGGTACAGTCATTTTAGGAACACACAGTCACTGGACTCTGCTCCAGGTTTTATTCGGATCTGTTTGCAAATTCAACCACATTTTTTAAGTTTAAAATCAAATGCAAAACTTTGTCTATGGATGTATCTGAATGTGGCTACACGGGTGGAAATTCAAATCATGTTTTTTACCTCAGCATGACATGCAACACCACTGTCACATTCACACCGTTTGCAGGCCGTGATGTGCAGAATGAGGCAAGCCTGTGTTCGCCGGTCGTGTTTTATCGAGAATTCAGCTTTAAGTTTCAGCATCAGAAAGTTGCACTAAAGTACGAAGGATGTGACGAATTTCCAGGTTGTTTGAAGGAATATTAAAAGTCTGACTATCTGACCGTTCGTTTACAAAACACACGGTCGGCTCACCGTTGGCGTTCAGGGGCGGACAGTCCATTCCTCTCTTCTTCATCAGGTAGCGGATGGTCTGAAGCTGAGACATGATCTCGTTCTTTTGCTCCTGAGCCACAGACTTCACACTAAAGGAAACACAGAAAGAAAACTTTGTATAACCAGTGACTGGTCCGAATGGTGCCATATTATACAGGCCATCAAACACAGTACACAAAAGTTTGAAATGTACAGAACATCCATTCTCTCCGAAAATATTGCAGTTTTTTTAAAAGATCATTTGGGGCTCGGTTTTATTAAGACGACGTAAGAGAGACAGGAAGCGGGGAGGGAAGATGGGAAATAAATGAAGGCCGAGGAATCAATCCTGCAACTTGTGCAGAAGTCTGTTCTATCAGCTGAGCTAAAACGGCGCCACAAAATGCTTTTTTTCCTAAGGAGCTACAAAACACACCCAGAACTCAAAGGAAAGGAGTCCAGCTCTTACTATCCCGCAAACTAATCTTCAATCATTTCCGGGTGAAAGTGTTGTGTCGTTCATGAACTGAATGAACGACGTGAACTGAATCACTCTGAGACCTGATTCGTCCCTTTTTCAGTTCAGTTGAGCTCAGCCGCGAGCCTGGCGTGCCGGTCGGGAGTGGAACTGGCGCCTTTGACTCTTTGGAGAACGACACACAGCCAGCCAGCGAGCGGGCGGGCGGGCGGGCGGAGTCTCATGATTCACAAACAGCGAATGAACGAGATGTATCAGTCAGTGAACGACATGGTGAAAGAAACAAACGACTTCCGAATGACTTTATTCAGGCAGAGGAGGGAGGGCTGTAGTGTCGTTCCTGAACTGCGGAGAACCGGTTTATTCACTGAGGCTAAGATAAAACAGGTCATTATAGCGCCTTTACATTAAAACACGTCTATAAATATTCGTGTAAGAAGGATTTAATTTCAGCCGATTTAAAGAAATACAATATTTGATATCTTTATAAGTAGCTAAGTATGTTTATTTATTTTTAATCCCTCCACTTTTCTACGATATAAAAGAACGACGACTCGCGCTCGTTTAGCGGCATGCTGCTCGCTGCTGTGTTGTTTCCGCCAACAGCAACACACAGAGAGGTGAGTTTTTCAGGGCAGGGGAGTGATTCTTCCTTCAAGACTTGGCGAATGAATGACATGTGTCACGACGCTGTGACTTCAGTTCAATGAACGAACTCGCCGCTCTGTCACTCGTTGGTGTACTGCACCGGCAGGACGGGGCTCCGAAGCACTGACTGATTCAGTGAACGAATCTTTTGAACGAATCGTTTTAATGAACGGATTCTAAAGATTCAGTCAAAAGAACTGATCTTCCCATCACTGATCCTGTCTCAGGCCACACAGAGAAAAAATGATGAGGACAAAAGGGGACAGGGAAGTGAGGATCATATTTACACAAAACACAGAGATGTGGCGTCAATCAAACAGTTCATGTCCACAGTTTGTCTCTGTGTGTAAGACTTCATCATGACTCACCAGTTAGTGAGCGGGTCCAGCTGCGTGAGGATGGAGTTGAGCATCCTCTCCGTCTGAGCTAACCTTTGTTCCAGCTCGTTCAACTGGTTTTCTGCACAAAACAAACACACACACACACACACACACACACACACACAGGGACAGCATGTCTGAAACACTCACGACAACCTAGTTTGTGTTTGACCAGAGATAACACACACATGCAAATAGACGACTCAAGTTACACACACCTGCCTCCACTGATTTTTTAGCTCCTTTCGCAAATTTGTCTTTCTGCACCTGGTCATCTGACGACTTGATCTGCAGGAAGAGTAAACAGACATTTTCACACTCACTGTCAGCCTTAAGAACGTCTGATTCTCTGTGTAATTTGGTGTTTTGAGGATCTAAATACCTTCAAAAACTTGTACGCCGCGAACACTCCAACCCCGATGGCATAGAGCGGCATCAGCGTAAAAACGTAGCCTTTGTTGTTGCTGGATTTGTACTTGTCCGACTTCAGCTCCTGCTCCATCAGCTTCTTCATCTGCTGCATGTTCTCAGGGGTTTGAGGAGAGCCAGGGCTGTTCATGTTGATGGGCTGACCTCTCACGGCGCCCGGTCCTGGACCTGCTTTAAAAACACAACACCGTGACAGAGCAGATGGTGAGGGAATTGATGCCCATCTCCTAAATATTTGGTTACATGATCAATTTCTTTGACAATTTCCAAGAAACAGAGGGTGGCTCAACTTACCCCACTCTCCATCTATCAGTAATTATACTTAATAAAACTGACAGCTGAAACTTGTCATATCAGGTAAATACGCATTAAATAAAATAATAAAAGTAATGCAGATAATTTTCATCAATTGAGCATCTTAAGTACCGATAACGTGCGGCCGTTATAAGTGGACTTTTACTTTGAAAAACTGTGTACAGCGAAGAGACGCTCGAGGCAAAACAAACATGCGCACAGACACCGTGTAACTGTGATATTTCCGTCTTCTTTAACGACATTTTCGTACCTTTTCGGGTGTGCCGAGGGTCAAATCTCGTTTCCTTCGTCCCGGACCCTCCGCCGACCCCGAACATCTTGGGCAGAACCACGAACATGAAGAGCACGGCCGTGAAAGCCAGGGCGACCTGATGAGACGTTGACAGAACCATCTTCACCCGCGCGAGACAACCGCCAAAGAAGACCGGATCCGGTTAATCGAATACGCGAAAGGTTTTACTAAATCAACACCACGACACGGGCAGGGAGCGTCAGAAAGTAAGGTAATTCCACTCAGAGTAAAATCCCTAAATTCAGTCTTCCCCCTGAACAGCTGTGCAGCGCTGCCATAACACGAACAGCACTTCCGGGGCGGAGCTTTTCAGAATAAAGGCGTCAGACTTTTTAGATGATTTGTATGGAAGTAAATTTGTATCAAAATTCAAATGAAAATAGATTAAAAGAAATGCACTTGCATTTTCAGAATGTACCTGCACATGACTCATAAATAAAATTAAAAGTAACTAATCCGAACCGCAGTTTTTTTTTTAAACTAATCATTCTGTAACTTAATGGTTCTTTCACACCGTGCGATTATTTCGGATGCAATATTTTTTTTTCAAATCCGTATCCTGTCAATACAAGAGTTCACATCAGTGATATTTTCTCATCCTGCGATATTGCGGCATTTATTTTTTTACTTTCATCTGTGCTAACATAAGCTAAAGATTGTTACCATGGTTTCATGTGCTTATTTTATCGCCTCTAATTGGCTATAAGTGCTGACTGTTTGGCTTCGGCGTATGATGATGTTTCCAGCTTTTCTAGCAGTCCATTCAATTATTCCATTCAATCTAGTAAACGAAAAACGATAAAATGAGTCAATATTTTGTTTTGTTTTCTCGTTTTTCCTTTACTAAACTGAATGGAATAATGGAATAGACGATAATACACAGACCGAAAAGTCATTTGAGTTTTAATTTTCAAAATATGCCCCAGCAAATATGTAAAAAATTCAAATACATTTGCGGTATGGCTTTTTCGTTCCAAAGTCAAAACTTCATAATTTGACTCAGAAATGAAATTAAGAATAAATAATACAAACTGCATTTTCATTTTCTTATTTGAGCTGCACATTTCGTAACACAATTCTAAAGAGAAACCAAACGGGCAAATGCTTTTTCATTTTCATGTCCGCCTGTCGCTATCTGAACTGCGCAAGTGCAAATTTACTTCACCTTAAAAACTGTTTTTAAACTATTTGAATTTTGAAAATAAAATCTTGAATGGCTTTTTCTTTTACATTTGAATTACATTACAGAATAATCGGTATTGAAAAAGAAAAAACAATTGCAGTTCGGATTAGTTACCTTTAATTTTATTTATGAGTCAAGAAGTGCAGGTACACTCTAATAACTGCAAGTGCATTTCTGTTAATCTATTTTCATTTGAATTATGATACAAATTTGCTTCCGTAGAATTAGGACCCATTTCTACACTTTAATTATTAATGCTGAGATAAAACATTCTCCACACTCCTTAACATCCTCAAAGCATTATCTAGTTTTTCTTCACAGTCCCAGCACTTTAGTAGCACACTTAAACAATATCACACACCACAACAGCTACAGCCTCAGCAACATAGAAACCTTAGATTTGGCTTTTACATGTATTTGTCTTAATCCAGGATTGTGTTTGATTTAAAAGTACTAAAGCCTTTGTAGTCTCTGATATGATGATAACTGAACTCTACCGCTACAGTACTCTCAGCAATGTATATACTATATTATTGTTTATCTCTTGCTCTATTTCATCATTACTATGATTATTAGAATTACCTGTTATTATTTTATTATCATTGTTGATATTGCCTTTTACATTTACTATCCTGTTTCTGCTTTTAACTGTATTTTTTTTCTTAACTATTTATGTTTTTATTATGGTCCTCATGGTCTCATTTTATGTTGCATGGTTCTTGTATTGTCAGGGTTCCTTATGACGTGGAAAATGGTCTTCAATTCCATTTAAACTGAGCGTTTTGTTTTTATCAGTCTTTTCCACGTGCTCTATGACTATATGTCAAAGCACTTTGTAAACTTATGGTCTTCTGTTTTTAAAAGTGCTAAACAAATAAAGTTATTATTATTATTATTATTATTGTTGTTGTTGTTGTTGTAATTGTTGTTGCCGTTCTCGTTGTAGTTATTTTTATTATTGTTATTGTCGTTGTTATTATTATTGTTGTTGTCGTTTTTATTATTGTTATTTTTATTATGATTATTGTTGTTGTTTTTATTATTATTTTAATATTATTGTTGTTGTTATTATTTTTATTATTACTGTTGTTATTTTTATTTTGTTATTATTACGATTATGATTATAATAATAATAATTATTATTGTTGTTGTTATTATTGCCATTATTTTATTATTATTTTTATTATGATTATTATCATTGTTGTTATTACTATCATTATTGTTATTTTTGTTATTATTTTCATTTTAATATTATTGTTGTTGTTGTCATTATTATTATCATTATATAAAAATGAGAAAAATATGCAATCCATGTATGTTACTGTATTAATGTTTTTTGTTTTCTATGGTCAAAAACAAGTACCACCTCAATTATCAGTATTTTTCCCACTCATAAATAGTCCTAACATCCTCTAACGTTAAGGGTTGTGCTAATGCTTGTTAACTCAGCCCTCTGCCAATACTTGAGATGATATCATGCATCCGTCTAAATGTATTACCTGGAAATATCGTCTCCTTCTTGTGTACAGCACTTTGTGATACAAGCCATGTAGTGATTGATTGATTGATTTATGTATTTGTGAAAACATTTGTAAGAGTTGGTTTATTGAGTGAGTACTGAGACTCTGCTGAGAGTGTGGACGCATTAAAGTCCCACGTTAACGTGAACTGACAGACCGCAGGAGCTCTAACACAAAAACACAGAAGCACTTTCCATATCATCTCCACTGAGGAGGAAATTGTGGTTTTGTGGTTTCATTCAGGCTTTTACATCCTTTTATTTTGAAATCTGTACACCCAAACTTCCAGTAGCTGCTTTTTAACAGCTGCATGGAAGGAGCAACACCGCCCCCCTGTGTTTTCAGGGGTACTCTAAAACTTTTTTTTTTTTTTTTTAACAAAGAACCTTCTACTAGTTTCCATCAAGAGTCGACGTTTTGCATTTGGATTTGTGTGTTTTCTTATTTTTATATTATTAGAAGAGAATAACGTCTATGTACTTACATATGGCAGAAATTGACAATAAAGCTTGAATCTTGAATAAATGTAAATTTTAATGAAGGTTTAATTTTATTTTCTTTAGGTGTAAATTATTAAATTACATTAATTGTTTTACTTAACTTGATTTAATTTAACTTAATTCAAGGTTTTTTTTGTGGAAGTACCAAAGCCTCTGTAGTCTCTGATACTCTCAGCAATTAAACTATATACAAATGAGCTCATCCCTGCTACTGGAATGAAAATATGCAATCCATGTATGTTAATGTATTCATGTTTTTTTTGCTTTCTGTGGTCAAAAACATGCAAGTACCACCTCCATTAAGACCTCTAAGTGTTTTTTTTCCACACATAAATAGTCCTAACATCCACTAATGTTAAGGGTTGTGCTAATGGAAAGAGACCTTAGACACTTGTGAGGGGCTTTGCTGTGATTGTGGATTTTTAAAAATTCCATGTTAATGACCAGAAAACTCCCACATGAATATAAATGAATGGGAACACACAAACATAAAAACATCTGATTTCTACTGATGAGGATAGTATTTAGGCCTCATCGCACACAAAATTTCCATCCATTTGAATTACTTAGATTTAACATAATCCTCGCTGATAAATTTTATGTGCTGCATATTTGTCAGTCAAATGTAAATGAAACAATTAAGAATAAGATTTATGTAATAATACCAATAAACTCAATGTGTTGAGAATAAATAATGAAGATTGATGATAAATCCAATTTGTTTCTGTCTCATAAATTTTAACTGAATAAATCGTGGTCATATTTAAACTATATTCATACATTTTAACTGAATTGTTTCTGGAATAAATACACTGCATTACTTCTTATATTCTGTCAAAAAGAAAATTCTGTCATTTGTCGAGGTGATGTAAACAAAAACTCATCTGAAGGGAGCTTATGCTGCAAAGAGAAAACACAGGACCCGACAATTAGCCTGGCTGGGCCATCCTGTTGCGTGAATCACTTGATGTTGTGGGAAGGAACGGCAAGTGATTCACGCAACAGGATGGCCCAGCCAGGCTACCCAACGATGAGAACACACCAGGAATAAAAGACCACGTAAGTGACAATGACTCAAAAGGAAAGCCAAACAGAAATAAAACTTAGAAGATGAAAATCCCCGTCCTATATTACTGAGAGGGACAAAAAAAAATTCTAGGGGGAAGAAATTTGCAGTCAGTCCCTTTGTTATTAAAGGATTTATTGGTTTTTATATCATAGTTTATATTTTGTGATATTAAAGCAGCCAAACTCAGAAAAGATCCTCTGTGAGCTTGTCCTCATCCCTGCCCTCACTTATCTGAAAAACTAACAGTGCTATTAGCAGTCAAACCGGAACTTCCTTTTTATGAAACCGCTAAATATGAAACACCGGACTGTAAATGTCAAACACAGAAACTGTTTAATGCCCGAGTCAAAGGACATGTTCCCGACAGCTTTGCAAGTTCTGTTTATTAATATACCAACCATACATCCGACCAGAGCAGCTAAGTAGGAACTGAGTGCAGTTTCATATTGACCACGTAAGTGACAATGACTCAAAAGGACAGCCAAACAGAAATAAAACTTAGAAGATGAAAATCCCCGTCCTATATTACTGAGAGGGACAAAAAAAAATTCTAGGGGGAAGAAATTTGCAGTCAGTCCCTTTGTTATTAAAGGATTTATTGGTTTTTATATCATAGTTTATATTTTGTGATATTAAAGCAGCCAAAGTCATCATATAGGAGGTTGTAAATGTCAATGACACATATTTCCATCTTGAGTAATCTGGATAAAGTTGTAGGAGTTATAATATGTTCTCAGACCCTGAATTCAAAATATACTTTGTTAATTTTACTTTTAAGTGTAATACATTATTTATCATACTTTCATGTGGCTTAATGTTCACTGCTTATTTCACTATATAAGCATTACTATGTGATATAAAGGCTTTAATTAATCCTTTAAAATGCATAGATAAGTCTCTATAGTGTGTTACAAGACGTGGGTTTAAAATAATCTATATCAAAATAGTGAACCTTGGTCAAACACAAAATAAGGGCAGTTAAATGAGTATTAGTTGAAAGAAATAAAAATTACACATACATAAGAAACTGTTAGATATAAGTGGGAAAAAAGAGCTCTCCTTCAAAATAACCTCCAAACTAAAAAGTCCACCTGATCAAAAAATTACCCACAGTTCAGTCGTGTAAAAAAACATGACGTTACATTGAACTTGTCTGAGTTCAGAAAAACAGACTGTTTGGGTTCAAATAAGTTCAAAAGTCATTAATGTCTCACCTGCTAGTACCAGGTAAAAAGACGACAAGTAAATATTGACTTTCCGGGATTTCTGTATTCACCTCAGAAAAGATTCTCTGTGAGCCTGTCCTCACCCCTGCCCTCACTTATCTGAAAAACTAACAGTGTTAACAAATTAGTCATCCTTTATCTTTTGTTCTGGTTGCAGCAGCTTTGGTGTTGACCGAAACGCATATAGAGAAAGCAGGAGTGGAGTAAAAGATGTGTGGAAGAATAAGTCCTGTGACATTTACAATGTATATTTCTATATTGATATATTCTATATTGATACAGCAATTGAAGGGGATGTAGGATGGGACCCTTGTATTGTAAATCAACATTGTGAAATGGTGCGACTGTGGAATCGTCTGGTCAGTCTGCCAGAGGAAAGGCTAACTAGAAAAATTTAACTGGGACAAAGCAAATCATCACCCCTGGTCTAGTGAGATTTCAATGATCCTGTTTGCCTCTGACATGCATGTAATGTTTAGAAATAATCTGCAATGTAATATAAATTCTGTTAAACAAAAAATGTTTGAGAAGCATGAAGACCAGTGGAAACAGGATATATGGAAGAATCCAAAGCTCAGAAATTATGTTCAGTTCAAGAAGAATTATTTTACAGAACCTTATATTTTCCTTAATTTAAAGAGAAGACAGAGATCTCTCTGTGCTCAGTTGAGAACAGGTACCTTACCTCTGGCAGTAGAAGTGGGTCGATTTAAAGGCTTACCGGAAGAAGCACGTTTGTGTGAATTCTGTGATTTACAGGTGGTCGAGGATGAATTTCATTTTGTTTTCAATTGTCCCTTATATGTTGACTTAAGGACTGTCATTTTTGAATCAATTCAGTTTAAAAATCCTGATTTATTTTGGAAGAGTGAAGGTGAGATTTTGGGTTGGTTGTTTGAAAAGGATGTTTTTGTTTTTGTTTTGGCAAAATTTGTTAAAAAGGCTTGGCATATGCGGCAAAGTATTTTGTACCCTGTAGGATGAACTTTTTTGTTTCTCTTTCATTATCCTCATTGTTTGTGTTACAATTCTTAATGGATTTTTGATGTTATTGTTGTTGTATATTATGTTGCGTGGCTGTCTTGGATACATTGTGTTTTGAGTTTGTTGAACAGTGTCTAATAAGCCCATGGGGCTGGGCACCAATTTTGGTGTATGACACTTAAATAAAATTATCAAATCAAATCAAATCTATATAAGTGAGAGGAGCATAACCCAAACTACCGCGCCTCCAACTGGGTCAAGAAACAGATCAAGAAGAATTACCTGCAGCACCAGAGATCAGCAGCAGCTGCAGGAGCTACTGTTGTTATGGTTGTTCACAGACTATCAGCAGTCAAACCAGATTTCCTTTTTATGAAACCACTACTTATGAAACACCGTTTCATAACACCGTTTAATGCCTGAGTCAAAGGACATGTTCCCGACAGCTTTGCAAGTTCTGTTCATCAAGATTCCATCCATACATCCGACCAGAGCAGCTAAGTAGGAACTGAGTGCAGTTTCATATTGATCCCAGCTGGAGTCAGATGTACTTCAGTGTGATCAAAAGGATTTTGAAGAATTAGCTTTTGTGCATCAAGACTTTTTGACTTTATCAGGAACCTCTATTTCAAAAAAACAAAAAAATCAAGTTGACTGAATTATAAAATACTCTTATTAAAATTATGGCACTTGTCCTGTCTGTATGAGGGGTATACTGACAAAGAAAGGGACCACAACAAAAATTATTAAAAGCAATATTTTTATGGATAATGAAGCCCAACAAGACAACCTAGAGATGAGAACCAAATTGGATGATAGAAAACTGTTTTTAGTATAATTTGCAGCTGATTTAAGACAGGGGTCAAAACCAACCCTTAACGTAGCGGGTGCGTCGTAAAAGCTAACACAGGAGGAAGGTTAATCAAGTAAAATCACACTAACGACTGAAACAATTATCATTTAACTTACCTGAGCAACATTGAGTCTGTTTTTTAGTCCAGTAAGAGGATTGTTAAGGATTATTTGTCTAATATTCGTATGTTGGAGCAGCCTGCAGGTTTAGCCTGACTGGTGAATATACGACAAATGTGAGATGATGAAAAGCTGCTCAAAGATTAAGATAGAAATATTTGATGTTTTTTAGAAAACGTTTAAAAATGAGAAACTCTGTGATCATGAAATCTGAACAGACGGATGTTTTTCATTGTTTGTAGAAGCTTCGTGAATAGTAAACTCACATGCCTCTGCAAAGCCTGACTTCACGGTCACACCTCTGCCACTATCGACTGTTTTACAATCATTCCTCTCACTGGCACCTTCAGAGGAGAGACGCTCTGTCTCAAGTGGTTCCTGATAGGCAAGGGTAGGGCTAATAAATGACTCGAGTTATGACTTACCATGCCAGAAGCATGTTTCAAAATAGGCGAGTCAGTTGAGGTTTTCTCATGGCCTTTCAACACCTTCCACATCTGAACCCAGCAGACCAGTTTCTGAGGTTTTGAAAGGCAAATGTTGTCTCATTCTCACTTGAAACAGGATTTCCCTGTTTTGTTTCAGGATGCATCAGATGTTCATGGGCCAGTTTTTCACCTGGACCCTTGCTGTTGTAATTTGTGTTTGATTTGGTCGCAACTTGCTGGAATATGAAGGTCTTCCCTGAAATAGTAATTTTCTGGATGGCAGCAGATTCATTCATTTTCTACCGCTTATTTCCGTTGGGGCTATCCCAGCATCTTCGGGCGAAGGCAGGGGACACCCTGGACAAGTTGTATTGTGGAAAATCCAGCATAAACAATGCACAGGAGACAGGATGAGATCTGAAGAACAGCCTGGGCGTCTTTTATTGTACAGATGTAGAAATCAGTACAGATGACAAACAGAGTCTCGACCAAGACCGAAGGAAGCCTCCCTAGCTTTTCTTCTACTCTCTTTTATGCCCACAGGTGTGTGAGGGTGTGTCATCATGGGTATGTCATATCAATTCTCCATGATGACATGTCGTACTGTTCTGACCCTCAACACTTTGTTTAGACTAGTCTTAACTCTCGCAGAGATTAAATGTTCCAACAGACAGATAGTTTGGGCTCCTGCAAGACAGCCTTGCTTACAACCTCAGGGTCATGAGGCTGCATGAGCAGGCCAACTTAGATTATTTGTAGCTCCTTACTAAAAGATAATTACTCTATATTTCTTAACCTAAATGTATGAAGAGATTCTCCTACACAGTCCCCCCTTTGAAAGTTCTTTCTTTCATAAAACCCTGATCATCATATCAAACACTAAACATCCTTAAGTGATTAAAATAAAACACACAGCTATGTGTGTGATTTTCTGCATCTAAGACTTAATAATATATGGCATGAAACAAAAATCAAAATGCATTAACCAGTTATATGAATTATGCAACCTTATCGAATCGTGATATAATTCCCCCAATTATGCAAAAGTTATAAAATTGTGATATCAATTCTCAAGAAATGTAATAATCAATGTTCATTGGGTTGAATAATATCTCACTTCGATGTTCAATTTCAGGGAAAGAATGTTACGGCCCCGCCCCCTGGCGACCATCCATTTCCTGGATGCGCCGACATAATTTCATTTGCATAGAAAAAGTGTCAACTTCTGATAATATCATTACATTACATTGTAGCAACCTGCGACAAACCCCTTGATTAGTATGTGATGAACTCCATGATCAATGTGTGATTAGTGTAGTCCTTTAACTCTGCGAATGAAACATGTTCAGTTCAATATCCCAGCTCACTGGATATGTTGTTTGTGTTGCTTAAAGTCCATTGCTCATCTTCGTCTCCTTCAAAGTCCAGGAACCTTTCAGGTCCCTCAGTCCCTCCTTGATTAATCACACACTGTGCCAGCTGTTTTTGTTTGTGGCATTTCCTGTAGCTCATGGGCCGGTGTTAGGTCCACCATAAGTCCCATCTCCTCCGTCAGCTTCCAACATTGTCTCCAAAGGATGTGTACGATGCAACATGTGAGAAAGGAAATCAGAATTAGAGCTATCGCAGCACTCATGGCTGGGCCAAAACGGCTCTCATTCATCTAAAATTTGGACCAACCAGTCCATCAACAGGCCCCCCTTTACCAGCATTCTCCCGCATTTCCACTTTTATCTTTTCTGGACCCTCCATAGCTTTAGAAAAACCTCCCCCAGGGGCTTGTTTTGTTTTCATACAAAATCCCGGACATTTGAAGGGTTTTATAAACTCCCCCCAGACAGGCCAAACAGCCCGCAAAAGAGGACATGTCCCGGTAAAAGGGGACATATGGTCGCCCGAGTTTTGTATTCTAAGTCGTGGTTTGAGTTATGGGTACAAATAAAGTAACCTGATGCTGACTCCTGTGGGTTTTTCCCAGTATTAGTTTTCTTGTTTTATTAAAAAATAGCATAATCAAGGAAAAATTATAGACATGTTTAAAGTTTTCTTTGTTAAACGTCTAACTCTACAACCCAAAAAAAGGTGCTACTGTTCAGGTGTTACTGGTGTTACAGGAAAAGTCAGGTTGTTTTGTTTGTTTGGAACAGATTCTGTACCTGTGGTCTGGAGAAGCAGTGGGAGGGGGAAGTTAAGTAAGTCAGTCTGCATGTGCTCTTTGAAACAAATAGCTGAGATATGTTGATGACATGTAAAAGGCAGCGTGTCTGCTTGTCAGGTGATATTTTTCTAAGAGGGGATTAGAAGTGACCCTTCTGAGGATATTCTACTGAGAAACATACCTGTGAGTTATCAAGAGGTTAAATCCAGTCCCTTCAGTTAAACTGCTGAAACTGTCTGCTATTCACAGTTCATTCTTACTCATCTCTGATGCTGAAGAAAACTTTGCTGTTAGCTACGCCTGTTCTTCTTGACTGACTGTGACATAAGGTCACCCAAGGAGGCGTAAAACAAAATAAGCATACATATATATTAGGGCTGTCAGAATATCAGATTTTCACCTCACAAATACCAGGGTTGTGAAAATGAAATAATGATATTATTGCCATATTTACGGGAAACTTGTTGGTGAAAGGATGAGGTAGTTTTGGCGGACAAGACGAGCTGAGTGTCATCCGCATAGAAGTGAAAAAGGGTGTTAAATTTAGGGAAAATATGGCCAAAGTAGATGATAAACAGAAGAGGCCTGAGGACAGAACCCTGTGGAATACCGTGGAAGGTTTTGAATTGTATGAACTGAGTGCAGCCTGAGAGAGAAGACATTTCATTTATTTATCTTATTTTTTATGTTTATATCTGGCTTCAAGTGCCTTACTGTCTCATGGGAAATGGACATTTTGTAAGACGTGTGTCTGGTCCCTGCAGTGGCTGGAGGCAACATAACGTAAAGCTCTTGTGAGGAGTTTTTGGACATTTGTGAAACTCACATTAAAGCCTTTTCAGGACGCGAGATTTATGTATCAAACTTGTTGGGCTCATATCAGGTGTAATGAGGTGTTTCGACATGATAGGAGACAGATACTTGCTAAAACCTGAGCTGTTATAGTGCACCACCACCACCACCACCACCACCACTCTCCTGGACCAGGTTACAGCACTAAGCTCTGTGCAGCAGATCCAGTTTGCATACTTTTGTATGGTATGCAAATTGCAGCGGATCTTGTTTTTTTGTTGAGGAGGTCAAGTGGAGCTCTAAGCAGCAGCTGTTGTATGATGTGAGGCGTCACCTTGCTCACTGAAGGTTTTCCAGGTTTAGTGGTGTTACCACATTTCTCAGTGGCTTTGGAGTTGCATTCGAAGCATCACTGGTTTGTTCATTTCAGCAGCAGAGTCCACACACTGTATACACGATACAACAGGAAACACACACACAGAGGAAGTCCTGCATGAATTGGTATGTAAATCCTCCTCAGATATTCAACAAGGAAACCAAAGACTAAATACTTTACTATGCAAATGCTTCTTTACACTTGGGAGGACGCTGGATAATAACAACCCTCATGTCACCAACTTCACCTGAAACAGTCCCTCTGTCAAACCTGCAGATATGCAAAATCATAAAAAGAATATTTTGCATAATAAAATCCGCTTATGCACCGGGTTATGTGCTTGGACATCGACTATCTAAGATGGGGTAATCGGGGTGTTGTCCCCCGGGGGTAGTTTGGGAGGTAAAGGATGTTGAGGGTGGTGCTGGGCAGATGGTTTCTCTCTGCAGTAGCTGCTAAACTGGTGGTACTGCACCATAAAAAATGATGTAAAACCAGTTTTTCAGAACAGAGTGTCCCTCTGCTGTGTTTGTGCTCTTCTTCTGACAGCCTGTGATAGTCATCATCCCTGACATTACACTTATTGATCTACTGACTTCACTCAAAGATGAAGAGAAGTGTTTCAGTGACAGACTAAGTGAAAAAATTTAGAAGATGACAGATAGATGTGGGAGGTAGGAAGGAAAGTTTAGTTTATTGGTTTGGACATGAAGCATTTTATCTAAGTGTAATTCATTTGTAAAAAAAGAAAGAAAATAAGAAAAAAAGAAAAAGGTTTTTGGATCTTTTTTTTTTTCGGTCTTTTGTCCCACGCCAGAATCGTGACTTTCTCAGGCCTAAACCTGCCAACGCCAAACCAGTTGTGTCACTGTTTTCTGAAACAACTCACTTCTATTGCCAAACCTCAAGATAATTTCCAGCCCAGCAGATCAGAGCAAAAAATGTTCACAATGCTGAGCAACAGGTGAGGGGAGGTACATTTGCACAGGGTAGAAATTAAATGTTGTTTGTTGGCTCAAACCAAAAAAATATTTTTATTAAGTTTACTTTCGTTTCTGAAAAAGTGCAAATTTGAAATCAGAAAGAAAAGGGGTTTTCTACATGCAAGGCCGAACGTGCTTTATCTATAACCTGATTTTTATTACTGTGTAGCTCACATGGTCAGTTAAACTGGAGAGGAAAAACCTGCCTCTACCTGTCTGAGATAAAGTCATAAATCACCTGGGAGATATCACCTGTGACCGTTGAGTTATGACTTTCGGTTCAATTGAAGTCACCCTCCACAACCTTTAAACAAACTTTGAAAAAAAAAAAAGTCTGAAAATTCACAACAGGACATGTTAAAGTCATTTATCAGGTCTGAAACTACCGTTGAAAATATCAGAAATTTTCCCTCCAGATGGTCAGTGGGGGGCTTTTTTGTTGTTTATTGACTATTTTTTATCAAAAATAAATTTTCAGTCAAGAAAGAACTGAGATCTGAGGTTCACATACATACTTAAATGCACATATATTTATTTATTATTGACCATTTCCTCTTCTTTTCTTTTTTTGGATGAACTTTCTGTTGGGCATTTCTGTTTGATTTATTCTAAAAAAGTAGACAGTTAAAAAAAAAATGGTTAATGCTATCAGTTTGTGGGCACAAACAAACTCTGGTCACCCCTTTTGCATTTGGGCCACCCTTGCCAAAAGACCTGACACACTCCTGGGCCTGAACATTCAGACATGAAACATTTAGGTGTATCAGTAAAGTGTATGAAGCTCATTTTGTGTCACTTTAGTGATCGGTTTCTGGATCTGGGGGCTAAATGCAACAATTCTTATACTAATCAGTGTCTTGATTTCATTATATGTAATATGTCCAAAAAAATAAAAATATCTTGTGGTTAGTGTAAATTTCTCTGAAACAAAGTCTTTTAGTGGGAGCATCACACGCAGACGGGCACTTAAAACAGGGGAGAAAAAAGAAACTAGAGAGAGGACCCCTGTGCTCTAATCTCAAATCTTTTCAAAGGATACTTACAATAAACTTGTTGAAGCCAGTGGAGTTGCGACGGGAAGTTTCCGAAGCTGTGACGTTCAGAGGAAGCTTTCATCACCGCAAATGTGAGGTGCGTAAAAGCAGGTGTCCACATCCAGTGACTTCTCTCCTCTTGAGTCAGCGCCACCGCCAACTCTGCACGGATCAACATCTCTGCTCAGAGTTTCTCCGGGGATAAAATTCGTCTATTTGCAGGTGAGTCTGCTTTTACGGGATTAATAAAGTCTGGAGGCACGATGGAGGATGAGGGACACATCAGGGATAGAAAAAAACGGATTTCGAGATAAAGTCGTGATATTACGAAAGCAAAATCATAGAGGAAAAAAAAGGAAAAGAAAGAAAAATGTAAGTTTCGTTAAATTATAAGTGATCAGTATTGGAAGGCTAATCTAAAATGAAGGACGAAGTCGTATATTCAGGTTAAGATCACACTCTTCGTTCAGAACCGTAACTCTTCTCACACTGTGGCGCCGATGAAGACTGAGAATACACTTATTAATAAAATACAGAACACTTCCTGCGAAGAATCATCATGCATTTACTTGTAATAGTTTTATTTCCTTTCAAAACGCGTAAACGTGGGAGTAAACTACCTCTACTTACGAAATATATGATAGTGGAAATTACCCTGCAATTGTGATCTGTAGTCCGTTACTGTGGAAGTTGTAATATTTGGTGAAGCAACTTCAGCTTTTTAGGCGTAAAACGCTCCAAGCCCAACGAGAGCACTCAGCGCGCACTTGGAACCGTTTCTGTGAGACAACATCTCCTTTTCTACAGAAGCACCAGACTTTAACATTCGGACAGGTGTCTGAGTGAGCTCTTTGACTCTTTTTCGTTCATGTCGGTGCGTAATGGCACGCTCCTTCACTATCGTTTCTGCCTGCTCTCGCTCTCCCTCTTAAACTCTTTCAAAACTAATTTTAAAATAATTCTTTAAACTATTATCTGGCAGGATTGAGTAGCGTGCAATACGCCAGAAATTAGAGGAAGGTAGTCTGTAGACATTAGTTTACTCACACCCCTTATACCTGCATTAAAGTGTGTATGAAATTCAAGCTTTGGTTATAAAACCAACAGGACAGCAGAGACTCTCCAGAGGGTGAGGGGCGAACATTATTCAACATTTCCAGACGGTGATGGAGCTCATGGGAAGCGGAACCGTTTCTCTGTGCCATGCGTAATTGCGCAAAACGAGACTCGCCCTCGTTTCTCTGTGTGAGACCGCTGCAGGTGATACAACACTGACACAGTAGCAGTGGGTTTTCGCTCATGGTAGACATGTTGAAACGACCACTGCGCCCCGTCCTCGCGGCCTAACTGGCCGGTGGTCTGACCAGAGAAGGGGCAAAGGGGGCGATGTCCCGAGGGGCTTTTCCTTGAGTTGATATCATTCAAGTAAAAATCTGTCGTTTGAAAATAACTGAATAAATCCTATTTGAATGTGGGTTTCATGCAGGGGGATAAATTCGTTTAAATAAATTTGTCCCGCTAACATCTGAGCTTTAGTGATTACAGAACGGTGAGGAGGAACAGGCATGTAGGGTGTGTCTTTTCAGCTACTGAATACACTGTAAAATAACAGTGGTTGCGTGTGGGAGTATTTCTGCATTAGTAACTTTGGATGACACATTAAGCCGAGGTTAAGTGCAGCTCCACACCTGTTGCGTACCTTCAGATTTGATCTAAAACGGAAAAAGATTTCACTTTGAAGATGAGTGTTACATTTGTAAGTCCAGCTCCATTTTTCCGACAGCTTTACATTTTTTTCACAGTAATTCTCGTCAAATTTTCCCACCTCGTTGTTTTACTTTCTCCAAACTGGTGGATCGGCTCCTGCACTGGCTCACAAAAATCTTTAACTTCTACCCATGCATGGAAAAAATGTCCAATGCAGCTGTCTCTCTGGGGGGGTCCTGGTCTTGGTTAAGGCTGAAAATCCCCTTCTTTCTTAATGTAAGTTTGAAAACCATTGTTTTTAAAGGTGTTTGGGCGAGGTCTATGGAGTAAAGACCGCTCCCTGATGAGCTCATACCTTCAGGTTTCATTGGAAATCTCCTAACTATAAACAAATTAAGGCCGTGTTCATTAGGGCCTTAATTACCTTCATGGAAAGACTTAATTAAATCATCTTACAATGATATTCAATAAGCTTGCAGTGACTTTGTGTTGACATTACTCATACACAATTACCATCAGCTTTAATTGTTCTGCTCTGGTTTTCCCTTATCTCTCCAGACTTCCTGTTCTCCGTGTCACAAAGTATTAGGCATTACAAATGGACAAACGTCTGAAAGAACGACTCCATAAATGAGTCATTAAAAAAATATGTACAATTTAATGAGCTATTAAATACACGGAGACCAGTACACAAAACCGGTCAAACCAGTGCTGCGAATCATTCTGCCAATCCCGTGTGAAAACACACGAAAAGTTTGGTCTGCACGGCAGTTTGGTCTGCACGGCATTTAACAGGCTCTGTTGGCTGCACAAATTCACACTGAGATTAATGCGTGACTGTCAAAAGAAAGCAGGATGATCTTGATGAACTCTGATAATCGATAAAACTTTCAACACACCAGAAAAACAAAGCAGACTATACACTATCTTTAAACAGTCGCGAGTAAAAGTATGTGAACCCCGAGGCTAATGACGGAGTCAGCCAGTCTGGAGTCTGATCAATATGAAGAGATTGGAAGTGTTGGTTAAAGCTGTCCCGCCCTTGAAACACACAACTGTTTTGAATTCGCTCGACGTGACCCAGGCCTCGCACACCAGAGCTTCTAGATTCCTCTTGTCCGTGTGCAGATCTGGGCCCGTATGCACGTTGAAAGCGTTTAGCGTAAACGCGATTAGTTATACGGGCCTTAAACGCGTTTAGTTCCTATACGATTTTGGTATGCACAATGCTGTAAACGGAACCGTATAGCTAACCGCGTTTACTGTGTCTTAAACGGGTCGAGTGATGCTCGAGTGACGGTTCAACTGACTGTCGACTGATCCACTCCTACCAACTCCCCACACACGTCTTGGAAAGAAGAAGTGGCGTTGTACTGTAAGGTTACGAGGACTTGTTGTAGTGGAGTGAGGGTGAATCCTCGGTTCGAAAGTTCAATTTCAGCGGAAATCTCCTGTGTGAGGTTGAGAATATGGTGCCGTCGAAATCTAAACTTACGGAACACTTCGTGGTCGTCATACGTGTCGAAGGGGTGTTTTCTGTCACGAAAAATCCTGTTTCGACGCAATTGTCGCCGCTGTCTTCCTTGGAACAACAAGAGTGCCGCCGTATTTAAACGCGTTTAGACCCGCTATTGGACCCCCAGAGGTGCGATAACTTTAAAGGCGAAAATCCGTATAGGAACGGCTATACGAAGTGACGTGCATACCGACATTTTTGGCGTTTAGGAGTTAAACGCATTTAGCGGGCTAAACGCGTTTTGCCAAGCAACGTGCATACGGCCCCTGATCTGTAACTACAGGAAACGTTTGATTTGGAGTTAATCCCTTATCAAAACCAAAGATTCACAAAGTTTTTCCACCCTGCAGAGTAAATATTTGCATGTCGTGTTCAATTAATCATGAATAAATATTCATTTATGGGGCAGTATTAGTTTAAGCAGATTGTGTTTGTGCAGAAATCCAAGTCAGGGTTCACATACCTTTTCCAGCAGCTGTACATAAAAAAGACATTTACGGAGACCGTTCCAGTCGATGGTTTGTAAATGCATCTTTTGTAGCAAATCCAGAAAACTGTTTGGACATTTCCTGTTGGACTTCTCTCATAAAACCGGATTATAAAAAGTGAAAACCACTTAACGCCACAAAATGTGTGCTGCTTACAAACCAGGTGGTCCACGGTTTCCAAAAAGAGGGTCAAATTCTACTTTGCCAAACCACTTTGTCTCAGTCCACTTCTCTGCTCCAGGGTTATGAAATCCAGGGACATCCGGAGTGGCGGGTGGGGGGCTGCATGATAGCAGACAACATCTCGGTACTACTTAGTAGCAACGCATGCCCCCCTAAAAATGTTGTTCAGGACTGCGCGCAACACACTTACTCGTGCTTCCTACCTACTCGGCTACTGTAATAACCGTTGTTCTAGTCTATATGTAACATTCTTGTTCTCATTCATGAAACGCTTAAATCAGGGACATTTCCGGGGACAGCTTTAGCCGGGGACAGGTCATCCAATACGGGGACTGTACCCGGACGTCTGGTCTCCTCACTCCAGGGCCCAGAGAAGTGAACTCCATTTCTGGATCATGTTTACACGTAGTTTCCGTGGTGCAGTTTTCACCTGTGTTCGCTTTCAAACCAATGCGGTGGTTTTCACTACAGAGTCATGTCTGTTTTTTCCACGTGTGGTTCGTTTAAAAAATTGCCTCAGGAGCACTCAGCACAAAGGTGTGGGATCGCTTTACTGTACGGCGACCACAAAAGCCTTTTCTGTCGCTGTGTGTCGGCTAGAGTAGCTGAGCAGAGGTCCTGTTCTGGTTTCTGTTTTCTTTTGTGTACATGAAAAAAACAAAGGTCAGGTGACGATGCCTTTTGACAACTTCATGGTGTAGGGTGTGGACATAGCTGTCAGTCTTCACAAGGGAGTGGTCTGTAACCCTGTCTGTTGAGGTATCAGTGTCAGAATGACAGCAAGACGCACACTGTCACACATTGTGACTGATATTTTACACCCAGGAACTGAACTGATGCATCTCTGCACGGACTTGTTAAAGTTTAATTCACATAAAAATAGTTTTAGGAGACCTGAAGATGCTTAGCAAGAGAGGCAAAAAAACGTTCTTAATATAAGTTTGACAAGCAAACTCGCTAAAAGCTGAGTTGAAGTTGCTTTTGGACATGTTCCGACCTGCAGCATTGCTTTTTATTCATGGGGGAGTGTCTCGGAGTTTGTTTGTTCTGAGCTACAGTAGAAAAACAAACCTGCTGCAGCAACAATAAAAAGACTCTTTATAGGAAAACATGATAATATCCCATTCAGTATGAGATAACGTAAACACAGTTCTGCAGAACGTATACCATTTTTGGGGGGCGAAATGCTGGTAAATTTTACAGAATGTACCTTTAATGAGTCTACCGTGGGGTTTTGGAGTAATAGGTGTTGCATGCATGTATATCCTTAAGACTAGTTTTCTTTCTGTTCTAGTTCTTTGTCAGTCAGGAGTTAACGTGTGTTTGAAACAGAACCAAAAACGGATCAGAGGTTTTTATTCAAATCTAGATTCTGGACGAAGAGACCCGATTTTACTGACAGATGCTACAACAAGAGTTTAAAGTTATTGTCTGAAACATGATTAGTCTTTTTAGACAATCGATCACAGGAATAGTATGGTCCTCAAAGCAGGTGTTGGTATTTTTTGGCGGTGCAGGCAGGTGCCGAGTCCTCCTGGAAAATGAAATCAGCATCTCCATAAAGCTGGTCAGCAGAAGGAAGCGGGAAGTGCTCTAAAACTTTATTGGTAGACGGTTAAGACTTATAAAACCTTATAAAACACAGTAAACCGTCACCAGCAGACTTGGACTCTGTGCCTTCGGGCTCTGGGACCCTGATCTCCAAAAGAATCAAGTTCAATCTGTTCAAGTTTCAGGGATGTTACTTCATGTCAATATTAGTTGAACTTTAACGATCAAAAGCCGGATGGAAAACAGACTCTGCTGCCAAAACAAAAGTCTACAAGATGTCTACAAAACTTATTGGGTCAGAAAGAGAGCACCCTCCCTGAAGAAACACACCACACGCACTTTCTTCTGAGTCATGTAACCTCTACTCTGGAGAGTTGTAAGATAAAATGCATGACAATATCTGTGACCCAAAACCTGTGAATACTTTCCAAGGTAAAACCACAAGCAGTCTTGTGATGTTTGCACATCTTTTAGAACAAATGATCACTCATGATAAGGTTACACCCACAGCAAATTTTTATTTCATGCAAACAAGTTTTACCAAAACCAGGGCAGCAAAGACATTGTGATCATCTCTCTATTGAGATTAGTATCTGATACCACATCACACAGTCAGGGGAGTCTTTGTCTAACCACTGTGGTAAAAGAGCGAGCTGTGCAGCAAATGGAGCAGCTGATTCATATTCAGGAAAATCCTATATGATGGAGTAGATCGGATTTAGCAAATTGAAAAAAAATGTGTGTGAGGCTAAAATCTGGAAAAGATTTCAGATTCCCTTCTCTTAAAGGATCTTGTAAAAATATCAGAATCCTTTAATGCTTTGAAACCTACATTTAAACAAGACTGTCCAAAGACAGGGTTACAGGTGCCAAACCGGACGATTGGTCCAAGTTTAAAGTGAATTTTTCCAACAATGAAAAAAAAATATCAACAGTTTCAGGAACTTTGTTGTCTATGTCCTTGTTTTCTTGAACTTAAATGTTTGGTTGGTGTCGTGTTTTTAGACGCAATGACTTCTCAAAAAGCGAAGACGGTGCTGACACTGAACGCTGAGGCGGTTGACTCACTTAAAGACGGGATCAACTTCAAGAAAAGCCCGGAGGATGGGAAGTGTTACATCATATACAAGAACAGCGACGGCTTGAGAGCGTGCAAGAACCAGTGCAAACACCAAGGAGGGGTGTTCATCAAAGACATCGAAGACCTGGACGGCAGGTGAGACGTCTATGGAGAAGTCTAAATTGGACAAATCAAGATTGGTGTTAATTAACCAGGAAGTTATAATGCAGACTGACTGCTAACCTGTGGGGTTGATCCAAAGGTTGGCGGTCCAACATACTTTGAAAACAGCTTCTTGCCTGAAAGCTTGCCAAAGTGCTTTTCATTCTCTAATTACAGGACTGTTAAATGCACCAAACATAACTGGAAACTGAATGTGTCCTCCATGAAGTACGTGAATCCACCAGACAGCTTCCTGCAGGACGAGCTTGGTGAGTTCTGCCACTTTCTTTGTCAAATATCAGCTTGTAGGATTAAAGATTAGAAGACAGCCTGGAGGCGCATTCAAATGACCATCCAAAGAGCAAATGAAGAAGGAACAAATAATCAGCCTCCATGGAAGTAAGGGTTGTTGCCAGTTTGTTCCGCCCCGTTAGACTCTATTACGGAAAATCTATCATGGGAAAATGTATTTTGCTTATTTTGCAAGAGATGTTGCAAAACAATCATTTGGAGAGCAAACATGCAAAATACTGGAGGAACTCCAAACTTCGAAAAGCAGGTTACAGCGTGACAGAGGCAGCACAGCTTTATCATGAGATTTAATGTAGAAAGAATAAGGGTATAAAATACTTCAGATTCCTGTTATTTTTAATTATTGACACTCAGAGTCGGACTCGTTGATTTCAGTTGATGCTAAGACGAGAACTTCCTCCTTCTTGACCTTAAATATGGAAATAAAGTTATCATAATAACCTCTAATCTGGATTTGCAGACCTGCAGACCTTATGATCTGAAATGTGTATTCTTTCACACAGAGGTGGAGATTTTGGAGGACGGGGGTCTTCAGCTGGTTGAGTTGAGCCCCGTTGACCCCTGGCTGGCCGATCCTCGAGAACCTCAAGAACTCCAGGAAGGAGAAGTTAAAGTACGTATCCTGCAGCTACGCAAACATTATAAAACTTTTAAAACTATGCCAGTGCCCCCCGGCAGTCTGAATCTAAAGCAGCACAACTCAGAACTGGTCCAGGCCTGAACCAGCTCTAACTATAAACTTTGTCCAAAAAGCAAATGGTCAAGGGGGGAGAGTTGAACCAGGGACCGCCATTCACCACCATTCCAGGGACCACCACCTTCACTGGCTCCTTGTAATTTGAATTCTTATTTTGACGCACAGGTGACCTACTTGACCCACGCCTGCATGGAGCTACAGCTGGGCCAGAAGCGGTTCATGTTCGACCCCTGGTTGAAGGGTCCAGCGTTCGCTCGAGGCTGGTGGCTTCTCCATGAGCCTCCGGCAGACTCCATGGACAGGCTGTGTGCAGCAGATCTCATCTACATCAGTCACATGCACTCTGATCACCTCAGGTAAACGCTGTCTATTTAACCTCCTCTAAAACTCAAATTTCCTGTTTCTTCTACAAAACAAACATCTAAATGAAAGACGGAGTCCACACAGTAGGAATTACTGTGGTAAGACTGCAGGCTGAAGTGTAGGAGTGGGATTACCATGTTAGTCATTCTCAGCATATTATGTTGGTACTGGAGCAGATCGATCTCAAGCTGCAACTGATTACTTATTGTTGCAATGAGGAGATGTCAAAGGAGATCAGATGTGCAGCTGAATCAGTGTCGGCACAAGAAGCAGAAATTGCAGTGGTTTTTTAATGCATCATTCCCATCTGGGAACTGCACCAGAAAATGTCGCATCCCTTCACTCTTCCCTCAGTAAGAACGCCATCAGCAGAAACTCAAAGCCACATTTGGAGAAAAGAAAGTCATCAGAAGTGCCTGCAGACTGGAACAGGAATGAGCCTAGGTGCATTCCTCTACAAGTGACAGATGTAGCTACCGTTGGGTACTGAGAACGTCCAGTTTCTGAATCATTATTTTCGGTTCCGAGTGCCCACACTAGTTTGTTTAGGGGAAAGAAGAGGACGGCGTAGCACAGTGCCAACTCTGCAAAATAAACTATTTCTGCCAAAGGAGGATGCATGACCAACACGATCAAACAGCTCCGGATTTATGGAGTACAAATAAGGGAGTGCCCCGTCTTTGATGCGGTGTGCCGGTCTTCCTCTCATCCGTCAGAATGTCAAACAACAAATGACGTCTGTCCTCTACTAACATTGAAGCGGTAAACAAATTGTAGTGTTAACGATGGGTCGACTCAAATATCCAACTAACGTTAGCACATGTTCTTTTTCATAGACAAACAACCTGACGACAAAGATTGATATTTGTATATTGGCTAAAAAACAGCCCTGGGTGAAATCTAAAGTAAAGTTCATAAAAAGTTCATATCATTTAAAAATTAACGGAAAGTTCAGACTGGTTAGCTCCCTCATTTAAAACGTGCATTTTCTCCGCCTGCCTTTTAAAAGAATCAAAACAGAGAATCGTTAGGAACCAGATGACAGACCTGAACTCTCTTTGGGAGAAGCGTGTGGTCAAGAAAGCCAGAGGAATTTTGGATCAGCCTGGACATATTCTGTTCTCTGACTTTCTTTTTATGCCTTCTGGGCGGCGCTACTATGCACCCCCAAGGAAAACGAACAGATACTCAAACTCTTTTATCCCTTCAGCCATCAGGCTTTTAAATGCCGGACAGTAGGCTGATGGTCATATGTGGCCTGTGCTGAACTGGAGCTTCAGGAGTGTTTTATTTGTTTTATTTCTTATCTTGTGTCTCATACTGTAAATTTCATTGTATTTTGACCTTTGCTCTGTGGAACTTGACTGCTTTTGTACTTACTTAGCTATTTATCGCTGATCCTGCTGATCTGTGCGTACTGACAAGGGAATGTGGTTGTCTACTGGCTGCTATTAATGTCCTGCACTTGTCTGGTTTGTTTGTCTGCTGATTTGTGAGTTTGGACGGATCAAACGGCAGGGTAACTGTGAATGAAATTGCCCTTATGGGATAAATAAAGTTGTCTGAATCTGAATCTGAATCAGAATCGAAACAAGGAAACTGCATCGGAATCGTTCAAGTTCAAACAATGCCCAACCCTGGATGTAGCCCAAGACATCATGTTTCATCATGTCCATGTGCTCGTCTCATTACTGTGGATGTCTAGTTTGGCAGAGACACTGAAAATATGATCCTAAAGTCATGCAGCCATCTTGGTAAAATAATACAGCCACTCAAATCTTCCTAATCTAGAGCTTTTAACTAAAGCGACAGCCAAAACTTTGCACATTTTGAATGTTATTGTGATTTTTATATGTATGTCTGAACTGTTTCAGCTACCCCACTCTGAGGGACTTAGCAGAAAGGAGGCCAGATGTCCCCATTTACGTCGGTGATACATCGAGACCTGTCTTTTGGTCAGTCAAGAGATAACTCTGCAGAGTTGAATCCAATTAAAAACCTTTATAAGTGTTTTAATTAAGCAGTACTTAATACCCCACATGTGCCGCTTCTCTGTCTTGACGCAAAAGGTATTTGGAGCAAAGCAAAGTGAAGCTGACCAACATCAACGTCGTTCCTTTTGGTGTCTGGCAAAATGTGAGTCAACACTGCTGCTCCTTTGGGGACACCATAAATTAAATAAGCTGTCATGCAACTCTGCAATGCATGCACTTAAAAACCAACATCCTAACTTGTCCTTTGGTGTCCGACAGATTGACGAGCATCTGAGATTTATGATCCTGATGGATGGTGTGCATCCCGAAATGGACACCTGCATCATTGTCGAATATAAAGGTGAACTCTTTATAATGGTTTTTAAAATAATGTGTTCAAATAGAGTGTGAAGCGAAGTTACCCCGACCACCAGGTGGCGATATTGTAGTCTATGTGGAATCCCTTTATCAACTCTGAGTTCAACTCTATTCTGATCCTAGGTCATATGATCCTGAACACTGTGGACTGCACCAGGCCAAACGGGGGCAGGCTACCAGAGAAAGTGGATTTAATGATGAGTGACTTTGCAGGGGGCGCATCTGGATTCCCCATGACCTTCTGTGGAGGGAAATACAGCGGTGGGTTCTACTCAGATCTTTATTCTCACTGCTTATGTTACCGTAATAATCGTAATTCCACGACGCCAGACTTTGGTGTTGAATCCGTTTCTTTAATTTACTGTTTTCAGATTCCTGGAAGGCAGATTTCATTAAGAATGAAAGGAAGAAGCTGCTGAACTACAAAGCTACGCTAGTACGGAGCCTGCAGCCCAAGATCTACTGCCCGTTTGCCGGCTACTTTGTGGAGGCTCATCCATCGGACAGGTGGGGTTCATAGAGGGCAGCTGGGCAGGATTTGTGTCATAACAGTGGATGATGAAAACGACCCCAACATTGAAAAAGCCAGGCCTTTAAAATGTTGATAAATGCTGCAACTCCATACCAACACAGACGCCAGCCTGGGTTTTTGAACCAAACTGGTCTAGTTATAAACGGTTTACTCATATTAGCGTCAGGAAACCATGACAACACCCATGTAATTTTACAATTAACAGTTGTATTTCCTACATGGACTCCTCCCCCTGGTTTATTAATAAACCCTCCTGGCTGGCTCACTACTTATATAGTAGAACCCATAGATGCAGAGGTGCAAAGATAAACCACACGAAGACAGAATCAAGCTGGCAGCCTCTCGCGGGATTTTATTTCAGTTACAGCATCAAACACAACTCATGACAACAGATGGACAGTAGAAGCCCCAACAATCCTCAGAATCCCTAGTGCTGTTCCGTCATTGCCTTCTTATACTACCCCAATGGCGTCATTAGTACTATTCCCGTAAGCGGCCTTCATGTCTGTTATTTGCTCCCTCATATTACATCCTGTAGAACAATCTGGACTCTCCCTGGCTGTATCCTGTTTCGTAATAACTTTGCTCAAAAACATGTCTATTATTTGCTCCCTCAAATTACATCCTGTAGTTGATGAGATTCTTATCACACAATCTCTCACATTCAAAAGCCAAGGAAACCACCTTTTATCAACGCTGTTACACAACTCTAAAACTCTTTTGGATCACAGGAGTTGACGTTTGGCTCTGTCTCAGATTTTGCTTTCTTTTGCTTTTGTCTCTGTGTGTTTGTGCGAACAGATACATCAAAGAAACAAACCACAAAAACAGCGCAGAGGACCTGAACGCACTCATCAATAAATTTGCACCAGAAATAAAGACGTGGACACCAAAGCCAGGCGCTGTGCTGGATCTGGGCCTCGCTCTGAAAGACCCCAACAACAGGTCAACATTAACTCAAAGTTACCAGTCAGCGTGCGTGCGTGTGTATTTAATCCTACTGATAACCACAACAAGGAAAGACATAAATCATTATATGCATTACTATTAAATGACAACACAAGCACAGGTACAGTATGTTAAGTCTTATGTTAAGAGCCATTGTGTAAATATGGCACATGATGACTGTTGGTGTATCTCTGATTGTAATAACCGGCTGAAAAGACAACCAGTAAGTTTAAAGTCTGTGCAAAAATGACATTGTCCTCCTATGCACGCTCAAAGGACCCATATCCAAACTGCTCCAAGCCCTTTGTAAACATAATGCATTTTAAAGGGACAGAATAGAGATGACCTGCAATCAAACCTGAACTGTAACCTCAACTCATGTTCCCTCACTGCTCTGCCAAACATAGCGAGGCTATCACCGATTCCCCAGCCGGTGCGAAAATCTACAAGGACAGCTGGGAGTTCGGCTTGTACGTGGATGAGCTGAACAGCGCCATCAGCAGTGAGATATTTAAACACCGAAGCTGGATCCAGTTTTATTACACCTGGGCAGGCTTTCAAAACTACAACCTTGTTGTGCGGGTAAATCAGTTTATCAAGCAAGAGAGTCTCACTTCATCTTTGATGGGCGTTTGGGTTTTTCTTTTCTTCTTGGCAGTACTGAATATTTCTAACCCCCTCCCCTCTCAAATGGTCCTGTGTACTACCTTGAGTTTCTCTAGACTTCTTTCTTCTTTGGGGGAGAGTCTTGGCTGTAACTCGGGTTCAGCCCAAGCCTTTGGCTTTCACTGTATATAATTTCCTTCCTTTTCCCGCTCTTCTTCTCTCACCTTCTAACCATCTGCTGTAGGGCGGTAAGAAAATATCTAAAATGTCTCATCTTACACAACAGGAGAGACTTTTAAAAAACTGCTGACGATGTGCCACTAAACCGTTGACCTCCTTTGAAACAAGTCGAGGTTGCAGATATGTTGCCGTTGATGACAAAGATGGCTGCTTGGTGCAGAAGTCGAGATCCAGTCAAGTTTTTGTCTTTTCTTTCACCATCAGTGGTGCTGAACCCAAAGTAAATCCATGAGGGACTTCTCAGATGTTGATCAAAAAGACTCTGATCACACACAACCTCAAATTTTATAGAAAACATGACTGTAATTTAAGTCAAGAGTGCATTTAACAGTGAGGTAACGATGACGGCAGTCTGTGCTGGATCACAGGGCAAACTACTGCAGACGACCTGGTGCACATTTAGACTTTTATTTTCAGTCTGAACAGCTCATTGCACTTCCAAGGGGGACTTTTGCCTCATCATCATCATGCAGATCAGAGTTATGGACCTTCTCGAATAGATTTTACTGAGGCATCAGAAACTAAAGAAGTCAGAAAAGGTTGAGCTCAGCCTGAATGTCTCAGGGTTAGTCTTTGAAATAGATCAGAAGCTGCTTTTGCTATCCTCTTTTTTTCCTGGGTATGGCACTCGCGATGTGAAATCTACGTGATGTGTGACATCTGATCTGTTTATTCAAGGTGATTGAGACCGATGACAACTTTCAACCCCTCGCTAGTGGCTACGACTACCTGGTGGACTTCATGGATCTGTCGTACCCAAATAAGAGGCCTGAAAGAGAGCACTCCTACCTGGAGGTGAGACGTGCAAAAAAGACCTAACGGCATCAAAAAACAGACGGAAACGTTCGATCTTTAAGAAACAGTGCAGCACGCTAGACGTTTCTTTGCTTTTCTGCAGGTTAAAAACAGAATTGGAGTGATGAGGTCTGTGGTGCTGCACGGCTGTCTCTGGGACGACCTCTACATCGGCTTCCAGAACCGCATAAGTCGAGACCCTGATGTCTACCACCACAAGTACTTTTTTAAATTTTTTTAAATCAAATGTTAAACACAAACGATAGTGACTTTATTTCGCCTGCGGAAATTATCCAGAGAGCCACCGAGGTGAACTATAGCCAGATTTACAGATGATGCATCTGCTGTTCCTTCTTGTTTCCCAGCATAAAAGAAAACAGTTCATCAAATTCACACTTCTTTGTTTATTTTTGGGTGGAATTCTTGGGTGGAAACCCAGGTGCAAATAAAAGACAAAGGCGAAATCAAACCATGGCAACGACGACTGTGTGCTTCTCCAGCTACAGACACACCTGCCACTACTTGAATCTTCTCCTACTTATAGTGAACAAACCTAGAAACTCAAACACGAACGGAAACATCACATTCAGCACCCTTCAGGTTCAGGGTCACCTGGAACCCGGTTTGAGCTTTTGGCTCAAATTAGATCATTAACCACATTAATTATTTAACCTTTATCGGTAAGATTAACATTACACATGCAAATTGCAATTAAGTACTGACTTGATTAACATAGGACTCATATTCAGGCTTCGTGATTTGTCATTTAAATCTGGATATGACCCAGATCAGGAAGTACAGCTCAGGTTTGTCACAGTTATTCAAAGAAAGACCGGATCATATCAGCATGATCCAGAGTTATCCTTTTAAGAATTACAATCAGGACTATCAGTGCTCCTAGTGTGGCTGCAGTACCTATTTTATCCACAGTGGGGCACTACATAAACTTGAAGACCCTTACAGCTGCCTGAAAGTTAGAGTTTCTCTGATACTGATAAAATACTACAGCTTTTTGATGAAACATAGAAGGAAGTTAATGAAGTTTATACTCAGAAAGTTTGAGATACTGAGACGGTTTTCAACTTCGCAAAAAACGTTTTAGAAGTTCTTGGGATAAAGTTTGGAGTTTGGGTCTGAAAGAGGGACACGATTGACCGGAAAAGCAGGAACCCTCCTCTGTCACACACATACATCCTCAAGAACAGTTTCATTATTTGATGTATTTTGATATTTTTTTATCATATTTAGTCAATCTAAGGCAAATATTTAAATGTGCAACAGGCCTTAGGTACACAAGTCTACAAACGTCTGCATATCTGAGTAACTCCTTTACATTAAAAGCAGAAAAACTGATCGATTAAGATTTTATGAACTTGAATTAAGAGCGTAATTGTTTTTTCTAACACAACCAGAGTTCATCTAAGAACTTTTTTGGTGTTATACGAGGAGCTAGTTTCTGAACAACTCGACTCAGAGAGAAACAGAAAGAGACTACTGTGCTGCCTTAAAGGCGAAGGGAAACAGTTGAAAATGTTATATCAGTTATTAGTTTTAAAGGTTTAGAAGTTTAGTGCTTTGTTTTTTCGTCAGAGTGAGCGTTCGGTTTATTTATCGTTGTGTGGAGCTTTGTAGGTCCCCTCCGTGTTTGCGAGCTTCATATGCAGTAGTTGATAACACACAGATACTCACAAATAGATACTCTGAAATGAAGAGTTTGTTCCCACCATGGTCCGCGACACCTTTGGTAAAGATTTTTCAAAGACAACACTTTGCTTTTGTCCTGATATTTCGCTGTCCTGTCTCTCCACAGGTTCTGGAACCACTTCCAGACAGAGTTACCACAACACAGGCCAGACTGGGACCAGTTCCTGCAGCAGGTTCCTGCAGTGGAGGAGACGCAGAGTTCCTGTGCACTGTCATGAATACTGAGACGATTCATATTTGAAGACCAAAACACTGTTTTATGTTCTGTTTACAACGACTCCTACGCTGATTTCTAATCGTCTAAAAGATTTTCAGACTCTGTGGAGAAACTCTGACATTTTAACACCGTCCGAGAATATTTCTGTCTCTGTGTCTTTGAGGTCACAATAATTTTGGGTGATGAGGGAAACTGACGGTGCTGTTGCACTGCCACTTTAAACCACTTTGAACTTTTTTTTTTTTAGTAGCTGCTGTTTAATAAGTTCTGTAAGAGCTGAAAGTTGAAGTTAAAGTTTTACGGGAATTAATTACTATTTTTCTAACCTGGAACAAATTGTGTAGGAGTTTACACAGCATGCATGAATATGTGAAAGTGATGTTTTTGGGAGTTGATGCTTTAAAGAAATCGATTTTCTCATCTGTTAATTGTATTTCCTGGTCTTCAGACTACCTAAACTTTGTGTCATGTGAGATTATGAGGGAGAGGGCATTCATAAGGTGACTATATACAGCTGTCAGATTGATAAGTGCAATATAGACCTGTTTACAGCCTGTTTCATTGAAGATATGTCAATGCATTTTGGCAACAGAAGTGTTGATGGTTTGTCCCAACTGAATCTGGGGCCTAACCGAATGTGTCGGCGTTCGTCATGGTTAGAAACAGATCAAATGTGTCTTAAAATAAAAATTAAAGACGTTGATGTTGAACATGTTGACTCTATCCAATCTGTGCTGGATTAACATTTAGTCACAAATGTATGAATCCAGTTGGGAGTATGTGGGATAAAAGTTTAGTTTCAAGTCCTGGTTACGACTTAATCATGGCTGAAAGACACGTAGGACCTCATATGGAGAGCGTGTCTCTTATCGAAAGACACCAAAACTCAGCCTCCATGTCTTATCAACTGACGTTATGGGATCATGATCATGGATGACGTAGTCTTAATTTTTCCCTAATGTACACCAAAACAAAACAAAAAAATCTGTCCTGTAGAGCTTTCACAAGTGCTGACTTCAGTTTCACAGTTTTTCTAAATAATATTTGATAAATTGCAGACAGCGCGGTAACAGTGCTCTACTCAAAACCACATTTTATCTATAGAAAACCCAGCTGGACCAAGGTCAGCCCCCCGTTCCTGCAGTAATGACTGAGTAGTCTATAAAAGCCCAAAGAACCACGTTTTTGCACTTCGCCAAAATGCTTCTGCACCCTCATACAGACCAAAAACGGGTCCGTGCGGAGAACCCGAAGAAGCCACCAAGAGGTTCAGAAGTGGATCCTACTAAAAAGAAAAAGTCTTCCTGTTCGGCAGAAGGTCTGTTGGCGAAGAAAGAGAGTGACAAACGGAGAAGACTAACGCGGATTTACATCGGCGTTGCTTTTCCTCGATGGAGAGCCTCAAAGGAGGAGATACGACTGAGGACTACCACTGATGTTGCCTTGATACCGCTGGATAAGTAAGTGACTCTGTTCATTACAAGCAGGATGTGTTGCTGTCAAAATTACCGGGTGAGTATTTTATCATTTTCTTGGAAATGGTGCGATTCATGTAATGTATTGCTAGCAGCCTGGTGTTCGCAACATTGCGTAACGAACGTTAGCCTAACGGGCAGGAAGTTATAAGGTGTGTAGCCCGTGTTGACGAGTAACTTTCGTAGCCTACGCGTTGTGTCAACAGTTACCCCCAATTTCCACCACATCCGGAACGGCTACAAAAGGCAGTAACCAGCTGATCGTAACCATTCAAGTCAACGTATCAATTTCCACCGACTTCTTTCCGTTCCTCTCTGAGCTCCGCAGCTGATCGCAAGAGTTCTATTTTTTCGGATGCTGAGCATGCCGAATAAATTCAGCACAGATTAACCCTTGCTGGAAAGGAAGTCGGGCACAGACACAAAATAAAACATCTGACTTCTTTTCAAAATAAAACACTCCGTGTTTCAGGAGGATCATATTTCACACCATGCGAACGTTGGCGGGAACGAACAAGTGAAAGGTTTTTAGACGTCATTTCACCCCGATGACACCATGGATGAGGAGATGCTGATTCTAGAAGTCTAGAAGTAGATTTCCTCCTCTGGAAGGACACAATCTACTACTTTTAAGGTTAGCCTCTGTTGTCTAAGAGACAACTTGTTATCGTGCGATTGCGCATGGATCCGCGGATTCTTGTGAGTTCACGCAATTCCTGCTGTCCGTAGTCTGCCACGAAATTCATCTCACAAACGGATCCGGTAGGAATTGGCGTACAGTGAAAATCACAGCCGTTCCGAATCTGAGCCATTCCGGTTGCGTAGAAATCCTGGGTAACACTCCGTGTACCGTGACGAGCAGTATGCGGTGAGTCGCAAGTGTTACTATGTGTACGGGTTACACTAGGCCATTGTAATAACACAGAAATCCTCTAGGGGGCGACAGAAGTTACGCACTATAGCTTTGAATTATGAAGTCTCTTGGTGTTCGAAAGCTTTGGCAAACTCAACTCATAGTAGATATTTGGATCAAAAAGCACCAGGGTTAAAATCAAGAGAGTGACAATAGAGAAAGGACTGGTGGAGCTCGCAATCTCTGAAGTTGTGCAATCAGAGCGGTTTTAAACCAACACAGGAATCTAAGATGCTAAAAATCAGACCAAATAAATGTTCAGCGCAAAAAAATCCCAAAGCTTCAAAGTGAAACAGTTATTCTGACACACCGTCAAACGCCACCGTCCGCTCAGGAAATATCTGTTTGAGGTGAGAGAAGTGGAGCATGACTTATACTTGACATACCCTCTAAAAACTAGTCATACATCCTGTTCCTCTTCAGAGTGCCACTTCCTGTTACAGTCAAAAAGATGCAAGAGAATTTCAAAGCCCTCAGTCCCTGAATCACTCGCTGTGGTGATTTCTCCTCCGAAGCATGGGGTGCAGTTTGGAGGGGCTGCTATGGGCCTGGATTATCCTGAACTCTGGCGTGTGTTCGGTCATACTGCCAGAAATAACGGATCGGAGGTTCATCGCCGAATGTGTGAAGGGACACAACAGGGCTCGGTCAGCCGTCAGTCCGCCTGCAAGCAACATGGAGTACATGGTAGGCATGACAGATACTTCTATTCTATCTGAGTCTGTAAAACAACGTGTAAACGGTAGAGACAAGGACATCCAAGGTGTTTTAATGACGATTCAGGCAACTTCTGTTTTTGTAAAAAGTTCCACCTCTCTGAAACCATTTATTCACAGCCTGAAATCTGCCCTGATTTAGTCAGAAGAGCTGGCTCCATAATCACCGTTTATTCATCTGAATTATGAGAAAATGCACAAATGCATTCACAGATCCACAATGTCAGCGATCACTCACTGTCTCCAGGGAGAACTAAGGCCCCAACTACACGAATGCAGATATATTTCAAACCGCACATATTTATGTCCGATTAGGCCTCCCTACCACACCAAAACGGGAGTTTGGAACACTCAAACCAGATAAATCTGAATCCGAAAAAACAAGTGGAGAAATAAAAAAATATCTGTATAAGTGGATTTGTGTGGTTGAACTTTTATGGATCGATGACGTCAAACCGCAGCTCGCGCATGCGAATTAAAAAGAAAAACAACAACAACGATGGCGGACATACAGGGTATTCTTTACGTTTGTTTTGCCCTTTTGGGGCCAATTTCAGCCTTACAAGTGAACCTTGTTTTAAACAATTACAATTACATCCAAGTTTTGGGTCAAACCCGGTCGGACCAGCAAGTGGTGGGACAACTTCGTTTGAGGGGCTGTGCCTGCAGATGAATGGAAGCTAAACTTCCCATTCATCGGCCAATCAGGTAGCTTTGTTCCTGATTTTTTTAAGCGGCACCAGATAGGATTGAGTTTGAAGGCCACGTGTGCACGGATACATTTATTTAGACGTGAGTACAAAAATATCCTGATAAATAAATATCTATATACGTGTAGTCCGGGCCTAAGTTCACATCACCGATCACGAGCTGTTCACCAAGCTGTCCAATTGCCAAAAAGAGTAACATGCTGCATGAAGAAACCTCCAACTTAGCTTGAACTTAACCTAAGTTGGAGGTTTCTTGCAGACACAGCAGAGCTTGAGGAGATCCAAGTAAGATCCAGCTTCTAACCGTGTCCGCGTCTCAAGAAGTTTCAACTGTGCACGTACGTCTGCAGCCAAGTTCTCCTCAAACTCTCAGGAGACACTGAGCAGCAACTTCTGCAGAGTCTATGCAGAAATGCAAACAAGTGCATGTCTTTGGATAAATCAAGTTTACAGCCGGGGACATAAAATGGTGTTGGAGTTAGCATTTCCAATATGGCGAGACTTTTTTTTTGATGAATAAAACATTTAAAAGGGAGCACAGTCGTTTCATATCCTTCCTCTCTGCTCTTTTAGACCTGGGACGAGGACTTGGCCATCATTGCTAAAGGATGGGCAGAAAACTGCGTGTTTGAGCACAACCCCCGCCGATCAGAGTCTACCGCCACCTCTGTGGGAGAAAACATATGGACTGGTTACCCACCATCCAGTTTTGAAACGGCAGGTGCAATACACAGCTGGGATAACGAGAAAGAGTTTTATGACTACGCCAACAATCGCTGCAGCAAAGTGTGTGGCCACTACACTCAGGTCTGCAAACTCTTACAGCTTACTCTTGTGCTTCAAATGTGATCTGTGCTGCGTGACTGAGAGCTGTTCTCGTCTCCAGGTTGTGTGGGCGAGCAGCAACAAGGTCGGCTGTGCCGCCCATCTGTGCCCAAATGGAGTCCAAGAATCCGGTTTTGGCGCAAAGGCAGGGGTCATCTTTGTTTGCAACTACGCACCATCGTAAGTCCTTTACGTCTTCACTGTGAATTAGATGGTTTAGATCTAAGTTTGTGAATGGATGATCGATCTTAACCTGCTCCGCCGAACAAGGTTTAGTACAGAGAGGCATGAGGCTGAAAGCCAAAACCTTCACTGACTTCATCTTTAAAGTTAAAACTGCAGAAAACTCAGTCACAGTGGTGTAAGCGCGGAGTAAAGATGACCTGAGGAAATCTGTTGTAGAAACGGCCCTAACTTGGACTGTTGTTTTTCACACAGGGGTAACGTGAACAGGAGGAGACCGTATGACTCTGAAGGGGCAGCCTGCTCTGGATGTGAAGGGGCCTGCGTGGACAATCTCTGCCGTGAGTATTCAGTCCTGGTCAAAAAACCCTTCATGACACAACTGGAGTTTTAGCGTCTCGTATATTTTTGTCCAAACATTCGTTCTTTAAAGAAAAATATCTTTGACTGTTCAAGGATTTAAGCATCGCTGACTTTAGCTGTCTTCACTATTTATCATCCAAATTTGTATCTAAATATCAACACAGTCAACACAGCAAAGTCTAAAGTGAGAAGACATGCAGGAAATGAAGGCGGCTGCCACAAAAGAGGTGTGACACTGCGAAAACTGCTTTCAAAACAGTTTGTCTAAAAAGTTTCAAAAGTTCCACAAACAGGTAGTTCACTGTTTTTCTGTTTTTGTGCAAACGGCCTTTGAGTCTGGAGGAGGCCAAGGGCGTCTGCTTTTATTCTTGTGCAGAGCAGACTTCATGCACATCCTGTCAGGCTGGCTCAACACGCCTTTTTAAAAAAGAAAAATACAGATATATGCAAATTAATGCAGAGTTGGAAATGAACACACCCTGTTCATCCAGTCTGAGAGATAATTACAGTCTTAGTTCAAGCTGATTCCTGTCGCCTTTCACTTACTCAGAGTCATGAAGACTGTGTACTAAAGGGACATTCCGCGGTAAATTTAATTTTGGGTTGAACACACCGTAACATCGAGTTAGACGCCCCCTCGAGAGATGAATGTTGCCGACCGCTTGCTTCTCTTGTTAGACCAACTTTAGTAACGACCTTACACATGTACCTCTCCACGTGCAAACCTCAACAAAAAGCCACTCTTTAGCCACAAATAATGCTCAGAACAGCACCTTGGGGGGGGTCTAAATCTGTGTTACGGTGTGTTTCACCATGACTTAAATTTACACCGGAATATCCCTTTAATATGGACTGGCGTTCATTTTTCCTGGAGGTGCGGTTTGATTGGATCTACAAAGATGATTCAAAGCTCCTGCCGTTACTGTCAGGTGTATCAGCGCCTGTTTCGGTTGGTTTTTTTGGCTCTACATCCTACAGGAGGAGGAATACTAACACTGTATCCACATGCCAATAATCATAATCTCACACACACACAGCCTTCTTATAGGCCATTATCTAATGTTCGTTTGGGTCTGTGGCGGCTGTATCGTCAGTATCAAATTTCACTTCAACTATAGTTGTAAAAAAACAACAAGTGCATGAGGACGTCTCAAAAAAGTTCATTTTCAGGTCAGGTCAGCAGTCTTTCAGAGGGTGAGATTAAAACTCAGGAAACCTCTCAGGTGTGAAGAGTTCATTCGCTGATTTTCAGGACTGAAAGAACTGACAAGAACCTGGACTTTTCCACGGTTTTCTGATGTTATGAGAGAGAGGATTTTTAACTTTGTCAGCCGTTCTCATCAAAAATAAAACAACAAAAGAATTGAAATATTTCACTTTGTGTGTGAAGAATCTAAAATGTTTGGAACTTTTTCAGGACGTTTTGATCTTTGCGATGCAGAACACGCCGTTCTCCCTCTTTTGGGCTCACTCGGTCTTTGTCCTTGTGTTTTTTCAGGCAGCGGCTGGGCTCCAGAAAGTCAATCACAGATCGTGGATGTCCTGGTTGTCCGGCTCATCGTTCTCATATTCACCTTCGTCGCAGCGTACGCAGTCAGACACTTTTACCCCGACATCTTCTGCTACGAGTAGACCGTCTGCAGAGACCTGAAGGACCTGGACTTGGACAGCAAATCGGACCGTTTTTTTTTTTTTTTTTAGTTTTATTTTGGGGATTCAAGCTGCTCACCGTGAACCCAAACTGCGACTTTATGACCCCTTTACTCTCTGACTATTTCCTTGTTTGTGTAATGATGGGAAACCTGACAAATGAAGATTCAAGTTGTTAAAAATTTTAATATTTTTCATTCACTCTTGGAAACTTAAATATCTGGACGACAGTAAAAGAGGAAAGTGTTCGACATCAGTAAATTAGAGGTGAATTCATCCACATTGACTGATGTTTGGTCTCGTGATGGGTGAAAGTGGAACGAGTCCTCAGAGCCAAAACTGTTCAATAAAAAAGTCCAGGACAGTTTATGATCCGAGCACAAATCCGGTCTTCATGTGTCCCACAAACGCCCTCTACCAGGGTCACATTGAGTCAGTGGTGGCGAAGGTTTGCGGCTAACTTTTGTTGTTCTTCTTCTTCTTTTTGTTGGCGGCGCTGCCCGCTGGAGGAGCCGGGCTCACTGCCGGAGCTCCCAGTTTCTTTGTTTTAGCCTTTTTCACTTTCTCCTTGATGGCGTCGATGTCGAGTTTTCCCTCTGTAGGAGCTGGAAACAAAGAAGAGAAGAGCGTGACCGAGAGGTTAGAGTCAGTGCGAGAGGAGACGGTTTTTGATTTTCTCTTTAAAAAGAACTCTTCCTCTTTCTTTTTTTTTTTACCTTTGGTGGATTTCTTCATCAGCGGCTTCTCTTTAGGAGGGATGAAAGCTTTGTTTCTCTCTTCTTGCTTCTTGGTCAGAGCTTCTGCTTGTTTGACCTGAGAAAGAGGAACTCGAGTCACACAGCTGCCGGTTTCTGTGACTCAACCCTGAGCCGTCTTTGTGCAAACTTTGTGACCGAGAGCTACCACAAGAACCGGGTCATGCCATTTCAGCGGCTCATTAACACATGAACTGGATCTGGTTGACGATGCACGACTAATTTTATTCAGTCGGCTTCATTCTTAAAAGTTTGTTCTTTCAACACAGAATAAAAGGAGGTGAATTTTCAGGCATGCAGCGCCACATTCGGAGGGTCTGCAGCGTCATCTGCAGACACTAAAGCCTCCTGATGTGTGATTGGTCAACAGTACAAACAGAGAACAGGAACACCTCCACTTCTAAACTCCAGAAAAGGCAGAATTAATCCAAAGGATTAAAACGCAGCAGGATATGAAGACACCAACGCTCACCTTGATTTCCTCCATCTTCTTCCTCTTTTTCACACTTTCACGCAGGAAGAACTCTCCTGTCGTCAGCTCTTTGTCAACCTTCAAGCGCAACAAACGGGATTTAAGTTGAATTACACTTTTCACATTCACACTTCTCCAGATTTAAATCCACCGTGAGTATCGAAAGCTCACCTTGCTCTCCGGCTGCTGCGGTGGGAACGGCGTGTACTCCTTCTTCACGCTCTTCTTCTTCGGCTCTCGCCGCTTGGTCAGGTTCTTGTGCCGGAACTTCGGCAGGAAACGTTCCCAGCTCTGCACCCGCAGGTCGGGGTCTTTAGAGAGCTCCCGTTTGATCATCAGAGTCTGATCGCCACCGTGATGGGGAGGGGATGGGGGAAGGGGTGGGGGGGTATGAAGCAGGGTGGTGGAGGGACGGGTGGAATAAAAATATGAAGATTTGATGCTTTTGTCATGTTGTGTTTTCATGCATGAAGCAGATAAATGTTTGTTTAATGCGCCACAGTTATGAATGAGTGCTGCACCTAAATAAGGACGCAAATCCCGCACACAGGTTGAGAACTTTTATTCCTCCATCTTTGGACTAAAAGCCAACAGACGGTTTGGACGAGTTTGCAGAAAACTGGGAAATATTTAGGAGTCCAGTTTTCTTCTGCAGCATTTTCACATGTAGTAGATCGAGTTCGCTCGGTACGACGACATCTGCAGGGATCGTCTAAATCAGTCTATAACTCGTGTTGATATTCAGCATGTTCAACAACCTTTTTATGTTCTGGGAGAAAGAACAGACACCAGGAGGGTCAGAACTTTCTTCTTCTGCAGCATCCCCGTTTTAAAACGTAAGATTTGTTCGTGTCGTCACGCTTTCACAGACTGGAGCTGCCAGCCTTAAGAAGAGAGTTTATAGATGAAGACCTTTACTGAACTTTGGTTACTCAGGAAGAAGAAGGTGATGAAATCTATAAAATCACTCTTTTAAAATCGGATGGAGCTCCTCAATGAAAGCAGGTTATAAAAAGTGATCAGACTTTTAGCAGTCCGGCTGTTTTCTGTGTTTTAAATGAGTTATAATTAAGAACTAATAAGAATCTGTTTATGTAAAAATGAGCAATCGTGAGAATTACAGTGGAAAATTTTGACATTAATTCACAATAACACGTTCCAAACTAGATATTAGATCATGATTGTGACTCGTCATCACTTCCTTTGTCAGTTTCAGATTTGTCTCATATTCTTGATCTAACATGACACATTTTTTCTTCATTTTTAATCACAGAGAAATCAGAGGTTCAGTTTAGTTTCTAACCAGCAGAAAAACTTCAGTGACTGTTACTCAAACTGTCCGTCACGCCCTCAGCTCCAGGTTGAACCAGCCTCGGCTACAAACCCAGAGAGGTTTTATTTCAGTCAGGAGGTCGAGAACAAGGATGGAAAACATCTTCATCGGGCATGAACGCAGTCACTTTTACAGCGGAGCAGCAGCTGTTTGGACTCACCTTAATGTTGTAGATGGGGTGGATGTTCTTCATCGTGTCCATCACCACTTTTCGGACCTGAAGAGAAAAAGGAGACAACTAATCAAAACATTCAAAGCTTTTGTTTAAGTATTCGAGGTCATTTAGTTTGAGAGTGAAAGACAAACAGAAATATTTTCCTCCATTTTCCTTGCATCTTTGAAAATCAGCTGCTGCACCCTCCCCTCCAACACACATTAGTTTTTACCACCGTCCTCAGGGAACACGAACACACGCACCCCTCACCTCTTTGAGGCCGCCGTAGGGCCCGAGGGCCGACACGGTGTTTCCCTGCACCATCACGTAACAGTTAGTCAACAACTCCAGCGCCTGAAGGAAAAGACAGAGCAGGAGAGATTCAACAGAGACACAAACACTCACTCAGGGGATAATCACAACAGTGCTGCCACCAAGTGACGCTTTCCTGTCACACTCGACAGACGCAGAACAAGACCACAGAGCTTCTGTTAACGGTGACACTCAATTCAGACTTTTCCAAACACTGACCACACGAGTTTACAACTGAAGACGCACTTGTTTACTTTAGCTTTTGATGGAGTGTGATACTTGTATTGGCTCTATATTCGTTTTTGTTTACATTTATATGTTACATGTCTTTTGTTGTTGCTGTTTACTGTTGAATGACTTGCTTTTATTGCTACTTCATTATTTTAAAGTTCTTTGGTAGGCCACTGGCTGTTTAAATGTGCTATACAAAATTCAGTGAGAATTCAGGCCAAGATTAGAAAAGTAATGAAAAATATTTTCAGAATCTCTGAGTGTTTGATTTCGAACGGATGTTAAACGTTGAATCTAGTTTTCATCACAAGGAGTGAATTCAGTTTTATTTCTACTCTTGTAAATCGACTCTGACACAAAATGTATTAAAGTTCAGAGCAAGTCTCCACTAAATGTGATCAATTTCTTTTGAAAAGTTTTATTAACTTAGCCAATAAAAAGCAGGTTTCCCATATAGACAGAAATATGTTACTAGACACTCCAGACAATAATTTTTATATTAAAAACCAAATGGGAGCTTGAGTTAAATATTAAAATTGAGGATGGGGAATGGGAAGCAGCGTAAATTCGACGTCGTAAAGGTATCAATAGTAACATGTGGAAGGAGTTTGATTGGAAGGTGAAGACAGGGATCTTTAAGACGCCCTGCGTGGTCTCTAAACTCGTCGATAACCCAGCTGCAACTTACTGTTGGAGAGGATGTGGAGCGGTTGGCGACCACTCACACATATTTTGGGATTGCCCGATGACGCCTCCTTTTTGGAAAGAGCGAGATAGATAAAGTTCTGGGAATCAATCAGTTTCTCTTCGATCTAACTCCTGAAGACATGTACACTAGAGACCAAAAGTACTTGTTACATATATGACTGCTAGGAACATGATAACTGTAGGAGCCATTTTTGTCTCACTGCAATACCAATTTATGCCAGCGGGTGGTGGGTGTGTTTTTTTTTTTGTCATAAAGGTGGGAACTTTGCGTTACTGGGCAGGTGTTGCCGGACAGAAGAGCGCACAGTTTTTCAACCGCTAGAAGATATGCTTTTGGCACCGCTATCTCCGTTACCGATGCATTGCTGTGGTGTTGTACTTGATATTTCTACAAAAATGTGAGAAATTAAAGATCACATTAAGCAAACAAGGAGTGGACTTGAATTAATTGGAAGTGCCAGTAAGTGTAGTCAGCGCGTTGTTAAGTTTAGCCTGTCCTGCAGCCCCTCAGTGGCTTCAAGCTGGGGCTTAGCCACTACAATAACAATAAAATGGATGAATCCGCAGCCACCTACAGTGGCACAGTGGAAACAGAAACTGAGGGAGGTGTGTGGAATGGAGGCTTTAACTGCTACATTACAATTAAGGTCTGATGTTTTTGTGAGGAGGTGGCTACCTATAGCGAGATATCTCTCTGACTGAGGGGGACCCCACAATATGCTGGAATATCTGAACTGTCCAATTCTTTATCTATTATTTTTCACTCATTTGTATTATTCGGTTTTCCGTGCTCCATGGGTTTTCTCTTTTCTTTTTTCATGTCTTCAGCACTGTCATACATAACCTGTGATGTTGTCAAGGAATGTTTGTGTTTCTCTTTAATAAAAAAAATAATAAAGTAAAAAAAAAAAAATTATTAACTTTCTTCATTCAACAATGAAAGAAAGTACAGTATCTGAGGTTCTGCTGCACCCCAGCAGATGTACCAGTTTTGTTTTCAGCTATACTCACTTTCAATGTGGACCCCTTGGGACCAATTAGCCGCTGCCGCCTCTTCACAAACCGCTCCCTGTTCCTAACCAGTGTCCCAATTTTGATGATGTCGCACGCCATGTCGTCCTGTAGTATCCGCACAGCCTGAAGGCAAGAAATACAAATAAAACACAAGCAGAGAAATGAGCCAAAGAGAGCCGCTTCACCGCCAAGTCTCAGTTCATCAAAGGGGGAGTTTAAACCGCACAGATAGTCGTGAGAGTGTCCTGTGTGTGATGATCACCTGCTCAAACGGTACACTCCTGGCCAGCAGCTTGATGAGATCTCTCGCTCTCATGATTGCATACGGATCAAAAGTTTTCTTCGTGGTGCAAACGGTGATACTTCCCTCAATCAGGTCCAGAGACGCTTTAATGTTCTGAGAGAAACAATGAATATGACAAAACACAGTAAGTAAGCTTCACTGTCATTCATCAGAGTTTATCGTCCTGTTCATCATGTTTTCAAGAAAAAGTCTGTCGAGCATCAGTGAACTCACCGCCTCTCCCAGCGCCTTCTCCACCAGCGGCCAGCACTCCTTCAGGTAAGCTTCTCTGTATTTGGGGAACAGGGTGGCAAAGCTGCTCTCCTCCAGCAGACCTCGGGGGTTATCCTCTCTGGTGAACGTGGGCTCTTTCCATCCATCAGGAACGGTCAGGAGTTCAGATTCATCCACTGCAGGAAACAAGAATATTAAAAGGTCTGAGGTCAGTTTTTTTTTAAATGTTTTTTTGAATCAAACTGCTTCTAATGTGCTATTTTAATCAGCCAAATCAACAGAAAACAAACAACAAATGCGCAGAAGTTTAATGCTGTTTTCCTTGGAGTGAAATTAAAACTTTTTAAAGAGGGGACACCCGAATTTTAACTGCACCAAGAAACAGCTCACAGGATACATTCAAGTGTGACTATCAGCATCCTAAGGTCCTCCTGTGTCATAACTACCAACGAATAACTGTTTTTGTTCAACCACAGTCCCAATGTATAGAAAACATAGATTAAATGGAGGTATGAGAGTCCTTTTCAAGATAGTTTGGACATAAAAACTTTATTTTCTGCTCTCTGATGAATTCTTAAACAACAATTTCTTTTCTGCATCGTCTTATGAAGTTTATTCATTCTTATTTCCTCTTTGTGTATTTTATTTTGTCATGTAACCTCTTTATTTTACATCTAACAACATCAAGAAGAGGTTGATTTATTTTAATAATAAAAAACAAATATACTTTAAGCCAAATTCAGCATACTCAATCATTTTAGCTTCTCTGTAGTTTTATAAACAAAGCTTACATAAAGCCAAAGTACATGACTTCAACGTGTTTACAATGATGTAGAAAAAGAATTTACAAGAAAATTCAAAAGAGTGATTAATAATAAAACGAAATTAGTGGTTGATTTATGGTTTTTCTTTTGATTTTGTATCTATTCTTTTCTGTGAAACATCGAGTCGTTCAAAATACACAAAACCTAGATTTTCCCCTCATGTCCCTGTTTTTGTATGATTAAGAATAAAATCATTATCTACAGTAAGTTAAATTCATAGACTGCATATACTATTTCTATATATATATATATTATATCATGTTGTATATACTGTTTAAATATACAGTCTAAGGTTAAAATGTGTCCTTTCAGACAATTTATCCGTCTGGAAACTCCCAGATCATTAATTCACTAAAAGCTCAGTCGCTGTTTCAAAGCTTATAACATGCGTGCTGTCTCGCTAATGTGTAAACACGCCGATAAAAGTCACCAAAATCACCCTCCAACTCGCACTTACATGAACCTCCAAAGTAAGAAAAACGTTTTAAGCACGTTTGTTTCACAGCTTACCCTGGTTTTCAGTCTTTTTCGCTGTTTGTGTTTCACTCATGCCGTCTCCCGGAGTGGAGGACGCCATCGTTGTTGGAGAGCGGAAGTGACGAACTTTCTTCTTCCGCACAACGCACGCTGTTGACCAATGGAGACCGACTTCCGCGCATGGCGGCCATCTTGCCTCAGACAGCTCGCCCACTCAAAACATTCCGGTCTGCGGTACTTGTAACGTTGAAGTAACCACAGATCGATTCATTTAAAACTGATTTTCGAACGGTTTGGTTTGTAACAGACCTCAGATTTGAAGCTTTGTTCCTGCATATTTAGGAATAATTTTAACCATGGACTTTCATAAATAAAGAATAAGCACATAAATAAAGCAATAGCTACAGGCCGACACACACGTCAGAATATTAAATTATTTATATAAAATATTTAATCATTAAGTCTATGTTATATGAATAATATTTCTATTTAAACGAAAACTAGAAAAACACATAACATCAGCATATGTATTCATTTTCAATATGAATATCTTTTTCATGTTGCCTTTCTGTATTTTTGTTTGTTGTGATATCTATCTATATCTATATATATATATATATATATATATATATATATATATATATATATATATATATATATATGTAGAGAGAGAGAGAGAGAGAGAGAGAGAGAGAGAGAGAGAGAGAGGCACAGTGGTGTAGTGGTTAGCACTGTCGCCTCACAGCAAGAAGGTCCTGAGTTCCAACCTGCCACAGGGCGTCTCTGTGTGGAGTTTGCATGTTCTCCCTGTGTCTGCGTGGGTTTACTCTGGTTTCCTCCCACATACCCAAAATGTACAGAAGTGGGGTTAGGTTAATTGGCCACTATCAAATTGCCTGTAGGTGTGAGTGTGGATGGTTGTTTGCTCCGTATGTCAGCCCTGCGATGAACTGGTGACTTGTCCAGGGTGTCCCCTGCCTTTGGCCGAAGATGCTGGGATAGGCTCCAGCAACCCCACGACCCCGGGAACAGGAATAAGCGATTAAGTCTATGTTATATGCTTTAGTAATATTTCTATTCTGGAAACGATAACTATAAATAACACAACACCTGTTGCTTAGAAAACTATATATATTATATCGTTGATGTCATGCAGAAATCTCCTATCTTCATATTTACCTTTTTTTTTGTTAGATGTGTGGATTTGTCCACCACATACTTTGAATGAACAATAACCCACCTTAGAGAGAATATCACAAATTAAAACACATGAAACAAATGTCCAAATATCCTGACTCAGAGCAACAATCACTCTGCTGTGAGACTAAAGTCTTCAAACCTGACGGGGATCACAGACTTTATCTTTGACTCCAACAGGAACTTTGATTTCCAAGAAAAGACGATCAAATCAAAGTTCCTGCTTCATAAAAACTATGACCAACTAAACACACCGACTTTCCTTCACGCAGCGTCCTCCAGCCTCAGCTGAATCAAGGCTTTGAGTCTCTATGATCCACTACCGTATTGACCTGAGTATAGGAGCACCCTGATGATAAAACCTTCCTCCACTTTTCAGACTCACTTTACTTTTTAAAGACCAGATCTAGTTTTTCTTTGAAGGAAAAATAATAATAATCAATTGGACACAGTGAATGAAACAAGCTGAGTTGATGTTTTTAACATGTTTTAGTTCAAATAAAGTTTTTATTATCTCTAAATGACACTGTTACAGTGAAATTATATAAAAAATGATGTAGTGTAAATGAAGAACCAACATAGTGTTACACAGACAGAGCACAGATCTATTGATACTAGATAAACTGAAGAGGACAAATCTGTTCACAATAGTTCTATGTTTCCTGTTTCTCTGCTGTGAGCAGACTGTGACATGAGCTGTCCTGGCTTCTGATTGGACCTTTACAGGTCAGCTGATGGCACATACAGCCTCTGATTGGCTAACAACAGAAATGACACAAACTAATCTCCTGAAAGCTGACGGTCTCACATAGCCAGTGGATTTTACAGGAAGTCACTCCACTGTAAGATCAATTTATGAAGCTGAGATTGTAATCAACAACACTGAGTTTATAAAACAGCATCGACCACGTTAATGACTTCACCCTGAATAGATGCTGATCTCACTTTTTCCAGACTCCAGTCAATACGGTTATTTTTGTCTGTCAGAGGAAAACTTCTCCATCATAATAAAGTAAAAATAATGTTTTTTTATTGTTCAAGAATCTTTCCTTTGACTGATTATATTTCACACATTTTACTTTGACTCTCAGGTCTCATTTAATGGTTTAATAATTGTGTTTGTTCATCCAAACAGGAGGGAATCGATTATTGATGAGCACAAAGATTATATGAGAACAAAAACATGTAAAGAGACAGAAAATAATGTCTAATAATATAAAATAAGGTCAATTTACCTCCAGTCAATATTTACAATCATTTCAGAAAATGAAAACAGATTAATAAAAATAATCAAGTGAAAGAATAAAGCTTCTGATTTTTGTTAAAACCCCAAACCCTGTCCTCCTCCTCCCTTCACCTCCATCTCTCCTCACTTCTCTTCCTCTCCCTTCAGTTTATATTCGGTCTCTAACGGTGCAAAGGAAAGAAAAAACCTTTGTGTTTAATCTGAACTTCTGACTGATCTACTCTCACACATGGTATCAACTTCTGCTGCAGAAATATGTGGGAATAAATCAACTCCACCTCTTTATATTTCCACTGGGTGGCGCTGCATCATGGTAAAACAAAGTAATCCAATCAAAGTGTAAATTTATGATCATGTTTCCATCAACAAAACAAACCTGTTCAGACTGTTTGATCCCAGAATATGAGGGAAAAGATCAAATATCCAGAGTCCAGGTCCTGAGCTGATCTCAGAGCAGGTCAAAGTGCAGCTCCCACAGTCCTCTCCGCCCGCTGTGATTGGTCAGTCAGTCTCTCAGTAACGCGGCCCAGTCAGAGACTCACCTCACCCTCACTGCTGCTGCCTCCACCTCTCTGATCATCAGGAAACACATGATCCTCTTCTTAATCACTCTCATAGATGTTACTACGATCTGAGGAGAGAAAAAAAAAGACGATCAGTGTTTCCACTCTGAGACTCACTTCATCAGCTGGACTGAAGAACATCCAGTTTACAGACCAGCAGGTCTCAGTCCTGCTCAGACCAAAAGTGATGGTGTAAAGCAGCAGGTTTCCTCACAAATAAACCAACATCATCAAAATAAAGAAATCATTCCTGTCAAATGTGTTAAGGCTGATCGAACAAACCTGCTGTGAAAATAACAAGTATAAAGAACAGCTGTCTGTTTTCAAACTTAGAGGTCAAAATCAACAAGTTAGCAGAGAAATAAAGTCTGTGTTGAATACAGAGAACTATAAACTGGACTTCAGAGCAGAAACTGAACATTTCTATTTCATTATGTCTCATTTCTACATTTGATCTGAAATATAGAGACGAGGAGACACTTTTTTCATCACTGACACTCTTACACTCCTGGTTTGATGATTTCTGTTCTCACAGCTTCACTAAAGAAATAATCCTCTGAGAGGGTCGAAGAGTCAGCAGGAAATACTGAATATCTGCTGTGATACTGTGTGGAGTGGAACACAGGCATGAAAATGGGTCAGGGGTTGAAAAGGTGAGAAGGGTGCAGAGGAAATACGTTCCGGTACACTGTACAACCCAACAAAATATTGAGCTCTGTCTACTCACACTGTGTTTCAATGATCTGCAGGAGGCGCCGAAAACACTCCAAGTCTCTCTCTCTCTCTCTCTCTCTCTCTCTCTCTCTCTCTCTCTCTCTCACACACACACACACACACACACACACACCACATCATATGCATCTTCTGCTGGCCATGTTTTATTTAGAAACAAAGTTTACTTTCACAGAAGCTAAATGAGTTAGATGGGTCAGAGAGAGATGTTCAAAACTGTTTGTACAGGGCCATATGAACAATAATAATTTAAAGAGGAAAAAAAAACAGAATAAAAAAAATAAAGACTTTCCATCCTGCACTTTAGATCAATGTATGCCCTACCAGACTGGAGAACAATACATGCAATTCCAATAGATCCAATACCAAGTCCAATTGATCACTTTTTCTTTTTGCCTGGGCTGCCAGAGTCTCCATGGCCTTTTACGCTGAGTGGCCACATGCCTCAGCCTTGCCTGCTTCTCACTTTCAGCAGCCTGCTTCTTTGTCTGCTGAACACTCACAGTTTCTTGACAGCCATATAAAAATAATAGCAACATAGCGATTTACACAACAGCTTTAGTAGCTTTTGGTCCAAACGCACAGCAAGCCTTTCGTGACACACTCTTCCCTGTTGTCTTCTCTCATGCTAATGTCGCGCTGAAAAAAACTGTGTATTTTTTTTCAAATTTAAAAAATTGAAAAAAAAAAAAAACTACACAAGCTTGACGCTAACTTAATATCTAGCAAATGGGAGCTATTTTTTCACCGGAGATTTGGCTAGCTCTGGCAGTGTTCAACGCAAGCTGTAGCGAACGGTAGTATCTTTGTTATACCACAAAATATGAAAACGATTGAAACTATTACTCACCAAATTCAATCTGCTGGTAAATGCAGGTAAATGTGTACGCTACGCTCTGGTCTGCCTTGTCCCCGGTGTTGTGCCATAGAATGCACCCCTGCATCCCATCCACTCATTAGCTTCTTAAAGTGGAAGAAAATGGGCTCATATTTTACAAAGACACAAGTATTTGGATCATGACTACTAGCAAACTTTCATTCTGTTTTAATGTGTCTAAAAAATGCACATATCAAGGTGTACTTGGGTATATAAACTGTACAGTAAGATGTCAAGATAGCAAACAATATACTTTCGGGACAGCAAATATTCTGAATCAGAGGGCTATTGTTTTCGGCTTATCTAAATAACCTGAATGAAATCATTAAAGGCACACGCTTTTGAATCCATCCAACGGTAAGGAAAACTTGGATTATTTCACCTCATGTACTTTCAACCGCGCTCTCATCGGGGGGGGGGGGGGGGGGGCATTCTATGGCAGGGGTGCATTCTACGGCACAACACCGGCGTGGATAAGTCCTGCTTCTCGTTCTCGCAGCTTTGCAAAGCTACCTCAGGCTCTCCAAGCACTCCAAGTACACGTGAAGAGTGTGCGCATGATTGAAATAATGGAACGCAGTTTGGTCTATGATTGGTTCTCGTCAGCAAAGCAGCCAGGAGGATTTGCTGACCGTCCAAGTGTCATTTAAAGGGCCGGTTTCTGAGGTGCTCAGTTTGCGTATTAAATTACGTGATAATTTAAAAAAAAAAAATTCCCCAAGTTTCTCCTCGGATCTACACGATTCATGTAGGTCATGCCTGGGAACAGGAGAGATCAGCACAGACTAACTCCAACTCTATACTGACCTCAGATCCTTCAGTCTGTAGTTTGGACTCTTCTGAAGATCACGCAGCAGCTTCACTCCTGAATCCTGCAGATTGTTGCCAAACAGCCACAGAGTTTTCAAATGGGAGGGGTTGGACTTCAGAGCTGAGGCCAGAGAAGAACAGCTGATCTTTGTCAAACTGCAGTTATCCAACCTAAATAAAGAGGAAAAAATGAGATTTTAGACAAAAATGATCCAGTTTGAAACCTGATGTCTTAAATGTGTAGAGTTCAGGGGAAAGATTTAGAAAGTATGAATCGAAGAAAAGTGACGCTTCACAAACAAATCATATTAATGTTTGAATGGAGGAAAAAAGTCTCACTCTAGAGTCTCCAGTTTACAGTTTGGACTCTGCAGAGAGTCACACAACAGCTTCACTCCTGAATCTTGCAGATTGTTGTAACCCAGGTCCAGATGACTCAGATGGGAGGGGTTGGACTTCAGAGCTGAGACCAGAGAAGACCAGCTGATCTTTGACAAACTGCAGTTCATCAGTCTAAAAAAAGGAAAGAGCATGAAGATAAAAATAATTAATAATCAAACCTCATGTGTTCAGGTTTAAAATATGGAGCTTAGAGAACTCCAACAGGAGACCTTTGGACCAGATCCAGTCTGTCAGAGCTCATTATCTGGTCTGCTCTGACCCTCCATGTAAAATAACGGACAAAACATCAAATGTGATGGAGCACTGGTTTGGATCAGAGGTTCAAATGTTCAGAAGGTGGAGTCCTTGTTGCAGCAGTTGCTGGTTGGACTCCCATGATCCTTTGCTGTAAGTCCCCCCTCACTCTCTACTCCACGTTTCCTGTTCCTCTTCAGCTTCCAGACTAATAAAAGGTAAAAAGTCTTAAAAATGAACTTGAACTGTGACGTGGAGGATACACTGAACTCAAACCTCATGTTCTGACCGATTAAACACATTTGATGAAAAATTGATTTTTTTCCGATTTGGTTTGTTTGGTGTTTTTTTGTGACTCTGAATTTATGAAGCACCATTATTACTTTAATAACTGGGATGAAAACGATGCTAGCTGAGGCAACAACAACAACAACACACAAGGAAACTGGGAGCTGGAAGTTTGGTCCTGTCACACTCTGTTGTGTATCTCAGGCTGACCTACTCACCTCCTCATCAGCACTGATTCCCCACACCTGTGAATGACAAGCTGCAGCTCCTCACTGCTGATTAGCCAGCCAGCATTTAAGTCACTCTGTGTCCCTCATTCAGTGCCAGATTGTCTTCGCAGCATGCACGACTCTCCAGCATTATTTCTTGGATTGACTTCTCAGTTTCGACTCCTGCATGTCTCTGACCACGTCTTATCGTCTCAGCCCTTGGATCCCCTGTCAAGTCGTTCTGGTGAGAACTTCAGGTTTTGCTGTGTTGCTGGCTTCCCGACCTACTGCCTGTCAACGACTATCCTTCTGTCCTCTGGAATTAGTCTGCCCCGCTGATTGTCTACCTGGATTCAACATTGCCTCCGCTTCGACCACGAGCCCAGCCTGCCCCTCGACAGTGCCGCTGCACTTCACAAAGACTCTCAGGTGTAGTGTGTTTTCTGTGTGCACTCACCTTTCTGCCTGTTGGACCTGTTTCCTGTTGATCTTGGAGATTCTACAGAGACTGCTAAATCAATCCCAGTATCTTCAGTTACCTGTTTGCTGTGAACTATTGCAATAAAAGTAGCTTCTGAACAACTACCTGCCGTTGTGCCGCACTTGGGTCCTACATCCACACCCCTGACAGGTCCATGACTTTATCCTCATTATTGTAACGTGTCAAAAAGACAAATACATCTGTCACACTCCTGTCTGATATCAGTATGATATGGTTGTAATTCATGAATATTAACTAATGAATATGTTCAAAATGTCTCTGAAATCTAAATAATAAAACTCCAAATCTAAAAGTTTATTTTTAAAAAAATCAACTGTCACATTATCATGACAAACAAAATTCAGTTTCAACAATTTAAAGTTTGTGTGGAAACATTAAAATCACAAAAACCATCAAATCTAAAGAGATGAGGGAAAACTCTAGAACTGCTGATTTGGTTGATTAAAGGGACGCACAGACGTCATGAAGTCTGATCTAATGGCTGCTACTGCTGTTTTTTTTCTCAGGAGGTTTGGTTGAATTCACTCCAGCATGTCCTCTAGACATGAAAACATCAACATGAGTCAACTCTGCATGAGCGATGGACACCTGAATTTTCCAACCACTTCAAAGTTTGTCTCCTGGACTGTTTGGATGAAATCTCTGCTATCAGCTGATTGTTGTTGTTGTAACTAAAGCAGCATGTTGTGAGGATGTGCTCACAGGGTCTGGTCTGTGCTGGGGAGTTATACAGAGGGTTAAAATGACGGAGCTCTGACAGCAAGGTTTCTGACTGAAGCTGCTGACTGCTGGGACTTTAACACACCTTTTGTTGTTGACAATGTTTCCTGTCTGAAAAAGATGAGCTGTGTTCCTGAGCTGCATGGATAGTGAGTTCACTGCATCCTTGAACATTTGAACGCTTTAGAAACCGAGGAAGTAAACCCGTCAACATCACTGCAGTGATCATCTGAACCATTTATAAAAAATCAACATTCAATCAACAAAATAACTCACAGTTTTCCTCCATCTGTATCTGACTGATAATTCAATAATAAAACATGGATTTATGTGAGTAAGAAGAAAGTTCTGGAAATATTAAAGAATTCTATGAACATTTGAATCGGGTTCAAAAAATCTGAATAAAAATAAAAATCTACACCAGAAACAGACAAAGACTAAACTTACCTCAGAGTCTCCAGTTTACAGTTTGGACTCTGCAGAAAGTCACACAGCAGCTTCACTCCTGAATCCTGCAAAACGTTTTCACTCAGGTCCAGATGTCTCAGATGGGAGGGGTTGGACTTCAGAGCTGAGACGAGAGAAGACCAGCTGATCTTTGTCAAACTGCAGCTCTTTAACCTAAATAAAGAGGAGAAAACGAGATTTTAGAGAAGAATGATCCAGTTTGAAACCTGATGTCTTAAATCTGTAGAGTTCAGGGAAAAGGTTTGGAAAGTATGAATTGAAGAAAAGTGACGCTCCAAAGAGCTGAACCAAACAGGAGGTAAGTTTGAAACAGTGAATTCAAAAACACATTAAATAGTGAAATAAAAAACTCAGAGACTTTTTTACTGAATGTAGATGCAGTTTAATGTTTTTAGAAAATGTCAGCGACTTCAGGACGGATGGGAAATAAAGGATGTTGAGAATAAACCAGAAAATTCAGATTTTCACACAAAGATAAAAAAAACCTCAAAATTCAAAGTAACAGAGCTGGACTTTCATCAGCGTCAGAAACTAAACTGAGTTTTTTCTATTACCTGATCTTGTCCTGAACTAAAGTTTGAATGGTTCTCGTCTGACAAATCTCCCCCTGCTTCTGTTTTCTGTCTGAATGTGCTTCTCACTGTGAACTCTAAAAAGAGTTTTCTTCTTGTGTTCAGGTTTTAATTCACTGGAGCTCAGCAGTGATCTAACTGGAGTCAATCAAATAATCCACTGATGCAGAAAATCTACTCTGGACTGAAGGTGTTCAGTCTGGGTCAGTATTTCAGTCCTGAGTCAGCAGTTTAGTGTCATCATCACAAACAAATCATGATAATGTTTGAATGGAGGAAAAATGTCTCACGTCAGTGTCTCCAGTTTACAGTTTGGACTCTGCAGAAAGTCACACAGCAGCTTCACTCCTGAATCTTGCAGATTGTTGAAACTTAGGTCCAGATGTCTCAGATAGGAGGGGTTGGACTTCAGAGCTGAGACCAGAGAAGAACAGCTGATCTCTGACAAACTGCAGCCCCTCAGTCTAAAAAAGGAAAGAGAATGAAGATAAAAATAATTAATAATCAAACTTCACGTGTTCAGGTTTAAAATATGGAGCTTAGAGAACTCCAACAGGAGACCTTTGGACCAGATCCAGTCTGTCAGAGCTCTTTATCTGGTCTGCTCTGACCCTCTATGTAAAATAACAGACAAGATATCAAATGTGATGGAGCACTGGTTTGGATTAGAGGTTCAGGTGTTCAGAAGGTGGAGTCCATGTTGCAGCAGTTGCTGGTTGGACTCCCATGATCCTTTGCTGTAAGTCCTCCCTCACTCTCTACTCCACGTTTCCTGTTCCTCTTCAGCGCTCGGATCAATAGAAGTCTTCAAAATGAACTTGAACTGTGACATGGAGGAAACAGGAGGATCTTTGTCTGCCTTCATCCCTCACTGTACACTGATCTTCAACAATAACACTCAACCCAGAATAACAGACTGTGTTGTCTCTACTGTCAGCACTGGACCGGACCAGCCAGCAATCCTCCAGATCTGAGTTCATGGAAGTCAGAGACAAACCAGAAATACTCTCAACCAAGAAGAGCTCAGAGAGAGTCACCCAGGACACTGAGCGGACCTCCCTCAACCAGGCTGGTCTCAAGAGTTTGTATTTAGCAGATCCAGCCCATGTGAACCTGAACCTGAATGTGCTCTCAGACTGTAACATCAGCGCTCTGCCAAACAGAGAATGGATGAGACTCTGATGAGACAGGTCAGCTGACTCTGTCTGCAACAACATCACCTTTACTGCTTTACTCTTCTCCCTCACCTTCATCAGGATCAACAAGGTCAGACAGCAGACAGATCCACTCTTCCTCTCACTTTGTCATTGATTCACTGATGGCTGAGTTCACTCACATTTCATTTAGTCCACTCTCTAATCGGGTTTTGCTGCAGGAACCTTTCAAATGATATGAGCAGTTATTGAGCTCACAGAAAATAGGCAGTGGAGCCAAAACAGGAACCTGATCAATCTGATCATTGAATATTGATCAGAAGAAAAATCTAAATGGTTCAAATAATATTGAGAAGAACAAAATCTGAGAGTTTGGTTCTTTAATTCATTTGGTTCAATCATAAAAGTGACAAAGAAAACTTTGTTTTTGTGACTTCAGTCATCACAGCAAAGAGACAAAGAGGAAAATCTCTGTCTGTGTTTGTGTGTTTGTGTCTCTGTCTGTGTCTCTGTCTGTGTCTCTCTGTCTGTATTTGTGTGTCTGTCAGTGTAAATTCAGGCGTCTGTGTTTCTAACTGTCAGAGCAGATCTTTCTCGTTTCCTCCTCATGAAAACTCAAAACTCATGTTCTGACTGTTAAACACATTTGATGAAAAAGTGGATTTTTTTCAGATTTGGTTTGTTTGTTGTTTTTTGTGACTCTGAATTTATGAAGCATCATTATCACTTTAATAACTGTGATGAAAACAATGATGCTAGCTGAAGAAACAACAACAAAAAGGAAACTGGGAGCCCAAGTTTAGTCCATGACTTTATCCTCATTATTGTAACGTGTCAAAAAGACTAATAATCACCTGTCACACTCCTGTCTGATATCAGTATGATATGGTTGTAATTAATGAATATTAACTCATGAATATGTTCAAAATGTCTATGAAATTAAAAGACTAAAACTCCAAATCTAAAAGTTAATTAAAAAAACAGCTGTCACATTACCTCTGAAGAAACTGTTCCTGCTTTTAATGATTCAATGTTCTTGAGCCCCTGAAGGACATGGATGAAGAACTTTTTCAAAGTTGATCTTGAGGAACTTTATAAAATCTTCTCTAAACTTTTTTGAGAAGATTTTTTGAAAATAGTCAGGAGTTTATTCAGGGGTCCGTCCGTCTGCTGTCAACAACTGCCAAACTACTCTTAAATAAACCAACAGATCATTGATCAGAGAGGTTTTTATGGACCAACTGGACAAGATGATGTTCATGTTCAACAAACTGAAGTGAAAACTGCAGAAAAATCTGGATCTGGTTTTTACATTTGAACACGACTGAGCAAAGAAGAAATTCAAGTTTTCAAGAGTTTCCAAATGAAATATCCAGAGTTGGATTAACTTTGTTCTTCAGGTTTCAATCTGCAGCTCATCATTTCTCTGACACTTCATTCATTCATTAGTGATCACATTAATTGTGGATCAGTTCAATGTCAGCCTTTAGTCTGTGCTGCTCCTGCTCTCTACAAGCATGTGTAATATTTGTGGGACTGATTTTCTCCTGCTTCCTTTCTACATCCATCGTTCTCCTCAAAGTCAACTCTGAAATGTCGGATTTTTCTTCCTGTGTTGAAGTTTTACAACGACAAATTCAAACTGCTCGACCAAAGTTGATGGAAAAACCACAGAGAAAAATCTAAGGCAGCAGCTGTCACATCTTATTGTTAGATCAGAAGGAAATGGTGTCTCACCTCAGAGTCTCCAGTCTGCAGTTTGGACTCTCCAGTCCAGGAGAGAGAAGCTTCACTCCTGAATCCTGCAGATTGTTTCCACTCAGGTCCAGATGTCTCAGATGGGAGGGGTTGGACTTCAGAGCTGAGGCCACAACTTCACAGTGAGTCTCTGAGAGTCCACAGCCCCAAAATCTGTAACAACATAAATATCAAACAATATTTCATTAAAGAATAATTTGATGTTTCTCTTCACCAAAAACAAACATGATCTTTGGTTTGACAGACGGCCTGTTTTTAACCAGACAGATACTAATATCAGGACCACAGCCATGAGAGAAGACAGGAAGTCAAAGTTTAGAAGAAAAAAAAACTGTTCAGATGTTCAAGACAAATGACTCCATGACTTATTTTAGTCCTTCTGTTCTCTAACAGTGTTGTCTTCATGTTAGTGCAGCTGGATCATTATGACTGAGTGAATTCTTGAGTTCTGGTTGGAGAAGGGGACTGAGAACCAGGTTTTTGGTCCTGGTATGTGATTGGTTAGTATCCAAAGTACCTCTTGGAGAATCAGTGCTCCTCTCAGTGTTTAATGTTGACATCCTGCTGTAATGTAAGTCTTTCCATAGACACTGACTGTTGACCAATCAGAGGACGACTCACTAAATCACAGCAGCTCCTTTTTCTATGATTGGTTCAGATAAAATTGTTTTTTTTAGCAGGTTAGAGCTGGTTTGACTATGAACATTTGAAGACTTGAAGATTTCTTTTTTTTCACAATGAAAGTTTTTTCTCCATGTAACATTCCCTTCAGCAGCAGAAACAAGTTTATAAAGTCTGATGGATCCAGAGAGACCTTTAAGAGACAGAAACAAAGACCCACTGAACCTCTGTCTTTGGGCTCTGGTCATCTCTTTCTCACTCTCTCTCTCTCTCTCTCTCTCTCTCTCTCTCTCTCTCTCTCTCTCTCTACCTGTATAATTCAACCTAATGACAGCCATGCTAGTTATGGACAAAAACAGACTTTTCTGCCCCCTCAAAAAGTCAGTCTTGTTAGTCCTTTAGACCTGGTTCAGTCTCTCAGACTCAGACCTGGATCAAACCCCAGTCTGCTGCAGTGTTTGTTTAAAGGCTGTTTCAGCAGAAGGCAGCAGTCTGACCAATTTACATCAACATCTTAAACAGAGACATGCAGCCGAGTGGGAGAAATGTGACCGCTACAGCCCACCAACACCTCAACATTAGAGGAATCATCTTCACTCTGCATCACCATGACAACAAAGGGACACCATGGAAAACTGATGATGATGATGATGATGATGATGATGCAGTCACACTGCTTCTCCTTAGAGACATGGTGTCCATATATACAGTGGAACAGCACGGCTGTTTCCACATGCTATGAGGTGTTATGAGGCAGACTGGTGTCAGTGCCAACCTGCAGCACCGAGGGCAGAGAGAGAGAGAGAGAGAGAGAGACATTAACATCCTATTTCCACCATTGTTTTCAGACACATGGAGCTGCTGTCCAAATACCTCCTGTGTTCTCATCATTCATATGTTCTAGTCCAGCAGATAATCTCCAGTGAGTGGTGGAAAATGATGTTAGCTTTCATGGTTGTATTGATGATGAATATTGAATGATGAACATGATGGTACAGAGACAGTTCTGCCACTGTATAGAAAATGATCCAGTTCTATTTTCACCATCAATGCTGTCAACACCCTCATTTACAACACATTCATCATTTCCAACCTGAAAACCAGCAGGAAGAAGCTGCAGACACCTTCTTCAAACTCAAGTTCACCACAACTGACTGAGATGTTGATCTGGACTGATACCATCATCAGAAGACCTCTGTGTGTCCTCAGATATGGTCGCAGATTTGTCCTGAAAGTTCCACTTTATTCATTACAGACACGATTCAAAACAAAGAGGTCCTCCACAATTAGGACAAGTTCTCAGGGGTCCACAGGTAGACCTCATCCTGGGCTCACAGGACTTTAGACACCAGGATCATGTTTTTGCTAAAGAAACCCCCTCCCTGATATTTGAGTGGATTTCTATTTGAAGAAGAACATCATCAGTAACGTGGACATTAGAAGAACTACAGGGATCATTTACACTATTCTGAGAATAAAACCTGGACTTACTGAGCCTTTCTGCAGTTCCTCACAGCTGGGATCAGTCTCTGTCGTCCCTGGTCTGATGTGTTATAATTATATAAGTTCAACTCATCCAGAACCTCCTCTGACATCTGCAGCATGTAGGCCAGAGCAGAGCAGTGGATCTCTGAGAGGAACTCCCCTGATCTGTTCTCTGACTTCAGGAACTCTTGGATCTCCTGATGAACTGACAGATCGTTCATCTCCATCAGACAGTGGAAGATGTTGATGCTTCTGTCAGGAGAGATATAATCACTGTTCATCCACTTCAGGTTCTTGATGACTCTTTGGATTATTTCTGGACTGTTGTCTGTGTGACCCAGCAGACCTCCTAAGAGTCTCTGGTTTGACTCCAGAGAGAGTCCATGAAGGAAGCGAACAAACAGGTCCAGGTGACCGTTTTTACTGAGAAGGGATTTCTCCATGACACTCTTCAGGAAGACATCCAGAGATGAGAAACGGTCATCCAGGTTTTGTAGCTCTGATAAGAAACCGAATCCCAGGTTTAGTGGCTCTGGTGGGAAAAGTTTCGGCAGGGTTTGAAAAGGTCTGGGAACTGTCTTTGAAGAAAACATTTCATCTTCGTTGCCTCTTAGGAAAGTCCTCAGAGCTTCTGTGTTCCTGTTTGTGAAACTGTGGATCATGTAGACTGCAGCCAGAAACTCCTGAACGCTCAGATGAACGAAACAGTAAACAGTTTTCTGGAAGATCACACTCTCTCTTCTGAAGATCTCTGTACAAACTCCTGAGTACACCGAGGCCTCTGAGACATCCAGACCACACCGCTCCAGGTCTTCTTGGTAGAACATGATGTCTCCTTTCTCCAGATGTTCAAAGGCCAGCCTCCCCAGCTTCAGGAGGACTTCACTGTCAGCCTCAGTCAGCTCCTGAGGACTTGTCTCATGTCCTCCTTCGTACTTCTGCTTCTTCATCTTAGTCTGGACCAGCAGGAAGTGTGAGTACATGTCCGTCAGGGTCTTGGGCAGCTCTCCTCTCTGCTCTCTGCTCATCATGTCCTCCAGAACTGTCGCAGTGATCCAGCAGAAGACCGGGATCTGACATATGATGTGGAGGCTCCTGGAGGACTTGATGTGTGAGATGATTCTTCTGAACAGATCTTCATCTCTGAACCTCTTCCTGAAGTACTCCTCCTTCTGGGCGTCAGTGAAGCCTCGTACTTCTGTTACCCTGTCCACACATGAAGGAGGGATCTGATTGGCTGCTGCAGGTCGAGAAGTTATCCAGATGAGAGCTGAGGGGAGCAGGTTCCCCTTGATGAGGTTTGTTAACAGAACGTTGAGTGAAGACTTCTGTGTGACGTCAGACACCACCTCAGAGTCTGTGAAATCCAGAGACAGTCTGCTTTCATCCAGACCGTCAAAGATGAACAGAAGTTTACAGACAGCCAGCGTCTCTGCTGTGACCTTCTCTAGTGTTGGATGGAAAACATGGAGCAGACTCAGAAGACTGAAGCGCTCACCTCTGATCAGGTTCAGCTCCCTGAATGAAAGCAGGACCACCAGATGGAGGTCTTGGTTCTCCAAACCCTCTGCCCAGTCCAGAGTGAACTTCTGCACTGAGAAGGTTTTTCCAACACCAGCCACGCCGTTGGTCAGAACCACTCTGATGACCTTCTTCTGTTGGTCAGGTAAGGTTTTAAAGATCTCATGACACCTGATGGGCGTGTCATGGAGGGTCTTCATCTTTGAAGTGGTCTCCAGCTGTCTCACCTCATGTTGGGTGTTCACCTCTTCACTCAGTCCCTCTGTGACGTAGAGCTCAGTGAAGATCCCGTTGAGGAGGGTTTGACTACTTCCTGTTTCATCACTTCCTTCATTCACTCGTTCACATCTCCTCTTCAGACTGATCTTATGTTCATCTAAAACCTCCTGCAGACCGCCATCTTCTGAAAGAGAAGAAAAATAAAATGAACCAAACTTCTCAACACTAAAACGTCTTTGTGAAAATCAGTCAGCTGAGTTTTCATCCACACAGACTTTAAAGGACAGATGTTCAGACTTACTTCGGTCAGAGCTGGACAGCTGCTCCTCCACAGAGTCACATCTCTGTGTCTCTCTGTGGAAATAAAGAACATTTATTTTCTTTATCATTTCATGTTTGAAAGATACAGAATAAGAAGCATTTATTCAACCAGAGTTTCTGAACTCACTCTTTTCTCTAACATAAAACAATCTCCTGTAAAATATTCAGCTGCTGCTGCCTCAAAGTGTGGAGACAGGAGAAAAAACTAAACTGTGATTTTTGAAGGTAGAGAGATTTTCTCTGACAGTTTCAAACATTTTTTTTGACCAATCAGATCTAAAGGTCTAATAACAGACAGATGTTTGAATGAGTTTTTATTTCTCAGGATTTATTTCTTCATTGGTCTTCTGGTATTTTGGGACCCACAGACTGTTTTCTGGGGTCTATACACCACAGTCCAAAGACTTACAGGCTCAAAACGTCCCAAACACAGGAACCAAATCAGAAAATACAGAGGTCAGAATCCTCTTCAAATGCTGTTTTATACGACCTTCATTTTTATCAACATGAGGAATAATAAGTAAATCTGTGCTCAGTGACTTTTTCTTTACTTTCTCCAGGTTGGAGGTTAAAGAGGAAAATCAGCGTTTTGAGAGCAGAGGAGATCATTTTTCTCACCATGGTAGAAAACAGAGGGGTCAGGATTTAAAGTTCTGATTTTGAAACATCAGTTGTTGTTGTTTGAGAGTTTGGAGGGTGAAAAGTGTTTCTCTTACTGTGAATCTGAGGGTCCTGGTTCTTCCCTGAAGAGCGGTGGATCATCTTTAGACCGGTCACTCTTCATAGACAGACGGTCGGACATAACAGACTTTGCTCTGTCCTCCTTTTTCTTGACACCATCACTCATCTTCTCCATCTGATTTTGTACAAATTCATGGAAGATGAAACCAAGTTATACAACCTGAGGACAAAATAGACAAACAGGTGAGACACAAACAGGAAGAGAGTGTGAAGATGAAGATGACTAAGTTTCTACATCTCCTTAAGTCAAAGATCTGTCTGCACACTCTCTCTTTTTTAATCATCAAGATCCTGATTGGTTATTTCTGATCCAGTCTAATATGATCAAGTCAAAGAGTCTGAAATTCATATTTCTTTACAAGCTTCTATGATGTAAGAACTTTGTTCTATCAAGTATCGTTAAACGTTAAATGATTGTTTTATTCTTGACTGATTCTTCTTTTTAACCGGCTACAGAAAACAAAGCTGCTTTACAGTTTAATTGGACTCTTCACAGTCATGCTCCTGATTCAAACAGAGAGGGACAGAAATTTGATGGTTTTTGGCTGAACTCTGTTCATGTGGTGATTTTCTGCTCTATGCCTAAAACTCATGAAGCTCAGACTTCATACTACAACAGAAAAAAAACCTTCAGTAATATTAACTAACCCTAATTGTACTAATATGACACACAGATAAAAACCTGTTTAACAAACTTTACTGGTTGCAGATCTGGGTTACAGCTTCATCAGGCCACAAGTGTAACAAAGACTGGTCTGAGACTGTTCAAGTATATTTAGCCGTCCACGTTTCCAAACATTCTGCTTGTATCTTGTTGACCTGAAGGAGAGTCCATGTGGGGTAATAACAAAGCACAACATATTTTAGGAGCCTGAGTGATGTTAAACATGAGGACAAGGTCCTTGTTTTATGATGGTTGTCGGAGGCCCATGGCTCCAGAAATCTAGCACCAAAGTATTCAAGGTATTTGAGAGACACAGCTCCACCAACCTCAAGGATAACATGACTGACTGAAGAAAATCACCCTAACAACAAACATCTAGGGCTCTATTTTCGTGTACGCCGGGGAGGTGGTATTTTCGTCTGGCGGAGCCCGGCGTACGGCCAGTTTGGTATTTACGTGGACTGAGGTGCACCGAGAACCGCCAAGCTGGGCGTGGTGGCGTGGCAGGGGCAAGTGTCGACAGAATCAGCGGGCGCAGTGACATTTTTGTGCTTGCCACTGGAGTGTAAAGTGTGCTGAAAGCTCACCGATTCAAACCTGGTCGGCTTTCAGCACAGGCGGAGCGCAGCTGGTCTGGTGGTATTGTAGTAGACCGGCGGCGTATCGGCATACGTCACCGATGCCTCACCGGCAGGTTTCCACAGTGTCAGGCACATTTCAGTGCAATAAATAATCAACAACAAGTAATAATATGAGTCAGCACATACATTTAGATCTATCGATATATTCTGATCTATATCTGATCTGATGAGCTTGTTTGGCACGCGTTTGGACACACAACCTGACCGAATCAACACAGCTGAAACCGCATCAAATTAAATTAAATATCTAGTAAATAAACACACATGATGAAGTTAACAAGATATTTAATTTGTCTCCCCCCATTTCTATCTTCCTCCTCCTCTTATTTCTCGCACAGCTCGACCTGGACACGTCTCCGTGTCCTCTGTCCGTCTTGCTGCTGCGGCGGCTGAACAGATGATTTGTTTCAGTGATCAGATGAGTTTTTTACTTTAAGCCGACATACGGATATTATAATATTCAGTTTTGTGAGGCAAATTTATTTTATATGCCAACAAAGAGCCCGGCCAGGGAGCGCAATGCGTCCTTTACGCACAGGTGGTTCCGATTTTAATGCCATTATTGGAGTTAATGTTGTGATCTGTGCGCACAACCCACCTTTGTCCTCACCTTTATTTGTGGAAAAGGGTGTTTGTCTTACCAGTGGGTCCAACATTACACACACCAAATCCATCTGTGCTTATATGAGACAGTGTGCAGAACGCCCTCTGCAGTGCTTACAGTGACACTTGTTGAGGAGCTGCCTTCTGTCGCCATCGTGTGGCATTACTGTCTTCAGACATCTCTTGATCTCTTTGACTACTTCATGAAAATTGTAATACGCCTCGCCGGTGACGGATTTAAAGGCAAGGAGAGGAGCTTATGTGATTGGTGAAAACAGGTCTCGGCTGTGTTAAACCCACTCCACGCCCTCTCTCCTCCCCGTCTACGACTTACGCCGCTGGGAGGAGCTGAGTTAGGGAGGGGGGATACTAACGCCGGGCTGCGCTGCTCACCAAAATACCAAATTGTGCTTGGGTACACCTTGTCAGCGCGGCGGACCTGACTTACGCCACGCCTGCGGCACGTCTCCAGCGAGGCACGAAAATAGAGCCCATAATCCTTTTGTTGTTATTTCCATCCCCTCATTATTTCCACCCTCTAACGGACCTCTGTTCTCCAATCTCAGAAATATAGACACTGGTTCATTATGTTAGAATGGCAACTTTTTCTAAATACCACGATGTAACTGCTCCACTTTTCTTGAAATTTAAGGTACTATCTATTTTTGATATAAATACTTTTCCAATATGTACTTTTGTTTTCAAGTCTAAACACTTACCTGCAACCTTACCAGTCAGTCTCACAATTTTTTTTATTTGTACTTCTCAGGTTCTCAGATATTCCACTAGGCAAATCAACAACCTTTACCTACCTCTGTATCATTCATCTTGTGCACAATTTTCAATACGATACCGTGGAGCCAAATTATGGAACAGTAATTTGCATTTATTGAATAATTGTCCGTCCTTGTCCACATTCAAATTCAAATAAAAAAAATGCTCTAATCATGAAACATTGTAATACATAACATACCTTGAAATGTGTTTTTTTTTTTTTTGTAATTTTCATTTGTTTTCGTTTTTTGTTTTGTTCTTTCTCTTTGGTTTTTTTTTTTGTGTTTTTATTTGTTTTCTGTTTTTTTGTTTGTTTTTATCATCATTTTGATATTTTTAAATTATTTTTTCTTGGAATTGGTTCACTTTGTGTGTTCTATGCTACTCTATATTATTTTGTATAATGGTATGTATATATATATATATATATATATATATATATATATATATATATATATATATATATATGTATATTTGTGTGCTTTACTTTGTAAATTGTGTTATTGCTTTATAGGTCAGGTTTTAAATAAGCCCAAAATGGGTTTCTACCTCACCTGCACATGTTTTGTTATATTGTGCTTGTATTGTTGTTGTTTTTGTTGTTTTTAAGTAGTGCAAATAAATAAACATAAACATAAACATTATGATCAGTCCTTCAGCAGTTATTAAATGTATTATACAGTCAGTAGTATTTAGTTCCTCATCTCTTTGGAGTTTGTTTTACCTCTAATGGCGGGCGGTCTCCTATATGACTCTTGTCTTTTTCTGTAAATTATTCATTTATTGTCCTGATCTGTTACAGTCCTGCACTGAATCCTGTTCATACAAAGACTTTGGACCTTGAATATAAACTGATAGGTTAATATTTAACAGCAATAAAGGAACTTTGAACCAGCTTTATGGAAGAACAGAAGATAAAACAACAGCATGAAGATCTTCACAGTGTTTGAAAAACAACCTCTGGTCAACTTCAATTGTTTTATTGTGGCTGTATTAAGTGATAATGTTGGTTAGAGGTTACAGATGTTATTACAGTATCTGAGAAACTTTGACTACAAGCTTTAATACCAAACATCCAGACCTGTGCTCTCCTAAACTCCTCTGAGTCTGAAAAAGCAGTAATGATGGCTGTGAGCTCAGAGAAGTGAATCCTGACAGAAAGTTGGAGGGTCTGTCAGAGTTTGAAATCACCTGTTTGATCAGTATCCACAGCATTAGTTTGGATTTCTCATCCTTGTCTGACTCACAGTGTAAAGATAATCCGTGAAGTCTGTTAAAGTTCACAAAAATATGAAGTGTAATTTTGGGCTCATCTCACCAAAGGCAGAGAAACAGGAAGAACAGCACACTCACAGTTTACTGGACGAGGAATTAATCCAACAACATATCTGATCAATTTTCACTGCTTAGCTTTTTTAAGTGTAAAAATAAACAAAAACACTTCTGATGAATAACAGACTCTGAAAACCAAACAGTAACACTGAATTAACACTCACCCTGTTACAAGTGTCCTTGTTTCTCTCTGTGCTGACTCACTCTGAAGTCTGAACTTTGAACAGTTTTACTTTTATTGTTTTATTGTGAAGTTTCTCCTCCCCTTGATATTTACAGGAAACAACAAGTTTGATCACCAAATCACACAGACATCCATGAACTACTGACTGTAACCCTGCTGCTGTGCCCTTCATTATTCCATCAGATCAGATTAAATCAGATTTACTGCATTTAACGATAAATGTATCATGGACAATTACATGAGACGTTCAGAAATTCATAGACTTGTCCACAATGTGGTACAAACACAAACACTGTCAACAGCTGACTGAAGCACTTTGAGTTCACAAACAAGCCTCTGAGCCTACAGCAGTGTCTTTATTATGCAGGTTTAACAAAGTGATTTTTGTTTGCTTCATTTATTTAGACTCACCTCTATTCAAGCTGCACTGAGATCCATCATGACATGAAGAACAGTCAGACTCCTCAGCTGTCATTCTCCTGTGTGTATCCATCACTCTGAGAATCTGCAATCTAGAAAGACACATTAACTAACAGTCCTCCCTCTTATTTATGCAGATACTACATCATCATGAAATTCTCCACAAGGACAAAACCCAATCCATCGAAGTTGGGAAATTGTGATAAACGTAAATAAAAACAGAATACAATGATTTGCAAATCCTTTTCGACCTATATTCATTTGAATACACAACAAAGACGAGATACTTAATATTCAAACTCATAAACTTTATTTTTTTTTGCAAATAATACTTACTTTAGAATTTGATGGCAGCAACACATGACAAAGTAGTTGGGAAAGGTGACAAAAAATTACTGAGAAATTTGAGGAATGCTCATCAAACACCTATTTGGAACATCCCACAGGTGAGCAGGCTTATAGGGAACAGGTGGGTGCCATGATTGGGTATAAAAGCAGCTTCCCCAAAAATTCTCAGTCATTCACAAGCGAGGATAGGGCGAGGTTCACCACTTTGTGAACAACTGAGTGAGCAAACAGTCGAACAGTTTAAGAACGTTTCTCAAAGTACAATTGCAAGGAATTTAGTGATATCAACAGCTACGGTCCACAATATCATCAAAAGGTTCAGAGAATCTGGAGAAATCACTGCATGTAAGCGGCATGGACAGAAACTAACATTGAATGCCCGTGACCTTCGATCCCTCAGGCAGCACTGTATCAAAAACCGACATCAATGTGTAAAGGATATCACCACATGGGCTCAGGAACACTTCAGGGATTGCGTAGCTCTCCCGGGGGATACGCTGTTTAAGCTGAGCATCATCACAATAGCCACGTTTACATGCAGACTTTTTTCTCATTCGGATTATAATCATTCCGATTGAAGCTCCCAGGCGAACTGTTTACATGGAAGCGATCTATTCTGAGCTGGTGTTTACATGTGCCACGGCATTCAATCGGAACAGCTATTTACAGACACGTGATACCTTCAAACATCACGTGATTGACTGATCACGTGATCTCCGACGCAGACCAGTGCATCGTGCTCTGCTTGGAAGCCGCCATCATGTTTCCATGTGAGTCATACGTCACTGCTTGTTTACATCAGGACAGAGCAGGCGCAGACAGAACCCAGCCTGACAACTTTCCGATTCACCGTTTACATGACAGGATTTTGCTTTTAATCGGAATGGGAAAAGGAACATTCTACCCCTGTGAATCGGAATGAAATTCCATTCGGAATGGGCCTGTTTATTCCGAATGAGGTGTTTATATGGAGCATTTTCATTCCGATTGGGCTTCTATTCCGATTATATTCGGAATATTTGGCTCCATGTAAACGTAGCTAGTGACTCTCGGCGACTGTGCGGCTGAATGCGCTCATCGCTACTGCGCAGCTCTGTTTTCAAGGAAGTGGAGAAAAATCCGGAATTACCAAGAGCTTTTTGGCTTCAAATCCGTATACAGGCGGAAGGTGGAAACAGGTTGTCCATCTTATATACAGTCTACGGTAGCAGACTATATAAAGGAAGAGTGTACTGTGGTCTCTCTCTCATTCCCTCCTCTGTCAGCGATCTTGTGTGGACCTGTTTGAACAAGAGTGTGTGACTCTGGTGTGGTTCAGTGGATGGACTGAGCAGGCCTCCAGTGGCAGTGGAGCCTGCAGTGCATTTGCTATTTTCCTTTTTTTACCTTGGCTTACTATTGGAGTTGTATTGGTGTTTTTCTCAGCTTTTTGCTTTTTTTTAAGTTGGTTGTTTAACCTCAGAGAATAAACATTTCTGTTTGATTAATTACCTGGATGCCGTTACTTAACCTGGGGTCTTTTTATGTTACTGTTGTAGATCTTTTGGTACGTAACATTTAGTGACCCCTTTTCAAATTTCTGGACCATAGTACCCCCTATAAGAGACGACCACCTGTTGCTTAGAAAACTAAATCTAGGATATTGTTGATGTCATGCAGAAATCTCCTATCTTCATATTTTACCTTTTTTCTGTTAGATGTGTGGATTTGTCTACCACATACTTTGAATGAACAATAACCCACCTTTTTAACGTTGTTTGTATTTACCTTTTTGTAAAGCACTTTGTGTTGCAGCTTAAAAGCATGAAAGGTGCTATATAAATAAAGTTTGATTGATTGATTGATAGAGAGAATATCACAAATGAAAACACATGAATCAACTGTGCTGCAAGATTGTTGTTTTTTTTTTTTCTCAAAGAAAAGCTTCAGTTTCAACATGTCCAAACATCTCAGAGCCACAATCACTCTGCTGTGAGACTAAAGTCTTCAAACCTGACGGGGATCCCAGACTTTATCTTTGAGTCCAACAGGAACTTTGATTTCCAAGAAAAGACGATCAAATCAAAGTTCCTGCTTCATAAAAACTAAGACCAACTAAACACACCGACTTTCCTTCACGCAGCGTCCTCCAGCCTCAGCTGAATCAAGGCTTTGAGTCTCTATGATCCACTACTGTATTGACCTGAATATAGGAGCACTCTGATGATAAAACCTTCCCCCACTGCTTAGACTCACTTTGAGGACTTTTTAAAGACCAGATCTAGTTTTTGTTTGAATGAAAATAATAATAATAATCAATTGGACACAGTGAATGAAACAAGCTGAGTTGATGTTTTTAACATGTTTTGGTTCAAATATAGTTTTTATTATCTTTAAATGACATTGTGAAATGATATAAAAAATGATCTGGTGTAAATGAAGAACCAACATAGTGTTACGCAGACAGAGCACAGATCTATTGATACTAGATAAGCTGAAGAGGACAAATCTGTTCACAATAGTTCTATGTTTCCTGTTTCTCTGCTGTGAGCAGACTGTGACATGAGCTGTCCTGGCTTATGATTGGACCTTTACGGGTCAGCCGATGGCAGATACAGCCTCTGATTGGCTAACAACAGAAATGACACTTTGTTACTGAAATGAATCCATAAACCATCAGATTATTTTCATTTTGGAGGGATGGGATCAGGAAGGTCTCTGAAAACACATCGATCTTCTCTGTGGGATAGAAAAGCTTTGGAGTGTCACAGAAACACAAACTTATCTCCTGAAAGCTGACGGTCTCACAAAGCCAGTGGATTTTACAGGAAGTCACTCCACTGTAGCATCAATTTATGAAGCTGAGATTGTAATCAACAACACTGAGTTTATAAAACAGCATCGACCACGTTAATGACTTCACCCTGAATAGATGCTGATCTCACTTTTTCCAGACTCCAGTCAATACGGTTATTTTTGTCTGTCAGAGGAAAACTTCTCCATCATAATAAAGTAAAAATAATGTTTTTGTTTTTGTTCAAGAATCTTTCCTTTAACTAATTATATTTCACACATTTTACTTTTACTTTCAGGTCTCATTTATGGTTTAATAATTGTGTTTGTTCATCCAAACAGGAGGGAATCGATTATTGATGAGCACAAAGATGATATGAGAACAAAAACATGTAAAGAGAAGAAAATAATGTCTAATAATATAAAATAAGGTCAATTTACCTCCAGTCAATATTTACAATCATTTCAGAAAATGAAAACAGATGAATAAAAATAATCGAGTGAAAGAATAAAGCTTCTGATTTTTGTTAAAACCCCAAACCCTGTCCTCCTCCCTTCACCTCCATCTCTCCTCACTTCGCTTCTTCTCCCTTCAGTTTATATTCGGTCTCTAACGGTGCAAAGGAAAGAAAAAACCTTTTGGGTTTAATCAGAACTTCTGACTGATCTACTCTCACACATGGTATCAACTCCTGCTGCAGAAATATGTGGGAATAAATCAACTCCACCTCTTTATATTTCCACTGGGTGGCGCTGCATCATGGTAAAAACAAAGTAATCCAATCAAAGTGTAAATTCATGATCATGTTTCCATCAACAAAACAAACCTGTTCAGACTGTTTGATCCCAGAATATGAGGGAAAATATCAAATATCCAGAGTCCAGGTCCTGAGCTGATCTCAGAGCAGGTCAAAGTGCAGCTCCCAGAGTCCTCTCCGCCCGCTGTGATTGGTCAGTCAGTCTCTCAGTAACACGGCCCAGTCAGAGACTCACCTCACCCTCACTGCTGCTGCCTCCACCTCTCTGATCATCAGGAAACACATGATCCTCTTCTTAATCACTCTGACAGCTACAACCACCATCTGAGGAGAGAAAAAAACACGATCAGTGTTTCCACTCTGAGACTCACTTCATCAGCTGGACTGAAGAACATCCAGTTTACAGACCAGCAGGTCTCAGTCCTGCTCAGACCAGAAGTGATGGTGTAAAGCAGCAGGTTTCCTCACAAATAAACCAACATCATCAAAATAAAGAAATCATTCCTGTCAAATGTGTTAAAGCTGATCGAACAAACCTGCTGTGAAAATAACAAGTATAAAGAACAGCTGTCTGTTTTCAGACTTAGAGGTCAAAATCAACAAGTTAGCAGAGAAATAAAGTCTGTGTTGAATACAGAGAACTATAAACTGGACTTCAGAGCAGAAACTGAACATTTCTATTTCATTATGTCGCATTTCTACATTTGATCTGAAATATAGAGACGAGGAGACACTTTTTTCATCACTGACACTCTTACACTCCTGGTTTGATGATTTCTGTTCTCACAGCTTCACTAAAGAAATAATCCTCTGAGAGGGTCGAAGAGTCAGCAGTAAATACTGAATATCTGCTGTGATACTGTGTGGAGAGGAACAGGAGAGATCAGCACAGACTAACTCCAACTCTAGACTGACATCAGATCCTCCAGTCTGTAGTCTGGACTCTTCTGAAGATCACACAGCAGCTTCATGTCTGAATCCTGCAGCTTGTTGAAATTCAGATCCAGATGTCTCAGATGAGAGGGGTTGGACTTCAGAGATGAGGCCAGAGAAGAACAGCTGATCTTTGTCAAACTGCACCTCTTCAACCTAAACAAAGAGGAAATAATGAGATTTTAGACAAAAATGATCCAAACCTGATGTCTTAAATCTGTAGAGTTTAGGGGAAAGGTTTGGAAAGTATGAATCAAAGAAAAGTGACGCTCCAAAGAGCTGAACCAAACAGGAAGTCAGTTTGAAACAGTGAATTCAAAAACACATTAAATAGTGAAATAAAAAACTCAGAGACTTTTTTACTGATTGTAGATGCAGCTCAATATTTTCAGAAAATGTCAGCGACTTCAGGACGGGTGGGAAATGAAGGATGTTCAGAATATTTTCACTTTGCTGAACCAAAAATATCATGTCTTTGAGGGTAAATATTTCAGTCTAAACACAGCAAGGCTTCAGAAAAGTGAAGATAAACCAGAAATTTCAGATTTTCACACAAAGATTCACAAAAACAATCAAAATTCAAAGTAACAGAGCTGGACTTTCATCAGTGTCAGAAACTAAACTCTGAGTTTTTTCTAGTCCCTGATCTTGTCCTGAACAAAAGTTTGAATGGTTCTCGTCGGACAAATCTCCCCCTGCTTCTGTTTTCTGTCTGAATGTGCTTCTCACTGTGAACTCTACAAAGAGTTTTCTTCTTGGGTTCAGGTTTTAGTTCACTGGAGCTCAGCAGTGATCTAACTGGAGTCAATCAAATAATCCACTGATGCAGAAAATCTACTCTGGACTGAAGGTGTTCAGTCTGGGTCAGTATTTCAGTCCTGAGTCAGCAGTTTAGTGTCATCATCACAAACAAATCATGATAATGTTTGAATGGAGGAAAAAAGTCTGACCTCAGAGTCTCCAGTTTACAGTTTTGACTCTGCAGAAGGTCACACAGCAGCTTCACTCCTGAATCCTGCAGATTGTTGTCACTCAGGTCCAGATGTCTCAGATGGGAGGGGTTGGACTTCAGAGCTGAGGTTAGAGAAGAACAGCTGATCTCTGTCAAACTGCAGTCATACAGTCTGAAAAAAAAGGAAAGAGCATGAAGATAAAAATAATTAATAATCAAACTTCAGGTGTTCAGGTTTAAAATATGGAGCTTAGAGAACTCCAACAGGAGACCTTTGGACCAGATCCAGTCTGTCAGAGCTCATTATCTGGTCTGCTCTGACCCTCCATGTAAAATAACAGACATCAAATGTGATGGAGCACTGGTTTGGATTAGAGGTTCAGGTGTTCATAAGGTGGAGTCCTATTTGCAGCAGTTGCTGGTTGGACTCCCATGATTCTTTGCTGTAAGTCCTCCCTCACTCTCTACTCCACGTTTCCTGTTCCTCTTCAGCGCTCGGATCAATAAAAGTCTTCAAAATGAACTTGAACTGTGACATGGAGGAAACAGGAGGATCTTTGTCTGCCTTCATCCCTCACTGTACACTGATCTTCAACAATAACACTCAACCCAGAATAACAGACTGTGTTGTCTCTACTGTCAGCACTGGACCGGACCAGCCAGCAATCCTCCAGATCTGAGTCCATGGAAGTCAGAGACAAACCAGAAATACTCTCAACCAAGAAGAGCTCAGAGAGAGTCACCCAGGACACTGAGCGGACCTCCCTCAACCAGGCTGGTCTCAAGAGTTTGTATTTAGCAGATCCAGCCCATGTGAACCTGAACCTGAATGTGCTCTCAGACTGTAACATCAGCGCTCTGCCAAACAGAGAATGGATGAGACTCTGATGAGACAGGTCAGCTGACTCTGTCTGCAACAACATCACCTTTACTGCTTTACTCTTCTCCCTCACCTTCATCAGGATCAACAAGGTCAGACAGCAGACAGATCCACTCTTCCTCTCACTTTGTCATTGATTCACTGATGGCTGAGTTCACTCACATTTCATTTAGTCCACTCTCTAATCGGGTTTTACTGCAGGAACCTTTCAAATGATATGAGCAGTTATTGAGCTCACAGAAAAGAGGCAGTGGAGCCAAAACAGGAACCTGATCAATCTGATTATTGAATATTGATCAGAAGAAAAATCTAAATGGTTCAAATAATATTGAGAAGAACAAAATCTGAGAGTTTGGTTCTTTAACTCATTTGGTTCAATCATAAAAGTGACAAAGAAAACTTTGTTTTTGTGACTTCAGTCATCACAGCAAAGAGACAAAGAGGAAAATCTCTGTCTGTGTTTGTGTGTTTGTGTCTCTGTCTGTGTCTCTGTCTGTGTCTCTCTGTCTGTATTTGTGTGTCTGTCAGTGTAAATTCAGGCGTCTGTGTTTCTAACTGTCAGAGCAGATCTTTCTCGTTTCCTCCTCATGAAAACTCAAAACTCATGTTCTGACTGTTAAACACATTTGATGAAAAAGTGGATTTTTTTCAGATTTGGTTTGTTTGTTGTTTTTTGTGACTCTGAATTTATGAAGCATAATTATCACTTTAATAACTGTGATGAAAACAATGATGCTAGCTGAAGAAACAACAACAAAAAGGAAACTGGGAGCCCAAGTTTAGTCCATGACTTTATCCTCATTATTGTAACGTGTCAAAAAGACTAATAATCACCTGTCACACTCCTGTCTGATATCAGTATGATGTGGTTGTACTTAATCAATAATAACTAATGAATATGTTCAAAATGTCTATGAAATTAAAAGACTAAAACTCCAAATCTAAAAGTTAATTAAAAAAACAGCTGTCACATTACCTCTGAAGAAACTGTTCCTGCTTTTAATGATTCAATGTTCTTGAGCCCCTGAAGGACATGGATGAAGAACTTTTTCAGAGTTGATCTTGAGGAACTTTATAAAATCTTCTCTAAACTTTTTGAGAAGATTTTTGAAAATAGTCAGGAGTTTATTCAGGGGTCCGTCCGTCTGCTGTCAACAACTGCCAAACTACTCTTAAATAAACCAACAGATCATTGATCAGAGAGGTTTTTATGGACCAACTGGACAAGATGATGTTAATGTTCAACAAACTGAAGTGAAAACTGCAGAAAAATCTGGATCTGGTTTTTACATTTGAACACGACTGAGCAAAGAAGAAATTCAAGTTTTCAAGAGTTTCCAAATGAAATATCCAGAGTTGGATTAACTTTGTTCTTCAGGTTTCAATCTGCAGCTCATCATTTCTCTGACACTTCATTCATTCATTAGTGATCACATTAACTGTGGATCAGTTCAATATCAGCCTTTAGTCTGTGCTGCTCCTGCCCTCTACTAGCATGTGTAATATTTGTGGGACTGATTTTCTCCTGCTTCCTTTCTACATCCATCGTTCTCCTCAAAGTCAACTCTGAAATGTCGGATTTTTCTTCCTGTGTTGAAGTTTTACAACGACAAATTCAAACTGCTCGACCAAAGTTGATGGAAAAACCACAGAGAAAAATCTAAGGCAGCAGCTGTCACATCTTATTGTTAGATCAGAAGGAAATGGTGTCTCACTTCAGAGTCTCCAGTCTGCAGTTTGGACTCTGCAGTCCTACAGAGAGAAGCTTCACTCCTGAATCCCACAGTTTGTTTCCACTCAGGTTCAGATGTCTCAGATGGGAGGGGTTGGACTTCAGAGCTGAGGCCACAACTTCACAGTGAGTCTCTGAGAGTCCACAGGCCAAAAATCTGTAACAACATAAATATCAAACAATATTTCATTAAAGGGTAATTTGATGTTTCTCTTCACCAAAAACAAACATGATCTTTGGTTTGACAGACGGCCTGTTTTTAACCAGACAGATACTAATATCAGGACCACAGCCATGAGAGAAGACAGGAAGTCAAAGTTTAGAAGAAAAAAAAACTGTTCAGATGTTCAAGACAAATGACTCCATGACTTATTTTAGTCATTCTGTTCTCTAACAGTGTTGTCTTCATGTTAGTGCAGCTGGATCATTATGATTGAGTGAATTCTTGAGTTCTGGTTGGAGAAGGGGACTGAGAACCAGGTTTTTGGTCCTGGTATGTGATTGGTTAGTATCCAAAGTACCTCTTGGAGAATCAGTGCTCCTCTCAGTGTTTAATGTTGACATCCTGCTGTAGTGTAAGTCTTTCCATAGACACTGACTGTTGACCAATCAGAGGACGACTCACTAAATCACAGCAGCTCCTTTTTCTATGATTGGTTCAGATAAAACAATTTTTTTAGCAGGTTAGAGCTGGTTTGACTCTGAACATTTGAAGAGTTGAAGATTTCTTTTTTTTCACAATGAAAGTTTTTTCTCCATGTAACATTCCCTTCAGCAGCAGAAACAAGTTTATAAAGCCTGATGAATCCAGAGAGACCTTTAAGAGACAGAAACAAAGACCCACTGAACCTCTGTCTTTGGGCTCTGGTGATCTCTCTCTCACTCTCTCTCTCTCTCTCTCTCTCTCTCTCTCTCTCTCTCTCTACCTGTATTAATTCAACCTAATGACAGCCATGCTAGTTATGGCCAAAAACAGACTTTTCTGCTCCTTAAAAAAGTCTGTCTTATTAGTCCTTTAGACCTGGTTCAGTCTCACAGACTCAGACCTGGATCAAACCCCAGTCTGCTGCAGTGTTTGTTTAAAGGCTGTTTCAGCAGAAGGCAGCAGTCTGACCAATTTACATCAACATCTTAAACAGAGGCGTGCAGCCGAGTGGGAGAAATGTGACCGCTACAGCCCACCAACACCTCAACATTAGAGGAATCATCTTCACTCTGCATCACCATGACAACAAAGGGACACCATGGAAAACTGATGATGATGATGATGATGATGATGATGATGATGATGCAGTCACGCTGCTTCTCCTTAGAGACATGGTGTCCATATATACAGTGGAACAGCACGGCTGTTTCCACATGCTATGAGGTGTTATGAGGCAGACTGGTGTCAGTGCCAACCTGCAGCACCGAGGGCAGAGAGAGAGAGAGAGAGAGAGAGAGAGAGAGAGAGAGAGAGAGAGAGAGAGAGAGAGAATAACATCCTATTTCCACCATTGTTTTCAGACACATGGAGCTGCTGTCCAAATAACTCCTGTGTTCTCATCATTCATATGTTCTAGTCCAGCAGATAATCTCCAGTGAGTGGTGGAAAATGATGTTAGTTTTCATGGTTGTATTGATGATGAATATTGAATGATGAACATGATGGTACAGAGACAGTTCTGCCACTGTGTAGAAAATGATCCAGTTCTATTTTCACCATCAATGCTGTCAACACCCTCATTTACAACACATTCATCATTTCCAACCTGAAAACCAGCAGGAAGAAGCTGCAGACACCTTCTTCAAACTCAAGTTCACCACAACTGACTGAGATGTTGATCTGGACTGATACCATCATCAGAAGACCTCTGTGTGTCCTCAGATATGGTCGCTGATTTGTCCTGAAAGTTCCACTTTATTCATTACAGACATGATTCACAACAAAGAGGTCCTCCACAATCAGGACAAGTTCTCAGGGGTCCACAGGTAGACCTCATCCTGGGCTCACAGGACTTTAGACACCAGGATCATGTTTTTGCTAAAGAAACCCCCTCCCTGATATTTGAGTGGATTTCTATTTGAAGAAGAACATCATCAGTAACGTGGACATTAGAAGAACTACAGGGATCATTTACACTATTCTGAGAATAAAACCTGGACTTACTGAGCCTTTCTGCAGTTCCTCACAGCTGGGATCAGTCTCTGTTTTCCCTGGATTGATGTGTTATAATTATATAAGTTCAACTCATCCAGAACCTCCTCTGACATCTGCAGCATGTAGGCCAGAGCAGAGCAGTGGATCTCTGAGAGGATCTCCCCTGATCTGTTCTCTGACTTCAGGAACTCTTGGATCTCCTGATGAACTGACAGATCATTCATCTCCATCAGACAGTGGAAGATGTTGATGCTTCTGTCAGGAGAGATATAATCACTGTTCATCCACTTCAGGTTCTTGATGACTCTTTGGATTATTTCTGGACTGTTGTCTGTGTGACCCAGCAGACCTCCTAAGAGTCTCTGGTTTGACTCCAGAGAGAGTCCATGAAGGAAACGAACAAACAGGTCCAGGTGACCGTTTTTACTGAGAAGGGATTTCTCCATGACACTCTTCAGGAAGACCTCGAGAGATGAGAAACAGTCATCCAGGTTTTTAGAAGAATAAGAAACCATCTTTGAAGAAAACATTTTGTCTTTGTTGCCTCTTAGGAAAGTCTTCAGAGCTTTTCTCTCCCTCTTTGTGAAACTGTGGATCCTGTAGACTGCAGCCAGAAACTCCTGAACGCTCAGATGAACGAAACAGTAAACAGTTTTCTGGAAGATCACACTCTCTCTTCTGAAGATCTCTGTACAAACTCCTGAGTACACCGAGGCCTCTGAGACATCCAGACCACACCGCTCCAGGTCTTCTTGGTAGAACATGATGTTTCCTTTCTCCAGATGTTCAAAGGCCAGCCTCCCCAGCTTCAGGAGGACTTCACTGTCAGCCTCAGTCAGCTCCTGAGGACTTGTCTCATGTCCTCCTTCATACTTCTGCTTCTTCCTCTGAGTCTGGACCAGCAGGAAGTGTGAGTACATGTCCGTCAGGGTCTTGGGCAGCTCTCCTCTCTGCTCTCTGCTCATCATGTCCTCCAGAACTGTAGCAGTGATCCAGCAGAAGACCGGGATCTGACACATGATGTGGAGGCTCCTGGAGGACTTGATGTGTGAGATGATTCTTCCGGACAGATCTTCATCTCTGAACCTCTTCCTGAAGTACTCCTCCTTCTGGGCGTCAGTGAAGCCTCGTACTTCTGTTACCCTGTCCACACGTGAAGGAGGGATCTGATTGGCTGCTGCAGGTCGAGAAGTTATCCAGATGAGAGCTGAGGGGAGCAGGTTCCCCTTGATGAGGTTTGTTAACAGAACGTTGAGTGAAGACTTCTGTGTGACGTCAGACACCACCTCAGAGTCTGTGAAATCCAGAGACAGTCTGCTTTCATCCAGACCGTCAAAGATGAACAGAAGTTTACAGACAGCCAGCGTCTCTGCTGTGACCTTCTCTAGTGTTGGATGGAAAACATGGAGCAGACTCAGAAGACTGAAGCGCTCACCTCTGATCAGGTTCAGCTCCCTGAATGAAAGCAGGACCACCAGATGGAGGTCTTGGTTCTCCAAACCCTCTGCCCAGTCCAGAGTGAACTTCTGCACTGAGAAGGTTTTTCCAACACCAGCCACGCCGTTGGTCAGAACCACTCTGATGACCTTCTTCTGTTGGTCAGGTAAGGTTTTAAAGATCTCATGACACCTGATGGGCGTGTCATGGAGGGTCTTCATCTTTGAAGTGGTCTCCAGCTGTCTCACCTCATGTTGGGTGTTCACCTCTTCACTCAGTCCCTCTGTGATGTAGAGCTCAGTGAAGATACCGTTGAGGAGGGTTTGACTACTTCCTGTTTCATCACTTCCTTCATTCACACGTTCACATCTCCTCTTCAGACTGATCTTATGTTCATCTAAAACCTCCTGCAGACTGCCATCTTCTGAAAGAGAAGAAAAATAAAATGAACCAAACTTCTCAACACTAAAACGTCTTTGTGAAAAATCAGTCAGCTGAGTTTTCATCCACACAGACTTTAAAGGACAGATGTTCAGACTTACTTCCATCAGAGCTGGACAGCTGCTCCTCCACAAATCTCTGTGTCTCTCTGTGGAAATAAAGAACATTTATTTTCTTTATCATTTCATGTTTGAAAGATACAGAATAAGAAGCATTTATTAAACCAGAGTTTCTGACCTCACTCTTTTCTCTAACATAAAACAATCTCCTGTAAAATATTCAGCTGCTGCTGCCTCAAAGTGTGGAGACAGGAGAAAAAACTAAACTGTGATTTTTGAAGGTAGAGAGATTTTCTCTGACAGTTTCAAACATTTTTTTGACCAATCAGATCTAAAGGTCTAATAACAGACAGATGTTTGAATGAGTTTTTATTTCTCAGGATTTATTTCTTCATTGGTCTTCTGGTATTTTGGGACCCACAGACTGTTTTCTGGGGTCTATACACCACAGTCCAAAGACTTACAGGCTCAAAACGTCCTAAACACAGGAACCAAATCAGGAAAATAAAGAGGTCAGAATCCTCTTCAAATGCTGTTTTATACGACCTTCATTTTTATCAACATTAGGAATAATAAGTAAATCTGTGCTCAGTGACTTTTTCTTTACTTTCTCCAGGTTGGAGGTTAAAGAGGAAAATCAGCGTTTTGAGAGCAGAGGAGATCATTTTTCTCACCATGGTAGAAAACAGAGGGGTCAGGATTTAAAGTTCTGGTTTTTAAAACATCAGTTGTTGTTGTTTGAGAGTTTGGAGGGTGAAAAGTATTTCTCTTACTGTGAATCTGAGGGTCCTGGTTCTTCCCTGAAGAGCGGTGGATCATCTTTAGACCCGTCACTCTCCTCAGACTGACAGTCAGACATGACAGACTCTGTTCTGCCCTCCTTTTTCTTGACACCATCACTCATCCTCTCCATCTGATTTTGTACAAATCTATGGAAGATGAAACCCAGTTATACAACCTGAGGACAAAATAGACAAACAGGTGAGATACAAACAGGAAGAGAGTGTGAAGATGAAGATGATCAAGTTTCTACATCTCCTTAAGTCAAAGATCTGTCTGCAAACTCTCTCTTTTTGAATCATAGAGATCCTGATTGGAACCCGAGTCAAAGAGTCTGAAATTCATATTTCTTTACAAGCTTCTATGATCTAAGAACTTTGTTCTATCAAGTATCGTTAAATGTTAAATGATTGTTTTATTCTTGACTGATTCTTCTTTTTGACCCGCTACAGAAAACAAAGCTGCTTCACAGTTTAATTGGACTCTTCACAGTCATGCTCCTGATTCAAACAGAGAGGGACAGAAATTTGATGGTTTTTGTCTGAACTCTGTTCATGTGGTGATTTTCTGCTCTGTGCCTAAAACTCAGGAAGCTCAGACTTCATACTACAACAGAAAAAAACCTTCAGTAATATTAACTAACCCTAATTGTACTAATATGACACACAGATAAAAACCTGTTTAACAAACTTTACTGGTTGCAGATCTGGGTTACAGCTTCATCAGGCCACAAGTGTAACAAAGACTGGTCTGAGACTGTTCAAGTATATTTAGCCGTCTACGTTTCCAAACATTCTGCTTGCATCTTGTTGACCTGAAGGAGAGTCCATGTGGGGTAATAACAAAGCACAACATATTTTAGGAGCCTGAGTGATGTTAAATAGGGACAAGGTCCTTGTTTTATGATGGTTGTCAGAGGCCCACGGCTCCAGAAATCTAGCACCAAAGTATTCAAGGTATTTGAGAGACACAGCTCCACCACCCTCAAGGATGACATGACTGGATAAAGAAAATCACCCTAAATAACAAACTAACATATAATCCTTTTGTTGTTATTTCCATCCCCTCATTATTTCCACCCTCCAACGGACCTGCTCTCTGTTCTCCAATCTCAGAAATATAGACACTGATTCATTATGTTAGAATGGCAACTTTTTCTAAATACCACGATGTAACTGCTCCACTTTTCTTGAAATGTAAGGTACTATCTATTTTTGATATAAATACTTTTCAAGTATGTACTTTTGTTTTCAAGTCTAAGCACTTACCTGCAACCTGACCAGTCAGTCTCACAATTTTTTTTATTTGTACTTCTCAGGTTCACCAATATTCCACTAGGCAAATCAATAACCTTTACCTACCAACCTACCTACCTGGAGCCAAATTATGGAACAGTAATTTGCATTTATTTAATAATTTCCGTCCTTGTCCACATTCAAATTCAAATTAAAAAATGCTCTAAACATGAAACATTGTAATACATAACATACCTTGAAATGTGTTTTTTGTAATTTTCATTTGTTTTCATTTTTTGTTTTGTTCTTTCCCTGTTTTTTTTTTATCATTTTTTTGATATTTTTAAATTATTATTTTTTCTTGGAATTGGTTCACTTTGTGTGTTCTATGCTACTCTATATTATTTTGTATAATGTTTATAGAAGAAGAACACCATCTGCAGGCATCCTGATGTCTGCAAGAGACTGGCAGTTGTTGGTGGACCTTGAAAAACAACTTAAGTTCCCCAGCCACATTGCATTTACCACCCTACGACCAGACATTGTCCTTGTGTCGGAGTCAACGAAACAAGTCATCCTACTGGAGCTGACAGTCCCATGGGAAGACCGCTTGGAAGAGGCCTTTGAGAGGAAGCTCTCCAAATATGCAGGTCTGGTCAGCAACTGCCAACTGGCTGGGTGGAGAGCAAGATGCTTCCCTGTGGAGGTTGGTTGCAGGGGTTTTGCAGCCCGTTCCTTGGCCAGTGCCTTCGGCAGTCTGGGCATCGTTGGGGAGAGGAGGAGGAGAGCCATCCGCAACACCACCGAAGCGGCAGAAAGGGCCTCAAGATGGCTATGGCTAAAACGTGGAGATCCATGGAGTTATGGTAGCTAGCTAGCTGTCTGGACACAAGCCGGGACTTGATCAACCCCGGCTGGGTCACCTGGAGGAGGGCGTATGTTGTTGAAAGACCCGAAACGTCCAATGAATCCAGGAACATCACTGATGATGTGTCCAGACTAGGCATCAGTAGATGTATGTACACAGTGTATATATATATATATATATATATATATATATACTATATATATTTGTCTGCTTTACTTTGTAAATTGTGTTATTGCTTTATAGGTGAGATTTAAAATAAGCCCAAAATGGGTTTCTACCTCACCCGCACATGTTTTGTTATATTGTGCTTGTATTGTTGTTGTTTTTGTTGTTTTTAAGTAGTGCAAATAAATAAACATAAACATAAACATTATGATCAGTCCTTCAGCAGTTATTAAATGTATTATACAGTCAGTAGTATTTAGTTCCTCATCTCTTTGGGGTTTGTTTTACCTCTAATGACGGGCGGTCTCATATATGACTCTTGTCTTTTTCTGTAAATGATTCATTTATTGTCCTGCACTGAATCCTGTTCATACAAAGACTTTGAACCTTGAATATAAACTGACAGGTTAATATTTAACAACAATAAAGAAACTTTGGACCAGCTTTATGGAAGAACAGAATATAAAACAACAGCTTGAATATCTTCACAGTGTTTGAAAAACAACCTCTGGTCAACTTCAATTGTTTTATTGTGGCTGTATTAATGATAAAGTTGGTTAGAGGTTACAGATGTTATTACAGTATCTGAGAAACTTTGACTACAAGCTTTAATACCAAACATCCAGACCTGTGCTCTCCTAAACTCCTCTGAGTCTGAAAAAGCAGTAATGATGGCTGTGAGCTCAGAGAAGTGAATCCTGACAGAAAGTTGGAGGGTCTGTCAGAGTTTGAAATCACCTGTTTGATCAGTATCCACAGCATTAGTTTGGATTTCTCATCCTTGTCTGACTCACAGTGTAAAGATAATCTGTTAAAGTCTGTTAAAGTTCACAAAAATATGAAGAGTCATTTTGGGCTCATCTCACCAAAGGCAGAGAAACAGGAAGAACAGCACACTCACAGTTTACTGGACGAGGAATTAATCCAACAACGTTTCTGATCAATTTTCACTGCTTAGCTTTTTTAAGTGTAAAATACACAAAAACACTTCTGATGAATGACAGACTCTGAAAACCAAACAGTAACACTGAATTAACACTCACCCTGTTACAAGTGTCCCTGTTTCTCTCTGTGCTGACTCACTCTGAAGTCTGAACTTTAAACAGTTTTACTTTTACTGTTTTATTGTGAAGTTTCTCCTCCCCTTGATATTACAGGAAACAACAAGTTTGATCACCAAATCACACAGACATCCATGAACTACTGACTGTAACCCTGCTGCTGTGCCCTTCATTATTCCATCAGATCAGATTAAATCAGATTTACTGCATTTAACGATAAATGTATCATGGACAATTACATGAGACGTTCAGAAATTCATAGACTTGTCCACAATGTGGTACAAACACAAACACTGTCAACAGCTGACTGAAGCACTTTGAGTTCACAACAAGCCTCTGAGCCTACAGCAGTGTCTTTATTATGCAGGTTTAACAAAGAGATTTTTGTTTGCTTCATTTAGACTCACCTCTATTCAAGCTGCACTGAGATCCATCATGACATGAAGAACAGTCAGACTCCTCAGCTGTCATTCTCCTGTGTGTATCCATCACTCTGAGAATCTGCAATCTAGAAAGACACATTAACTAACAGTCCTCCCTCTTATTTATGCAGATACTACATCATCATGAAATTCTCCACAAGTACAAAACCCAATTCCATAGAAGTTGGGAAATTGTGATAAACGTAAATAAAAACAGAATACAATGATTTGCAAATCCTTTTCGACCTATATTCATTTGAATACACTACAAAGACGAGATATTTAATATTCAAACTCATAAACTTTATTTTTTTTTGCAAATAATACTTACTTTAGAATTTGATGGCAGCAACACATGACAAAGTAGTTGGGAAAGTTGACAAAAAAATACTGAGAAATTTGAGGAATGCTCATCAAACACCTATTTGGAACATCCCACAGGTGAGCAGGCTTATAGGGAACAGGTGGGTGCCATGATTGGGTATAAAAGCAGCTTCCCCAAAAATTCTCAGTCATTCACAAGCGAGGATAGGGCGAGGTTCACCACTTTGTGAACAACTGAGTGAGCAAACAGTCGAACAGTTTAAGAACGTTTCTCAAAGTACAATTGCAAGGAATTTAGTGATATCAACAGCTACGGTCCACAATATCATCAAAAGGTTCAGAGAATCTGGAGAAATCACTGCATGTAAGCGGCATGGACAGAAACTAACATTGAATGCCCGTGACCTTCGATCCCTCAGGCAGCACTGTATCAAAAACCGACATCAATGTGTAAAGGATATCACCACATGGGCTCAGGAACACTTCAGGGATTGCGTAGCTCTCCCGGGGGATACGCTGTTTAAGCTGAGCATCATCACAATAGCCACGTTTACATGCAGACTTTTTTCTCATTCGGATTATAATCATTCCGATTGAAGCTCCCAGGCGAACTGTTTACATGGAAGCGATCTATTCTGAGCTGGTGTTTACATGTGCCACGGCATTCAATCGGAACAGCTATTTACAGACACGTGATACCTTCAAACATCACGTGATTGACTGATCACGTGATCTCCGACGCAGACCAGTGCATCGTGCTCTGCTTGGAAGCCGCCATCATGTTTCCATGTGAGTCATACGTCACTGCTTGTTTACATCAGGACAGAGCAGGCGCAGACAGAACCCAGCCTGACAACTTTCCGATTCACCGTTTACATGACAGGATTTTGCTTTTAATCGGAATGGGAAAAGGAACATTCTACCCCTGTGAATCGGAATGAAATTCCATTCGGAATGGGCCTGTTTATTCCGAATGAGGTGTTTATATGGAGCATTTTCATTCCGATTGGGCTTCTATTCCGATTATATTCGGAATATTTGGCTCCATGTAAACGTAGCTAGTGACTCTCGGCGACTGTGCGGCTGAATGCGCTCATCGCTACTGCGCAGCTCTGTTTTCAAGGAAGTGGAGAAAAATACGGAATTACCAAGAGCTTTTTGGCTTCAAATCCGTATACAGGCGGAAGGTGGAAACAGGTTGTCCATCTTATATACAGTCTACGGTAGCAGACTATATAAAGGAAGAGTGTACTGTGGTCTCTCTCTCATTCCCTCCTCTGTCAGCGATCTTGTGTGGACCTGTTTGAACAAGAGTGTGTGACTCTGGTGTGGTTCAGTGGATGGACTGAGCAGGCCTCCAGTGGCAGTGGAGCCTGCAGTGCATTTGCTATTTTCCTTTTTTTACCTTGGCTTACTATTGGAGTTGTATTGGTGTTTTTCTCAGCTTTTTGCTTTTTTTTAAGTTGGTTGTTTAACCTCAGAGAATAAACATTTCTGTTTGATTAATTACCTGGATGCCGTTACTTAACCTGGGGTCTTTTTATGTTACTGTTGTAGATCTTTTGGTACGTAACATTTAGTGACCCCTTTTCAAATTTCTGGACCATAGTACCCCCTATAAGAGACGACCACCTGTTGCTTAGAAAACTAAATCTAGGATATTGTTGATGTCATGCAGAAATCTCCTATCTTAATATTTTACCTTTTTTCTGTTAGATGTGTGGATTTGTCTACCACATACTTTGAATGAACAATAACCCACCTTTTTAACGTTGTTTGTATTTACCTTTTTGTAAAGCACTTTGTGTTGCAGCTTAAAAGCATGAAAGGTGCTATATAAATAAAGTTTGATTGATTGATTGATAGAGAGAATATCACAAATGAAAACACATGAATCAACTGTGCTGCAAGATTGTTTTTTTTTTTTTTTCTCAAAGAAAAGCTTCAGTTTCAACATGTCCAAACATCTCAGAGCCACAATCTCTCTGCTGTGAGACCAAAGTCTTCAAACCTGACGGGGATCCCAGACTTTATCTTTGAGTCCAACAGGAACTTTGATTTCCAAGAAAAGACGATCAAATCCAAGTTCCTGCTTCATAAAAACTAAGACCAACTAAACACACCGACTTTCCTTCACGCAGCGTCCTCCAGCCTCAGCTGAATCGAGGCTTTGAGTCTCTAGGATCCACTACCGTATTGACCTGAGTATAGGAGCACCCTGATGATAAAACCTTCCTCCACTTTTCAGACTCACTTTGAGGACTTTTTAAAGACCAGATCTAGTTTTTGTTTGAATGAAAATAATAATAATAATCAATTGGACACAGTGAATGAAACAAGCTGAGTTGATGTTTTTAACATGTTTTGGTTCAAATATAGTTTTTATTATCTTTAAATGACATTGTTACAGTGAAATGAAATGAAAAATGATGTAGTGTAAATGAAGAACCAACATAGTGTTACGCAGACGGAGCACAGATCTATTGATACTAGATAAGCTGAAGAGGACAAATCTGTTCACAATAGTTCTATGTTTCCTGTTTCTCTGCTGTGAGCAGACTGTGACATGAGCTGTCCTGGCTTATGATTGGACCTTTACGGGTCAGCCGATGGCAGATACAGGCTCTGATTGGCTAACAACAGAAATGACACTTTGTTACTGAAATGAATCCATAAACGATCAGATTATTTTCATTTTGGAGGGATGGGATCAGGAAGGTCTTTGAAAACACACTGATCTTCTCTGTGGGATAGAAAAGCTTTGGAGTGTCACAGAAACACAAACTTATCTCCTGAAAGCTGACGGTCTCACAACGCCAGTGGATTTTACAGGAAGTCACTCCACTGTAGCATCAATTTATGAAGCTGAGATTGTAATCAACAACACTGAGTTTATAAAACAGCATCGACCACGTTAATGACTTCACCCTGAATAGATGCTGATCTCACTTTTTCCAGACTCCAGTCAATACGGTTATTTTTGTCTGTCAGAGGAAAACTTCTCCATCATAATAAAGTAAAAATAATGTTTTTGTTTTTGTTCAAGAATCTTTCCTTTAACTAATTATATTTCACACATTTTACTTTTACTTTCAGGTCTCATTTATGGTTTAATAATTGTGTTTGTTCATCTAAACAGGAGGGAATCGATTATTGATGAGCAAAAAGATGATATGAGAACAAAAACATGTAAAGAGAAGGAAAATAATGTCTAATAATATAAAATAAGGTCAATTTACCTCCAGTCAATATTTACAATCATTTCAGAAAATGAAAACAGATGAATAAAAATAATCGAGTGAAAGAATAAAGCTTCTGATTTTTGTTAAAACCCCAAACCCTGTCCTCCTCCTCCCTTCACCTCCATCTCTCCTCACTTCTCTTCCTCTCCCTTCAGTTTATATTCGGTCTCTAACGGTGCAGAGGAAAGAAAAAACCTTTGGGTTTAATCTGAACTTCTGACTGATCTACTCTCACACATGGTATCAACTTCTGCTGCAGAAATATGTGGGAATAAATCAACTCCACCTCTTTATATTTCCACTGGGTGGCGCTGCATCATGGTAAAAACAAAGTAATCCAATCAAAGTGTAAATTCATGATCATGTTTCCATCAACAAAACAAACCTGTTCAGACTGTTTGATCCCAGAATATGAGGGAAAATATCAAATATCCAGAGTCCAGGTCCTGAGCTGATCTCAGAGCAGGTCAAAGTGCAGCTCCCAGAGTCCTCTCCGCCCGCTGTGATTGGTCAGTCAGTCTCTCAGGAACACGGCCCAGTCAGAGACTCACCTCACCCTCACTGCTGCTGCCTCCACCTCTCTGATCGTCAGGAAACACATGATCCTCTTCTTAATCACTCTTACTGATATGACCCCCATCTGAGGAAAGAAAAAAAAAGACGATCAGTGTTTCCACTCTGAGACTCACTTCATCAGCTGGACTGAAGAACATCCAGTTTACAGACCAGCAGGTCTCAGTCCTGCTCAGAGCAGAAGTGATGGTGTAAAGCAGCAGGTTTCCTCACAAATAAACCAACATCATCAAAATAAAGAAATCATTCCTGTCAAATGTGTTAAAGCTGATCGAACAAACCTGCTGTGAAAATAACAAGTATAAAGAACAGCTGTCTGTTTTCAAACTTAGAGGTCAAAATCAACAAGTTAGCAGAGAAATAAAGTCTGAGTTGAATACAGAGAACTATAAACTGGACTTCAGAGCAGAAACTGAACATTTCTATTTCATTATGTCTCATTTCTACATTTGATCTGAAATATAGAGACGAGGAGACACTTTTTTCATCACTGACACTCTTACACTCCTGGTTTGATGATTTCTGTTCTCACAGCTTCACTAAAGAAAGAATCCTCTGAGAGGGTCGAAGAGTCAGCAGGAAATACTGAATATCTGCTGTGATACTGTGTGGAGTGGAACAGGAGAGATCAGCACCGACTAACTCCAACTCTATACTGACATCAGATCCTCCAGTCTGTAGTCTGGACTCTTCTGAAGATCACACAGCAGCTTCATGTCTGAATCCTGCAGCTCGTTGTCACTCAGGTCCAGCTCTCTCAGATGAGAGGGGTTGGACTTCAGAGCTGAGGCCAGAGAAGAACAGCTGATCTCTGACAAACTGCAGTCATCCAACCTAAATAAAGAGGAAATAATGAGATTTTAGAGAAAAATGATCCAGTTTGAAACCTGATGTCTTAAATTTGTAGAGTTCAGGGGAAAGGTTTGGAAAGTATGAATCAAAGAAAAGTGACGCTCCGTAGAGCTGAACCAAACAGGAAGTCAGTTTGAAACAGTGAATTCAAAAACACATTAAATAGTGAAAAACAAACTCAGAGACTTTTTTACTGATTGTAGATACAGCACAATATTTTCAGAAAATGTCAGCGACTTCAGGACGGATGGGAAATAAAGGATGTTCAGAATATTTTTACTTTGCTGAACCAAAAATATCACGTCTTTGAGAGGAAATATTTCAGTCTAAACACAGCAAGGCTTCAGAAAAGTGCAGATAAACCAGAAAATTCAGATTTTCACACAAAGATTCACAAAAACAATCAAAATTCAAAGTAACAGAGCTGGACTTTCATCAGTGTCAGAAACTAAACTCTGAGTTTTTTCTATTCCCTGATCTTGTCCTGAACTAAAGTTTGAATGGTTCTCGTCTGACAAATCTCCCCCTGCTTCTGTTTTCTGTCTGAATGTGCTTCTCACTGTGAACTCTACAAAGAGTTTTCTTCTAGTGTTCAGGTTTTGATTCACTGGAGCTCAGCAGTGATCTAACTGGAGTTAATCAAATAATCCACTGATGCAGAAAATCTACTCTGGACTGAAGGTGTTCAGTCTGGGTCAGTATTTCAGTCCTGAGTCAGCAGTTTAGTGTCATCATCACAAACAAATCATGATAATGTCTGAATGGAGGAAAAAAGTCTGACCTCAGAGTCTCCAGTTTACAGTTTGGACTCTGCAGAAAGTCACACAGAAGCTCCACTCCTAAATCCCACAGTATGTTGTTACTCAGGTCCAGATGTCTCAGATGGGAGGGGTTGGACTTCAGAGCTGAGGCCAGAGAAGAACAGCTGATCTCTGTCAAACTGCAATAATTCATCCTAAATAAAGAGGAAATAATGAGATTTTAGATAAAAATGATCCAGTTTGAAACCTGATGTCTTAAATCTGTCGAGTTCAGGCGAAAGGTTTGGAAAGTATGAATCAAAGAAAAGTGACGCTCTAAAGAGCTGAACCAAACAGGAAGTCAGTTGAAACAGTGAATTCAAAAACACATTAAATAGTGAAAAACAAACTCAGAGACGATTTTAACTGATTGTAGATGCAGCTCAATATTTTCAGAAAATGTCAGCGACTTCAGGACGGATGGGAAATAAAGGATGTTCAGAATATTTTCACTTTGCTGAACCAAAAATATCACGTCTTTGAGAGGAAATATTTCAGTCTAAACACAGCAAGGTTTCGGAAAAGTGCAGATAAACCAGAAAATTCAGATTTTCACACAAAGATTCAAAAACAATCAAAATTCAAAGTGACAGAGCTGGACTTTCATCAGAGTCAGAAACTAAACTCTGAGTTTTTTCTATTCCCTGATTTTGTCCTGAACTAAAGTTTGAGTGGTTCTCGTCTGACAAATCTCCCCCTGCTTCTGTTTTCTGTCTGAATGTGCTTCTCACTGTGAACTCTACAAAGAGTTTTCTTCTTGTGTTCAGGTTTTAATTCACTGGAGCTCAGCAGTGATCTAACTGGAGTCAATCAAATAATCCACTGATGCAGAAAATCTACTCTGGACTGAAGGTGTTCAGTCTGGGTGAGTATTTCAGTCCTGAGTCAGCAGTTTAGTGTCATCATCACAAACAAATCATGATAATGTTTGAATGGAGGAAAAAAGTCTCACTCTAGAGTCTCCAGTTTACAGTTTTGACTCTGCAGAAGGTCACACAGCAGCTTCACGCCTGAATCCTGAAGATAGTTTTCACTCAGGTCCAGATGTCTCAGATGGGAGGGGTTGGACTTCAGAGATGAGACCAGAGAAGACCAGCTGATCTCTGACAATCTGCAGTTCATAAGTCTGAAAAAAGGAAAGAGAATAAAGATAAAAATAATTAATAATCAAACTTCACATGTTCAGGTTTAAAATATGGAGCTTAGAGAACTCCAACAGGAGACCTTTGGACCAGATCCAGTCTGTCAGAGCTCATGATCTGGTCTGCTCTGACCCTCCATGTAAAATAACAGACAAGACATCAGATGTGATGTAGCACTGGTTTGGATCAGAGGTTCAAATGTTCAGAAGGTGGAGTCCTTGTTGCAGCAGTTGCTGGTTGGACTCCCATGATCCTTTGCTGTAAGTCCTCCCTCACTCTCTACTCCACGTTTCCTGTCTGCCTTCATCCCTCACTGTACACTGATCTTCAACAATAACACTCAACCCAGAATAATAGACTGTGTTGTCTCTACTGTCAGAACTGGACCGGACCAGCCAGCAATCCTCCAGATCTGAGTTCATGGAAGTCAGAGACAAACCAGAAATACTCTCAACCAAGAAGAGCTCAGAGAGAGTCACCCAGGACACTGAGCGGACCTCCCTCAACCAGGCTGGTCTCAAGAGTTTGTATTGAGCAGATCCAGCCCATGTGAAGCTGGACCTGAATGTGCTCTCAGACTGTAACATCAGCGCTCTGCCAAACAGAGAATGGATGAGACTCTGATGAGACAGGTCAGCTGACTCTGTCTGCAACAACATCACCTTTACTGCTTTACTCTTCTCCCTCACCTTCATCAGGATCAACAAGGTCAGACAGCAGACAGATCCACTCTTCCTCTCACTTTGTCATTGATTCACTGATGGCTGAGTTCACACACATTTCATTTAGTCCACTCTCTAATCGGGTTTTACTGCAGGAACCTTTCAAACCATATGACCAGTTATTGAGCTCACAGAAAAGAGGCAGTGGAGCCAAAACAGGAACCTGATCAATCTGATCATTGAATATTGATCAGAAGAAAAATCTAAATGGTTCAAATAATATTGAGAAGAACAAAATCTGAGAGTTTGGTTCTTTAACTCATTTGGTTCAATCATAAAAGTGACGAAGAAAACTTTGTTTTTGTGACTTCAGTCATCACAGCAAAGAGACAAAGAGGAAAATCTCTGTCTGTGTTTGTGTGTTTGTGTCTCTGTCTGTGTCTCTGTGTCTGTGTTTGTGTGTCTGTCAGTGTAAATTCAGGCGTCTGTGTTTCTAACTGTCAGAGCAGATCTTTCTCGTTTCCTCCTCATGAAAACTCAAAACTCATGTTCTGACTGTTAAACACATTTGATGAAAAAGTGGATTTTTTTCAGATTTGGTTTGTTTGTTGTTTTTTGTGACTCTGAATTTATGAAGCATCATTATCACTTTAATAACTGTGATGAAAACAATGATGCTAGCTGAAGAAACAACAACAAAAAGGAAACTGGGAGCCCAAGTTTAGTCCATGACTTTATCCTCATTATTGTAACGTGTCAAAAAGACTAATAATCACCTGTCACACTCCTGTCTGATATCAGTATGATATGGTTGTAATTAATGAATATTAACTCATGAATATGTTCAAAATGTCTATGAAATTAAAAGACTAAAACTCCAAATCTAAAAGTTAATTAAAAAAACAGCTGTCACATTACCTCTGAAGAAACTGTTCCTGCTTTTAATGATTCAATGTTCTTGAGCCCCTGAAGGACATGGATGAAGAACTTTTTCAGAGTTGATCTTGAGGAACTTTATAAAATCTTCTCTAAACTTTTTTGAGAAGATTTTTTGAAAATAGTCAGGAGTTTATTCAGGGGTCCGTCCGTCTGCTGTCAACAACTGCCAAACTACTCTTAAATAAACCAACAGATCATTGATCAGAGAGGTTTTTATGGACCAACTGGACAAGATGATGTTCATGTTCAACAAACTGAAGTGAAAACTGCAGAAAAATCTGGATCTGGTTTTTACATTTGAACACGACTGAGCAAAGAAGAAATTCAAGTTTTCAAGAGTTTCCAAATGAAATATCCAGAGTTGGATTAACTTTGTTCTTCAGGTTTCAATCTGCAGCTCATCATTTCTCTGACACTTCATTCATTCATTAGTGATCACATTAATTGTGGATCAGTTCAATATCAGCCTTTAGTCTGTGCTGCTCCTGCTCTCTACCAGCATGTGTAATATTTGTGGGACTGATTTTCTCCTGCTTCCTTTCTACATCCATCGTTCTCCTCAAAGTCAACTCTGAAATGTCGGATTTTTCTTCCTGTGTTGAAGTTTTACAACGACAAATTCAAACTGCTCGACCAAAGTTGATGGAAAAACCACAGAGAAAAATCTAAGGCAGCAGCTGTCACATCTTATTGTTAGATCAGAAGGAAATGGTGTCTCACCTCAGAGTCTCCAGTCTGCAGTTTGGACTCTCCAGTCCTGCAGAGAGAAGCTTCACTCCTGAATCCCACAGTATGTTGACACTCAGGTCCAGATATCTCAGATGGGAGGGGTTGGACTTCAGAGCTAAGGCCACAACTTCACAGTGAGTCTCTGAGAGTCCACAGCCCCAAAGTCTGTAACAAGATAAATATCAAACAATATTTCATTAAAGGGTAATTTGATGTTTCTCTTCACCAAAAATGACTCAAACATGATCTTTGGTTTGACAGACGGCCTGTTTTTAACCAGACAGATACTAATATCAGGACCACAGCCATGAGAGAAGACAGGAAGTCAAAGTTTAGAAGAAGAAAAAAAACTGTTCAGATGTTCAAGACAAATGACTCCATGACTTATTTTAGTCCTTCTGTTCTCTAACAGTGTTGTCTTCATGTTAGTGCAGCTGGATCATTATGATTGAGTGAATTCTTCAGTTCTGGTTGGAGAAGGGGACTGAGAACCAGGTTTTTGGTCCTGGTATGTGATTGGTTAGTATCCAAAGTACCTCTTGGAGAATCAGTGTTTAATGTTGACATCCTGCTGTAATGTAAGTCTTTCCATAGACACTGACTGTTGACCAATCAGAGGACGACTCACTAAATCACAGCAGCTCCTTTTTCTCTGATTGGTTCAGATAAAATTCTTTTTTTTAGCAGGTTAGAGCTGGTTTGACTCTGAACATTTGAAGACTTGAAGATTTCTTTGTTTTCACAATGAAAGTTTTTTCTCCATGTAACATTCGCTTCAGCAGCAGAAACAAGTTTATAAAGCCTGATGAATCCAGAGAGACCTTTAAGAGACAGAAACAAAGACCCACTGAACCTCTGTCTTTGGGCTCTGGTGATCTCTCTCTCTCTCTCTCTCTCTCTCTCTCTCTCTCTCTCTCTCTATCTCTCTACCTGTATTAATTCAACCTAATGACAGCCATGCTAGTTATGGCCAAAAACAGACTTTTCTTCTCCCTAAAAAAGTCTGTCTTGTTAGTCCTTTAGACCTGGTTCAGTCTCTCAGACTCAGACCTGGATCAAACCCCAGTCTGCTGCAGTGTTTGTTCAAAGGCTGTTTCAGCAGAAGGCAGCAGTCTGACCAATTTACATCAACATCTTAAACAGAGGCGTGCAGCCGAGTGGGAGAAATGTGACCGCTACAGCCCACCAACACCTCAACATATGAGGAATCATCTTCACTCTGCATCACCATGACAACAAAGGGACACCATGGAAAACTGATGAAGATGATGACGATGATGCAGTCACACTGCTTCTCCTCAGAGACATGGTGTCCATATATACAGTGGAACAGCACCGCTGTTTCCACATGCTATGAGGTGTTATGAGGCAGACTAGTATCAGAGAGAGAGAGAGAGAGGGAGAGAGAGAGAGAGAGAGAGAGAGAGAGACATTAACATCCTACTTCCACCATTGTTTTCAGACACATGGAGCTGCTGTCCAAATACCTCCTGTGTTCTCATCATTCATATGTTCTAGTCCAGCAGATAATCTCCAGTGAGTGGTGGAAAATGATGTTAGTTTTCATGGTTGTATTGATGATGAATATTGAATGATGAACATGATGGTACAGAGACAGTTCTGCCACTGTGGAGAAAATGATCCAGTTCTATTTTCACCATCAATGCTGTCAACACCCTCATTTACAACACATTCATCATTTCCAACCTGAAAACCAGCAGGAAGAAGCTGCAGACACCTTCTTCAAACTCAAGTTCACCACAATTGACTGAGATGTTGATCTGGACTGATACCATCATCAGAAGACCTCTGTGTGTCCTCAGATATGGTCGCTGATTTGTCCTGAAAGTTCCACTTTATTCATTACGGACACGATTCAAAACAAAGAGGTCCTCCACTATTAGGACAAGTTCTCAGGGGTCCACAGGTAGACCTCATCCTGGGCTAACAGGACTTTTGACACCAGGATCATGTTTTTGCCAAAGAAACCCCCTCCCTGATATTTGAGTGGATTTCTATTTGAAGAAGAACATCATCAGTAACGTGGACATTAGAAGAACTACAGGGATCATTTACACTATTCTGAGAATAAAACCTGGACTTACTCAGCCTTTCTGCAGTTCCTCACAGCTGGGATCAGTCTCAGTCGTCCCTGGTTTGATGTGTTATAGTTCCTTAAGTTCAACTCATCCAGAACCTCCTCCGACATCTGCAGCATGTAGGCCAGAGCAGAGCAGTGGATCTCTGAGAGTTTCTTATATGATCTGTTCTCTGACTTCAGGAACTCTTGGATCTCCTGATGAACCGACAGATCGTTCATCTCCATCAGACAGTGGAAGATGTTGATGCTTCTGTCAGGAGAGATATCTTTACTGTTCATCTCCTTCAGGTTCTTGATGACTCTTTGGATTATTTCTGGACTGTTGTGTGTGTGACCCAGCAGACCTCCTAAGAGTCTCTGGTTTGACTCCAGAGAGAGTCCATGAAGGAAGCGAACGAACAGGTCCAGGTGACCGTTTTTACTGAGAAGGGATTTCTCCATGACACTCTTCAGGAAGACCTCGAGAGATGAGAAACTGTCATCCAGGTTTTTAGAAGAATAAGAAACCATCTTTGAAGAAAACCTTTTGTCTTCGTTGCCTCTTAGGAAAGTCCTCAGAGCTTCTTTGTTCCTCATTGTGAAACTGTGGATCATGTAGACTGCAGCCAGAAACTCCTGAACGCTCAGATGAACGAAACAGTAAACGGTTTTCTGGAAGATCACACTCTCTCTTCTGAAGATCTCTGTACAAACTCCTGAGTACACCGAGGCCTCTGAGACATCCAGACCACACCGCTCCAGGTCTTCTTGGTAGAACATGATGTCTCCTTTCTCCAGATGTTCGAAGGCCAGCCTCCCCAGCTTCAGGAGAACTTTCCTGTCTGCCTTCGTCAGCTCCTGAGGACTTGTCTCGTGTCCTCCTTCGTACTTCTGCTTCTTCCTCTTAGTCTGGACCAGCAGGAAGTGTGAGTACATGTCAGTCAGGGTCTTGGGCAGCTCTCCTCTCTTCTTTCTCCTCATCATGTCCTCCAGAACTGTCGCAGTGATCCAGCAGAAGACCGGGATCTGACACATGATGTGGAGGCTCCTGGAGGACTTGATGTGTGAGATGATTCTTCTGGACAGATCTTCATCTCTGGACCTCTTCCTGAAGTACTCCTCCTTCTGGGCGTCAGTGAAGCCTCGTACTTCTGTTACCCTGTCCACACGTGAAGGAGGGATCTGATTGGCTGCTGCAGGTCGAGAAGTTATCCAGATGAGAGCTGAGGGGAGCAGGTTCCCCTTGATGAGGTTTGTTAACAGAACGTTCAGTGAAGACTTCTGTGTGACGTCAGACACCACCTCAGAGTCTGTGAAATCCAGAGACAGTCTGCTTTCATCCAGACCGTCAAAGATGAACAGAAGTTTACAGACAGCCAGCGTCTCTGCTGTGACCTTCTCTAGTGTTGGATGGAAAACATGGAGCAGACTCAGAAGACTGAAGCGCTCATCTCTGATCAGGTTCAGCTCCCTGAATGAAAGCAGGATCACCAGATTGAGGTCTCGGTTCTCCAAACCCTCTGCCCAGTCCAGAGTGAACTTCTGCACTGAGAAGGTTTTTCCAACACCAGCCACGCCGTTGGTCAGAACCACTCTGATGACCTTCTTCTGTTGGTCAGGTAAGTTTTTAAAGATCTCATGACACCTGATGGGAGTGTCATGGAGGGTCTTCATCTTTGAAGCTGTCTCCAGCTGTCTCACCTCATGTTGTGTGTTCACCTCTTCACTCAGTCCCTCTGTGATGTAGAGCTCAGTGAAGATCCTGTTGAGGAGGGTTTGACTACTTCCTGTTTCATCACTTCCTTCATTCACACGTTCACATCTCCTCTTCAGACTGATCTTATGTTCATCTAAAACCTCCTGCAGACCGCCATCTTCTGAAAGAGAAGAAAAATAAAATGAACCAAACTTCTCAACATGAAAACGTCTTTGTGAAAATCAGTCAGCTGAGTTTTCATCCACACAGACTTTTCCTCCCAGTGTGTCGGCGCTGACACCTTTGCACAGGCGCTCTTTAAATTACCGTAACTTTGCGGTAGTTTGTGCAATTAGAAAAACTCGAACAGTTTCTGAAAGCTGAGAAGTTGCGCCACACAGCCAATATACGGTTATTACAGTAATTTCACTCCTGCTGTTTTCTCCCCTCTCAAAAGGAGCAGCTGATTAGACACAAACACCAGAGCGGAGAAACGGAGCAAAAAGAGAGAAAAGTGACAAAAAAGCGATTATTTCAAAGGAAATGACTGAAATACAACCCTGCTGGGTCAGAAAACCTCCACCGAGGTTTACAGACGGCTTTGGGACCAATGGAGTGGCTTTCAGAGGAACTTCAGATGAAGGAAGGTAAAGTTTGACCGGTTGATTTTCTGTATGGGTTTCTGGATGAATGAAGTGCTCTTTGTGTCGTTTTTAGTTTATTTACGTTATTTTATGAGTAAATCAACACTTATAACCTTTGCTGTGAGACAGTGAAGCCACTCACTACATCATCCTAGATGAAAATCTGAGGCAGAACCTGATGATGGAGCCCCCCAGCCACTGAGGTTCAACCCAAAACCTGTCCCTGGGGCTTTCAGGAGGAGCTTGCTGCTCATCTTCTAAAAGTTTGTCTCCAGTAAGTCCCAAAGAAATCTACAGGTGACAAACACTGACGTGTCCCAACAAGTTAAAGACAACTGAGGTCTCAGAGAACCAGTATGGGGAGACGACGCTGTTAACTTTGTCACGAGGAGAACTGCCTGGAAGAGTGAGGGGTGTGATGTGGGTCTGTGTCTGCAGACAGAAAGGAACAGCTTCTGACAGTTCCACAAAGACCTCTGAGTGAGAGAGGAGTGTGTTTGCAGCCAGAGAGGAGAAAAGAAGAAGAAACTCCTGGACATGGTTGTATTTATTTAGCCTGTTTTTGCTCTTTGAGAGACAGCACTCTAAAGATTTTGTTGTAAATATGTTTTTATACTGTTTAAATTTATGATCTCAATGAAAAATCTGTTGTTCATGAATATTTTCTTTTTCATTAAAACTCAAAAATCTAATTCCGTTTTTGTGTTTTTCTTTATCTTAAAATGTTAAAGGACTCTTTTAATAGGCAGTAAATTGTAAATGACAGTCAGATATTGGGTATTAGAAAAAATATGGTTGGTAAAAAAATGGTAAAAATACTCACTCATAGGACATTTTCTGCTAATTTTATGGGTAAATAAGTAAAATAATCCAGGCGGAAATTGTATAATTTCGGGTTTAAAGGACAGATGTTCAGACTTACTTCGGTCAGAGCTGGACTGGCTGTCCGTCTGAGAGACAAGAACTGTTCTGGTTCTTTTTCCACACTGGGGACAGGAGGTGTATCCTGAAGAAGTAGACTGGTCCCTGCATGAGGCCAGGCACTGTCTGCAGAACCAGTGTCCACAGCGAGTAGAGACTGGATCCTTCAGGACGTCCTGACATAAAGAACAGCTGGACAGCTGCTCCTCCACAGAGTCACATCTCTGTGTCTCTCTGTGGAAATAAAGATCATTTATTTTCTTTATCATTTCATGTTTGAAAGATACAGAATAAGAAACATTTATTAAACCAGAGTTTCTGACCTCACTCTTTTCTCTAACATAAAACAATCTCCTGTAAAATATTCAGCTGCTGCTGCCTCAAAGTGTGGAGACAGGAGAAAAAACTAAACTGTGATTTTTGAAGGTAGAGAGATTTTCTCTGACAGTTTAAAACATTTTTTTGACCAATCAGATCTAAAGGTCTAATAACAGACAGATGTTTGAATGAGTTTTTATTTCTCAGGATTTATTTCTTCATTGGTCTTCTGGTATTTTGGGACCCACAGACTGTTTTCTGGGGTCTATACACCACAGTCCAAAGACTTACAGGCTCAAAACGTCCCAAACACAGGAACCAAATCAGAAAATACAGAGGTCAGGATCCTCTTCAAATGCTGTTTTATACGACCTTCATTTTTATCAACATGAGGAATAATAAGTAAATCTGTGCTCAGTGACTTTTTCTTTACTTTCTCCAGGTTGGAGGTTAAAGAGGAAAATCTGCGTTTTGAGAGCAGAGGAGAAAACAGAGGGGTCAGGATTTAAAGTTCTGATTTTGAAACATCAGTTGTTGTTGTTTGAGAGTCTGGAGGGTGAAAAGTGTTTCTCTTACTGTGAATCTGAGGGTCCTGGTTCTTTACTGAAGGCTAGAGGAGGATCTTTAGACCGGTCACTCTTCATAGACAGACAGCTGAAGATAACAGACTTTGTTCTGTCCTCCTCTGAGGGTCCTGGTTCTTTACTGAAGAACAGAGGTTCATCTTTAGACCGGTCACTCTTCATAGACAGACAGTCGGACATAACAGACTTTGTTCTGTCCTCCTCTTCCTTGACACAAACACTCATCTTCTCCATCTTCTGTTGTGAAGATTTATGGAAGATGAAACCGAGTTATACAACCTGAGGACAAAGTAGACAAACAGGTGAGATACAAACAGGAAGAGAGTTCAGAAATAAAAGAGGAATCAGAAAGGAAGTACAGAGTCTGAAAACAGCTTAATCCCCCTCTTTAAGAGTTATACAGGTTTAATATCCAAGAACTTCTGATGTCTCCCCACCCTGCAGGGCCTTTCTCTGATCCTTGTCTGATTCAGGGTCAAAACAAAATCAGCTGTGAGGTCCCTGAACGCTCATAAAAACTTAAGTGGACTGGATTAAATTTGAAATGAGAGGCTAAAAAGATTCTCATTTATGTTTTTACCAAAAAGACAAGTCTAAACAAAGAGGAAGAAGAACTGCACGTACGCAGTTTCCTGTATGAAGAACTGATCCAGCTCTTTGTCTGCTCAGGTTTCTTTGTTTTACAGTTTTTAAGTGTATTAATCAGTAAATCATTTTTCATTAACAGATGATACAGATAAAGAGTTTGACATTAAAATAAAAACAGAGTAAACACTCACCCTGTCTCCTCGTCCTCTCCTCTCTCCTCTCTGATCGTTTCTCAAAATGGAGTCTGTTTTTCAGCTCACATACTTTCACTTTCATTTTGACTGTTTTCACTTAAACCTAAACCACCAGATCACAGATTCTTCTCCTCCTGTCATTTACTGACAGTTTTTGATCATCTTTTAAGTTCAGTATTCTTGACAATCATTATTTCTCCTGAGTCCGAATAAAAAAAAGTTCGCTGAAACAGGAACTCGTTTGGTTGAGTCTCAGTTTATTTTTAATGCAGCAGCTCCACCTGCTGGTCAAACCAACAAAATACCAAATGAGCACTCAATTATTATCAGATAATGAAATCCCCATTTTTATTTTATTTTATTTTTTTTTGTAATTTTACCTGTTAATCTGAAAATGTTGATTTATTTGTTTAGTCTTTTACATAATGGTGAATCTCCAGCCTCTCCAAATGCCATTTTTATCCCCACTCATTTTACTAGACTGTTGCAATCAACCTAACTATCCGAGAAAAGTTTCTTGATTTGTTTTAAAACTTTTCGGGGAGTTTCTATCGTCCTTGTTTCAACTTTGTAAAAACATGTCGGCATCGAATAGTCCATAACCAACATATATTATCACATTACCAGCAATTTGACACATTCAAACCAGCTGAGAAGTGATTTAATAAAACAAACGTTTATCAAAGATCATAGAGTGGGTTTGTGTTGCTTCAGTAAACTCAGTTAATCACTGGAATAACAAACATTTCACAATGGCAGAAGTTTTAACAAACACTTTATTGCAGTCGTAGTCTTTCGTAGTAAGTCATGATCGCTTTGGTTGCACTCACAGAGAGAAGCGTAACCAACAAAAACCCAATCGATCCGGCCACGATGAAGATCATAGTCATGTGCTCCGCCCCTGCAAAAAAAGGACATAAAATTTCATCCAGCTGTTTTTACACCTCACATTGAAGTTTGGATTTAGAGAAAGAAAAAAACCTCAAAGTAACTCTATTTGACTCATGAACTCACAGTACGATGGTGGGACTCCCGACCTCAGCCTCTTGTTGATGAGCAGAGGTCCAGCAGACACGACAGCAGCTGGTCTTTCTCTTCCGTTGATCTGACTCGCTGACCTCTTGATGCGCTGCTGCCCCGTGCAATTCTGCAACAAGATCAGGATCAGTGTGGGATTTTTATGTCTTCAAAAAAACTCTGAGATGCTGTAATTTTCTGCCTTAAATTGTCATTTATGACAGAAAACAAATTGCATTTGCTCTTAAACTATCAATAAAGCTGCCTGAAGCTCTTTCCAGAAATTTAAAAGCCAAATTAATCAACTGGAAGAAATATTTTGGCAGGTATTCAGTTTAAAAGATGAGCAGCTGATTCCTCAGTTGGTTTTACCTTGGTGCAGTCCTCATCGTGCCCACATATGTTTGCAAGGCAGTGAATGTAGATGGGCAGACGCTGAGGCATGAAGAACATCTGAACAGAAAACCTGCTCTGCTGCGCCGCACCGTTTACAGAGAGCCAGTGCAGCGTGTGGTCGACAGGACAGCTGAGAGAGAGAGAGAGACAGAAAGAGGATGAGGTCTGGTGGGGATCCAGAACTACATGCATGCTGCTCTTAATAACGGTTACTATGATTGTCTTCATACAGGAACTTTAGAGGATGATGAGTACCTCTTATGACACTAATGCAACAAAGAAGTTTGGGGAAGAACATTTTCAACGTTTCTGACCTACTTGCACACAGCACTGGTACAGAGACAGTAACTGAGCATGCACTACAACATTCGGAGTATTTCTCATGGTAGGTAAAGAGAATTTTTATAAAAACATCGGTCCATTTTTATTCATGACCCTCTAAAAGTCTCCAAACGGTGCTTTAAAGAAAAGAATCAAGAGCCTGGACGCTCAGAGCACTGTGGTACTTTTGATAAGTTTCAAAGAAAAAATTTGGGTATTAAAAGAATCATCAAAAGGGTCTTTACTTCAGGCTTCGACCATTAAGTATTTCCTCCTACCCGTCCTGAATAAGAAGACCCTGCACGGTGTCCTGGGGGTCCGTGCTCTCAGTGGCCCAGCATGAGTCCACCTGCAGCAGCACATCTGAGGCAAAGGAGTCTTCGGTCTGCAGGGACACCTGGAAGAACAGCGTGTCCTCGGGCTCCAGGCTGATGGCGTCCGTGAAGTTGTGAGTGTATGACAGATCAGTGAAGAGGCTCATGATCAGGCCCAGCTGTGCGGACGAATTAAACTCCACCATGGAGAGAGAGAGGAGCCTACAGAGAGAGAGAAATCCAGTTTTCAGGTAGTTTCAGTCTTCCTCTCTTTGTTTTCTTAACTTGGTAAAAGATAAAAGTTTTTCTGTCTCACCACTCCATGTCCACACCCACGTGAGCGTTGCGGATGTAATGTCGGGGGTAGACGCACTTCCAGACGACTTTCAGATCTCGTCGGCCGATGATTTGCTCTTTGGTCAGGGACACAGCTAAAGTGTTTTGGTACTCTATGTGGGTTTTATTCACCTGGAAGGAAACAAACATGCTGAGATCACAAATCAACAATAGCACACAGATGCTGCTTCGTTTATGTAGTTTATGTTAGGGGTTATTATCCCACTGTCACGTCTTTCCACCATTTCCACCTCCGTGAAGCTCTTCACCAGCTCTCCGGTGACTCACCCGTCTCTCGGTTCCACAGTCGGAGGGTTTTCTTGATGTCTGAAAGAAGTAGAACATCTCGCTTTCCTCCACGGTGCACCGCCCATCGTTTAGCTTCACGTCCACCTTTCCACCCATGTGAGAGGTCAGGTAGGGTTTGGCTATCCCACCGGTCAGCTGTTTCTCCAGACACTGACTGAAGAGGCCTTTCTCTGTTTTAAAAGGTCAGAATCAAAGCGGTGAGACCGTTTCTGTTACAGGCTGATAACACGTCTGCAGCTCCTCTGGATGTCTGTTCATCAAGTTTTCCGCACTGCTCCTTCAAGGCCAACTTCTCTGTGTACTGTCGTTAACTTACCATTGCAGAGCGGAAGTGAAACTGCAGCAGGTTTGACCACAGAGCTCACGTCGTAGTAGCCGTGCTGGCACATGCACATGTAGGAGTCGAGTGTGTTGATGCACAAAGAGTGACGAGGACACTTGGAGGACGCACAAAGATCCGGACCTGCAAACAGATCAAACAAACAAAGTGAATCTTGGGAGAAAATACGTTTTAATATGAGCTGTCTTCTAAACTACCACCCACCCTCCCAATGAAGGACGCCGTCTGTTACAGTGATGTTTGTGAAATTCAGAGATTTGATGTAATCCAGCTGGTCTCCCACAGACAGAGGCACGTCTTCTTCGCTTTGAGATGCATTGAAAGTCATGAACAGAACTTCTGTTTTGTCCGGCTCGTCTGCAGGGTCAAAGGTGGCGAGCTCGATACGGGCGGGGGGGTCAGAGTCTTTAAAAATCGTCTGCAACTGAAGGACAAAAAAAGCACTAAGATATGACGCTTCAAAGAAATAAATTAAATACATATAGGACATATATATACACAAACACACACATGTGAGGAAGAACACAATGGTAAGGTGGAAAAGTAAGACTTTATACAATAAAATATCAACTAGGCCCGACCGATATGGAGTTTTTGGGGCAGAGATGTCAATACCGATTATTACGGGGGAAAAATCCGATTACCGATTAATCAGACGATTTTTTAAAATTTCTATGAAGTTATGTCGATATTTACAGTATACGTTATACTACAGTATACTATACACTGTAGATATACGGTAGGCTACTGCTCTCCACGACGACAGGAAGACCGACTGATCAAACTCGGATTAGAAAAAGCGTTTTCAACTACACCCCCCCACCCAACACCCCCACGATCGGTGCCTCCGTGTCTTAACTCACGTTCCTCATTTCCGGTCCGGTCTCATCTGGAGACATGCAGTCAGAGAAGTCGCTCGATCACTAATGTGTACTGTTGTTTATTCTACCGTTACTGGCACGGCTAACAGTGTAGCAAGGCTAATAGCAGGTGGCTAACGCTAACTTTAGCTTGAATATTACATGATGCTTCACCGTTAACTTGGCGTGACCGAGACCAGCACAGCGGGGAACATGGTGAAGTGGGTTGAACTGAAACTTGTTGACTTATTGTGTATTTCACAAACTGGTTTATTTACTCGCTGCGCCGTCTACAGGATAAATCGGGGAACTTTTAAAATGGCGGAACATTTTCGAAGGGAAACCGGATCTTACTCTCCGCATTTTATTTCTGAAAATATCGGCGAAAATCTGCGAGTTTTAGCCGATTACCGATTAGTCTCAAACGGGCTAAAATTGGCCGATTTAATCCGCTCGCCGATAAATCGGTCGGGCCCTAATATCAACGACAATAAATATTATAAGCAAGAGAAAATTTCAGAAACAGATGTAAACAAAGACATAAAACATTAAACAAAAAACACAGGTCGGAGTTTTAACTCAGAGTGTCAAGAAATGTAAACGACAGTTGTGGCCAAAATTATTAGCCCCCCTATAAAAATTTTTGACCCTGGTGGTTTTTGGGTTTTGTGAATTAATTGTGTTTCTGTGTGCAAAGTAAAATAATGTCAGGATCCAAAATAAAACTAGGATGTTTGGGAAAGCTGTGTAAAAAAAAAATATTAATCTGTTGAACAGCTCATTAGAAATTTTGGAAAAAAACTTAGAATTTTATAGGGGGGCTAGAAATTTCATCCATAACTCTCATAAAAGCCTCAATCTTCGACAACACTCTGTATAAACAGTGCTGGTGTCACTTTTACTCAACACAGTATAAACTCAGATACAGAGTGTTTCTTAGGATTTCTTACAAACCTTCTCTTTGAAAATTTCCCCCATCTTTGCTCTTGGTTCTGACTGATCATCCTGCAGTTCCTCCGGCAGAGACCAGGGCAGCACTAAGGTCAGACCCATCCCTATGACATCTACCTGCATGTCTAAGAATCCACAACAAAAGATATACAAAGGGTTAAGTCTGAGGGGAAAAATCAACTATATTATGATCAGAGTCAGGCCTTCACCAGAGAGAACGTGATTTTCTGACCTTGTCAAGTCTTAGAAAGCTACAACAACCCAAAACAGGACTTTCTCACAGCAGCAGAAGTCTACTTGTTCCTCAGACTGACCTGAACCCAGAGCAGACTCCGCGGCCCTCACAAGAACCACTGAAGATGAATTAGCTCCTTCGAAACAAACACGAGAGTGCTCAGACTCCCACTGTCCCTCACACTCCTCCCACACATCCAGGACGTAGGTTTTTCCTTCCTCCAGGCCCAGGAGATGGAGCTCAGAATCGGTTACACGGCTGCTTTGGATGGTGGGGCCGTTCTCCAGAGACAGTTCGTACAGGAATGCCACGGCTCGCTGGTTCCCGGTGCTGGAAATCCACAGGGCGGTGGAGTCATTAGAGCGATACCTGAGATCGGAGACACTGTGGGGTCCTGGATATGCAGACAGAAATGTACATGTAAACAAGACATCTATATCTTTGAGTGATTTAAAGAGAAATTAATTCCCCTCGACTTTAAAGATGTTTCATGAGCAGATTTCTGAGTTTCTACCTTCAGACAGACTGACTTTAGAAAAGAATAACAGAGGCTACATTTTTAGATTTACGTTTTTATTGATGTTTTTGTTTAAAATGTTGTCTCTGAACTCTTGAGCTTTTGTTTGTTTGTTTGTTGTTTATGTTGTTTGGTTGATTGTTTTGTTTTGAGTTTTTATTATTCACTTTTCTTCTTGGATTTGTTGTAAAACTATTTCGCCTTTTTTTAAAGGAAGTTTTGGTGTGTGTGGATCTGGCGGTGTACTGCTTTGTGTGTTTATATTTGTGTGTTTACATGGTGAAAATGCGAATAAAATGTGCAAAAAAAAAAAACAAAAACACAAAAAAAAGTGGGAGGAGTCAGCTTCTGTTTTCTACATCACCTGTGTGCGTTTTCACAGTCTTGGTACTCATCACGACACCATCGCCACACAGCGCCTCCACCTTGGCTTGGTACTCTTGGCATGGCAGCAGCCCTTCCACGGTGTAGTTGGTGAGGAGGGTGGTGCCCTGCAGCGCCCCCTCGTGGTAGACTCTGAACTTGGAGATGGACGAGGTGTTCTTCACGTGCCAGCTCAGGGTGTAGTTATCAGGGCCGAATGATGTCTGACGTAAGGCCTCGATGCTGGAGTAAACTGAGGAGCAGAGAGGAGAGGGTTATCTTGGGTTTCTAAGAGTTGGACTGAATCAAACTCTGAAACAGATCGAGTATAAAAAACATCTTCTGAAGAAATAGGGCCCCGAGGCATGTGCAAGTCAATATAATCAGTTTTTAATGGTTTCTGTGAGTTACAAAGGATGAAGCGGACTTGTGCATTCAGTCAGCCATGAAATCTTTACCAGCGTTTCCATCTCTCAGGACCATCTTGCTGTAGCGGGACTCCATCCCTGCCTGACAAACTGTCTGCAGACCAAACCTCACCCTCCTGCAGGGCTCCAGGTCAGACATGGTGAACGTAAAGTTTTCTTTCTTTGGCCACCATCGCACCTCCTCTGTGAGGTGGTCTGTATCATTGAGGGAGAAGGCGGTGAGGAGGTAGAGGGAGTACTTGCAGTTCTCAGGACACTTCCAGGACAGAGATATACTGCGGCCGTTCCAGGATGTAACCTGAAAGTCTCTGGGCACGTCTGGGTCTGTTGGGTAATTTAAAGGGAGTTTAAAGCCTCAGTTAGGAGTGGACATCACTTCTAAGTAAAAAAGAAAAAGATATTTTACGACATAGCCACACAATGCCAAGCAACATCAGCAGTTATTCGTCTGAGGCCTCTTTGTGAAATTTTAGTACAGTATGAAATTGTCTCTTAGCTCCTCTTTGGGCAAAATAAACCGTAAAATCAAATTTAAAAAAGTTATGAAAAGATAAAAACCTCCTGAACTGAGGGGAGCTGCAGCATCAGACCTCAGAGGTCGAGTGCAGCCGCTGAGCTTTCGTCGTGCTTCTTCACTCAGACTTTGCTGTGACGGACACTTTGAGCGCACCAATCCTGACCAAGACCGGTCCTAGCTGCAGCTACTCTCACCATGCAAGCTCACATTTCTATCCTTTCTCTCCGACCATCAAAATATCTGCAAAAAAGCTTAAATACCACAACCCAAATCTTCGTTGTGTACCTGTGATAGCAGACAGACAGGTGAAGGAGCGAGTGCCTGCGGTCTCCACACAGGCTTCATACGGGCTGCAGGAGTTCAGGGCGGTGAAGTTGTAGTTGTTGTTGGTGGTTGAGCTCATGCTGAGAGCTTTATAATAACCCTGGTCGGTGTGGTACAGCGTCACAGTGTGGCTGTCGCTGTCGGCTCTGCTGTTCTCCACCCAGGACACCAACAAGGAGGAGGGGGTCCTGGACTCCAGCTTGATGGGGTGACGCCACGTGTGACCTAAGGAAGAGAAAAAAATGATGTTCTACTGATACAGTAAAAGTGTGATTAAGTGCAAGACGTAGACAATCAGTGCTCAGATTTAATTTTATATCAACAGTGCAGTCCAAAAGTATGGCTAGACTGAGGTCAGGACAAGGATCGGCTGATATCTACGGGTCGTGTGGGGACTTTTTGACATCTTTATCGATAAAAATTGTACTAAGCACTAAATATCAAACACTTCTCAGTGACTAAAGAGTCAGAAAATACAGCAACACCAAGCAGAATCAGGCTGCATACTCCTTTTGTGGTTTGCGCTTTAAAGAGTCTCTCCAGATCTTTCATTGTTTTCTCTGAATTTGCTGCATTTTTTCGCGCACGTGTCTTGTCTCATTTGCATGTGTGTTTTACATTGCAGGGCGTTTCTCCGTTGTTGGGCAGAACCACAAAGTACTCTCACCCATGGCGAGGAAGAAGTGTTCATCCTGGTGGAAGAATACAGTTCCAGTTTCACATGCAAACACCTCATTTGCACTTATCAGGTCCAGGAAGCTCTGGAGAAGGATGGAAGACAAGGAGGAGGGATTAAAGATGAAAAATAAACTAGACTTCATCTGAAATAACACTTACCTTGATGTTAACTCTTGGCTCCTCCTCTGGCGCCTGCCTGCCCTTGATTTGAATGTACCTCGAACCTTAAATATAAATCAAACATTACCCAGCACTTAAACTTTTGTTCCTTGTGAGATAAACTGAGACTAAATATACAGAGTCGAGTCACAGATGCTTACTTGGGGTGATTCTGAAAGTCCATGCCTGAACAGAGCCTCCATATTGAAATGTTAGTTTAGTTACCACAGCCGGAGAAACCGTCAGGGAGGTTAATTTCCCCGCCTTGTTGATGTGTTTTACCGATGTATCATTCAGCCATATGTTTGCATTTTGCCTAAAGGACAGAAAACATGTGGTCCCTTTAATTAACGGTAATTTGAAAGTCTGTCTTTTAAATGCTGCTCTCTTTATCAACTAATGTACTGGACTGAGGAAATCTCTCATTCCTTTGGTGAGTTTCCATCTGCTGTTTCTGCTTATTTTAACATGACAAGTCAAGAAAAGCAGGTCCTGATCCACTTCACAAACACATGTGACACCTGGATTAGACTCTCAGAGAGTCTACATACAAGTTTGTGAAGCCGGAGTCGGTCTGGCCTTGTCTCAGTGGCCCCGTTTACATGGGTAGTTTTCCTCAATCTGATTGAAATCAATCGGATTAAGTGAATCTGATTCCATCTGTATACATGAACTTTAAGTAAAGACATCCACGTTCAGTCCGCGTTTTCATGGCCCCAGCTGAATCCAGTTGTATTGTATTGTATCAATGGGAATTGTTAATAGGAACCATTGTTTTAGTTCCGTTTTAGAGTTGCGCACGGACGTGTTTGTGTGTGACACCGCCGGAGTTACCAGACTGAGCAGAGTAAGGAACCCTATGTGTTAAAGTTTAATAAAAGTATAATCCAGCCGGGTTACACAGCAAGAAGTGTACTCTTCGTAAGTAGCACGAAACAGCGCACTTTAACACTCCACTGTCCAGTTTTTCTGTTTGTTCGCCATGTTTGTTTTCGTTTGGGCGCGCTCTGCGTACGTCACTACGTGCCTCTTACGTACTACCGAGCGCCTGCGCAGACCGAACAAGCCTCTCTGTAAACCCAATCCGCTCCACTCAACCGTATAAATGGAGCGGATTATCAATCGGTGTAGACTACCTTTTACAATCCGACCCGAAATACAATCAGATCCGGGGGAATCAGATTGGCTAAGGTGTTTATATGCGACATTTTGAATCCGATTGACCTTTCAATCTGATTGTAAATAGGATTTTTGGACCCATGTAAATAGGGCCAGTGTGACTTGAAGATAAAAACAGGGGATTTCTTTTCTTTGGGAATATCTAAATTCAACAAAACTGGGATTGTGTTTTTCAAAAAGGGGGAAACTCTCAAAAATAATCTGGTCTAGACTCGACAAGTGTAGACATAGTGAATCAAGACTAGATTCAGGTCAGATGTGGATGATCTTGAGGTGAAGTGAAGCAGTGAAACACCATTTTAAACGTCTCCTAAAACAAATGAGAGGTTTTAAAAGTTTGTAACAGTGTTTTTTAAAAGTCTGTAGCCTCTCTGGAATATTCTAGTCCAGATCTGATAAGTTTTGTGGTTTTGGATCAGGATTTGGATCACCTCACCCCTGCGACAAACTAAATGCTAACTTTAACATGGTTAGTTCTGTGCTGCAGCTGCGGATGAGATTTCTGTGCTTACCTCTCCATAACTTTGTCCTTGGCCATCCAGCATATTGAGAAAGTAACATCGTCACAATAACCTGGAGTAAAATAAAAGAGGATATCAACGTTAAATGTTCTGGTGTAAAACTAAACTGGTGTGCTGAATGTTTGAACCACTTACCAAACGAAATGAGAAGAGGCAGCAGAATAAAAACCACGAATGAAAACTTAAAAGAGCTCCTGAAAAGAGAAAAACTGAATTATCTGATCAATTTGCTCGATAAACGATTAGAAAACACTAAAAACATCAACTTTCTTACATTTTCTTTGAAACTCGAGCGTTGAAAAGCATACTTTTGTTTCTTAACGTTGAGTGCTAGGCTGGAGGTGGCAGACTCCTAATGAAAGACAGGTGTGTGCTGCCTTCATGTACCTGCTCAGAGTCAGGAAAAAATCAAGACAACCATTGATCCTGACTAAAAAGACTAGATTCTCCTTACATTCGTATAGATTTACACTTTTTTAAAAAAATAATAACTTTATCTTGTTTTTTGTGGTAATTTCATAAAAACACAGATTCACTGTGGAGCCTGAAGAGTCCGATACAGCAGCCTTTGTGATATTTTTGGAGCCATAGATGTTCCTGAAGAAACAGGACAATCAGCTTTAAGATACTGCAGATCCCAGTGAAGCAACACGAACAAACTCATACTAATACAAACATTAACAATAGGGGAGAGTGGGGTAAGTTGAGCCACCCCCTGTTGCTTGGAAATGGTCAAAGAAATTGATCATGTGACCAAATATTTAGGAGATGGACATCAATTCATGGAGTCAGTGAAGGTTAGACTATGTTCACACTGCAGGTCAACTCTGATTTTTTAACCATCTGTGACACATATCAGATTTCTTCATCTAAGTGTGAACAGAGCAATTCTGATTTCTTCTAATCCGACCCAGGCCTCTTTTAAATGTGGATATAAATCTTTTTCTTTAATTATTATTTTTTACAAAACAGCTTTTTAGCAGTTATCTGCAATAATAATAAAAATAATTATTGTAGCAGTTAGAAAGTGTATGATAGATAAAAATACAGATGAATGTGAAGAAGTGACTGTTATTAAGGGAGAGAGAAGGTAGTAGGGATACGGCTCAACTTACCCCGCTCCTATGGTCAACTTACCCCATACTCAGGGTAAGTTGACCACAGGAGACCACTTTTTTTGTCATGCTATATTATCAAGATTACAGTTCTGTTTACACTCATTCTGTTGGTTTGCAGGAATGAAAAACATCATGAAATATCTGCAGATACACGAGTTAGAGACAAAACTAGGATTATCTTGATGTAGAGATCTGAAATATCTTACCCCACTCTCCCCTACCATGTTATTTCAAATCAAAAGTAATCCCCGTTTCCTGTTTTTCTAAAATCACCCCATGAGAGTCTCTGCTGCTTGACAAGGCCAGCAGGTGGCGATGAAGATCTGAGTCAAATTTGCAGATCAAACTCAGTCACTGGATTTGCATTAAAACGACTTCTGTTTGGACGAAAATGTAAGAAACACTCTTTCCCAGATCATGCTGTATAAGTCGATCTCACTTACCTTCTCTCTCTGTGTGCGTGTGTGTGACTCTGTGATTACATTATGGTAAGGAAAGACGACCTGTCCCCTATTAGTGGTCCTGCATCAGTGTCTGTTCAGGGTCTACTGGACAGCGCTCTGCAGTCACACAGAGCAGCTTTTGTCTGAGACACTTTAATGACCCAGCAGACAAATTGAAGTCACAAGTGTGCACAGTCTGTGGACAGTTCGAGGCTGGAAACTCTTCCACTCCTGTTTTATTCCACACAAATCATGATCTGAGCAGAGTCTGGGTGTTACGGGACGACATGGAGAGCCGGCTCTGTTTGCTGCTGCTGCTGCTGTGCACACTCAGTTTAGTGCTCGCCTCTGGAGAGGAGACGAAAAATGATGATGATGACATCGACCTTGTCAGCTTTCTGAGAGGTATCTACTCCGGGCTGCTGGTGAGAGACGAGCCGTTTATCATCAACAGAGACTTTGAGATAAACTCCCTCAAGGAGCTGGGGCGCTCTGCAGACCCCTCAATCACAGAACAAACCAAGGATAAACCTGTCAGCTGGGAAACAACTGCGGCTCCTGGACCTGTGGTGTTGACCAAAAACGGACAGATCAAGGGGGTCACAGTGGATAAGGCTCATATATTCTATGGGGTACGGTATGCAGACCCTCCTATAGGCGCTTACCGTTGGAAGCCCCCCAGATCTGTGAGTCCTTGGTCGGGGGTTTATGATGCTTCGTTTCCCAGAGCGGCGTGTATGCAGGCCTGCAGTGGACCCATCACAGAGGAGTGTCCACGGCTGGTAAGGATAAACTCCACCCTGATCTGACTAACGTGATATTACCCTTCAGGGCACAATAACTTTCTTTGCACTTTTGCTACTTTGGAATTTTAAAGGTTCTAGTACTTCATAATTATGTTTTTAAAACTTTCTTAAATATAATGGATGCATTATAAATCCCAATGATAGCTGATAAAGAATAGGGACAACCATTACCCCCAATTTCCACCGCATCCGGAACGGCTACGAAAGGGCCGTATCCGCCAGTCGTAGCTGATCGTAACCATCTAAGTTAACGTGTCAATTTCCATCGGCTTCTTTCCGTTCTGCTGCAGATCACAAGAGTTATATTTTTTCCGTTAGTCCTGGATTTCATCAACCTAACCAGGGATTTCCACTGCATCCGGAATGGCTCAGATCCGGAACAGTGGCAATTCCTACCGGTTTCATTTGTGAGATGAATTTCGTGGCTGATTACGGACAGCAGGAATCGCGAGAACTCACAGGAACCCGCGGATTCATGTGCAATCGCGCAATAATGAGTTCCGAATGTGGTGGAAATTGGGGGTAATGTGGACTTGCTAACACAGCCGATCGGCCGGTTAAAGTTTTTATCGTTATTTGCAATTTCCCAATAAAAAATCACGATCAAAAATTCTGCAGCCTTACAACTGTTCAGATAATCGAAATCATATTGATGTTTTGTGTCCATTTGCTTGATATAATACAGTATTGCCTCCATTCATTCAGGTCAGTCAGTGGTGGATCCAGGGCAGTTAAATGGGCACCTTTTATTGGCTATTGTAGTTGCAACTTCAAAATCCTCATTTTTGATTGGCTTCCCGCCTTGCCTGAGATGGGACTCAAGCGACGATCACTTTTGCGCTGAGTCACATCTGCCTGGTTTCAACTTCTTTGGTTTTAATCTGTATTGTTTATTTGAGGAAGCACTGTCCTGTCTAGTTAAGGCAAAATGCTTTTAAGAGAAACTAGGCGAGCCAAACACGTAACAGCAACACCAACTCTTGTGACACTGTGTTAGCCTGCTAGCATAAATCAGGACCACGATAAAGGATTAGCCCTGACTAGGGCTGGGCGATATGGGGAAAAGTTTATCACCATAAAGTGCTTATTGGTGTCATGTGTTTTGCAGTACAATAAGCTACAGCATCTGTGAGGTCTTCGTGTCTCTTTGACGTTTTGTCGTAAGGTCAGAATGCCTGATAGAAAGCCCGTGTTGTTCAGGTGTTTTCAAGTAAATACCGTTCAGATACATTGTGTTTTACCGTGAGTTTTCATTTGTCCTTTGCTGGCTTGTCCACCGCACCTGCGTGTGAGAAGGCCGCAGAAGTTTTCCTCCTCATGCTGCAGAGAAAAGTTCGTTAATTTCCTCTTACCTGTTTTTACCCAATATTCACCTTCACATCCCGGGTTTATTGTGCGTAAACGCCAGAAGTGAGTTTTATGATGTTTCACTGTCCAAGTTGGATGCTATCATGTGTGAATGTATTGTTTACCGTGAATATGGCTAATGCTATCTCATGCTAGTTGATGTTCATGTTATGTACGGTGTGAGCTGTACTGATTGTTGCGTTGTATCTTTATTTGCTGAACCACAATCGAATAAATCCACCACTAAACTTGACATCTGTATCCGTGTCTTTTAACAGGGGACACACACCGTACACCTTACCGCTCTAAACCCAGAGAAATCCTGGAGAACGCACTTTTCTTCTTTTTTAACGCCGACTATTGAAAAAGCATATCAACCATGTTTGTATCGAGGGAAATTAATTTTCGATACGTATCGTTATCGTTTTATCGCCCAGCACTAACCCTGACAAAATAGTACTTAAAGGACAAAACAAAATACGTTGGTTTTTCAGCTGGATAAATGAAATTTGTCTTCCGCGTCTCTGTAAAGGTGAGCGAGGACTGTCTCTACCTGAACATCTTCGTCCCTCTGGACGTGGACTTCAGCGCCCCCCTGAGGAGCTCGCTGCCCGTCATGGTGTGGATCCACGGCGGGGACTTCATCGCTGGCTCCGCCTCCAAGCCTCTCTATGATGGACGCTTCATCAGTAACTTCACACACACTGTTGTTGTAAGCCTGGAGTACCGACTCGGTGAGGAAGTTTTATTTTCAGTGTAAAATTCACCTAAAATAAAAATCTTTCAGTGCTTTTATTATTACTTTTCCCTTTAAAGTCTTTATTATTTTTTCCATCAAAAATAAAGCTGAACTTAAACACTGGAGTTAATTTGCTGAGGGAAACAAGCAGGCGTCTGAAGGAGGACATTTATCACTTAGATGAAATAATAGTGTTTTCTGGAGGGGAGATACATTTGTGTTTGTGTGTGTGTGTGTCTGAAGCTAGATAACATGGTGTGTGACATTATTTTAAATGACTGAGCCTGTTGGTAATTACTCTGCTCTCCTGAAAGACTGGAAACAGGAGCGCAGAGGAAATGAATTTCTTGCTGGAGTCAATTATGTCCTGCTGATCATGTGAATTCGTGTGTGGTTTAAGGTGCCTTTGGGTTCCTTGTTTCTGGTAAAGACGCTCACACTTCAGCTGTAGGGAATTATGGGGTCTTGGACCAACAGGCGGCTCTTCTCTGGGTCCAGCAGAACATTGCAGTGTTTGGAGGGGATCCGAGCAAGGTGAGGAAACGCACAATTACCTCGAGATTTATCTTTTAAAAAGAGCCAAACCTTACACCGCTATTAAAACTCAATTAAAGGGATATTCCGGTGTAAAATTAAGTTAGAGTCAAACACAGGGTAACACTGAGTAAGACACCCCCATTGAGAGATGAATGTTGCCGACCGCTTGCTTAGCAAAGACCACAGAGCCACGTGCTCAACCAAAACGCCACTCTATAGCCACAAATAATGCTCAGAACAGCACCTAACTTCATCAACAGGACATATAGGGTCACAGACATAGTACTAGACACCAAACATCTTTTTAACTTTGACTCATTTCTTTAGCAAAGAGACTAAACACAACTCACCTACTCTCTTCCAGCAGCCGCTTGTTTGTAGCGAGACCTCAGGCCAGTCCATTACGGACTATAGCGGGGTGTCGCAGCTCAAGGAAGAACATTTATGATCATTTCTTTATCATTTCCTTGAAGTAATAATCACTATATTGATCATTTCGCTCTGCAGACGCTGTAGTTCTTCTGCCTTAGCGTCTCGGTCTGATTGTATTTCAATGAAGAAATAATCATAAATGTTCTTCCTTGAGCTGCGGCACCCCGCTTTAGTCAGTAATGGACTGGGCAGAGGTCTCGCTACAAACAAGCAGCTGCTGGAAGAGAGTAGGTGAGTTGTGTTTAGTCTCTTTGCTAAAATTAGTCAAAGTTAAAAAGATGTTTGGTGTCTAGTACTATGGCTGTGACCCTATATGTCCTGTTGATGAAGTTAGGTGCTGTTCTGAGCATTATTTGTGGCTATAGAATTGCGTTTTGGTTGAGCGCATGGCTCTCTGTATTGCTATCCTGCGGTCATTAAAGTTGGTATAACTAGAGAAGCAAGCGGTCGGCAACATTCATCTCTCGATGGGGTGTCTATCTCGGTGTTACAGTGTTTGACCCGAACTTAATTTTACACCGGAATATCCCTTTAATGCGTTAAATGTCTGATGGTACTGCACTTAGAGAATCACTTATATAGAGAATCTTTTCCAGAACAAGAAGTAAGACTGTGCTTGATTACCACTCAGATATACAGAGCAAAGAAATGGGCATAGAAACCACTGCTTCACTCCCATCAGTGAAGCAGTGGTGGCCGCCGGTGATGCATGACGAGTCTGAGTCTAATGTGCACAAAACTGGTGCATCTCGCAGTGACTTACTCAATACAAAAACACATGATGTAACAAGTTTGTTTGTTCAGGGCTACTGTAGAAACATGGCGGTGGAAGATGGAGACCCTTGTGGAAGGAGACGGGCTCCTTTATTTGTGTAGAAGACTTAATAATTAACATAAAGCATCTACAACAGACTCAGGAATAATGAAAGAAAGTATCCTGGAGGAATACAACGACAAATCCAAGGGGGCGTCCCAGATCTTGGTCCAATCCAGCGTCTGTGAAATGGATATTTAGACTTTTAATATCAGCCACAGTGGAAAAATGAAGCTTCTTCTTCTTGTTAAAGCGACAGCTGTTTAATTTTTTTACCTTTTTTTTAATTTTTTTGTCAGGTGACCATATTTGGAGAGAGTGCAGGTGCTCAGTCGGTGAGTCTCCACCTGATGATCCAGAGCAGCAAACCTCTGTTTAAACAGGCGGTGCTGCAGAGTCTGCCCTTCTCCATCCCCCTCAAAACACGGTGAGGAATCCCGACGAGCGACTGAAGTCACAAAATCTTTTCTGCTCCGCGGGCTTTCAAAGATATTCACTCCCTGTTTTTTTTAGTTTCTGAGAATCGGAGCGAAGCGTTCTCACTCTGCTGTTTTCAAATCTCCTGAGACCGTCTCCCGCATGCTTACAGTTACAGACAACCTCCATCTGAACTGTTATTCTGCTTCATCCGCCTCTATCCCCAGACACGATGCCCTGAAGCTGGGAAAGGACTTCGCCAAACAGACCAACTGCTCCGTGAGCGACGTCGTCTGCCTGCTGTCTCTCTCTCCACAGGCCGTCCTGGCCGCCCAGATGAAAACAAGTAGGGCGCCGCAAACACCAGCCCACACTCACCAAATTTAGAGCAGCGCTCAGGGCTGCCCACGCAGTTACATAAGAAGACAGATATAGTAGGTTTATCTGAAAAAGATGATGAAAACATTATTTTTATCCTGAGCTGTGACATTTTGGAAAACAAAATCATGAAAACCTGAAAAATGGTCCTGAAGGGGTAATTAGAGGAGCTTATTGCCTCACAGCACAAAATGACAGTAATATATCAGCAGGGTGGCAGTGTTATTGACTGACTCATGATTACACCATCAGCTGCAGCTCTGTCTGAATTCACCCCAAAAAACAAAAGATACTCCAGACACAAAGATCACCACCTGACGCTCAAAGAGATCTGAAAATAATCCTCTGAATCACGTTTATTCTTCCTGTTTAATTTAGTTTCCCGCTCTCTGCTGTGGTGTGATTTTGACCTCAGGTTCCAAGATTGTGAATCCGTTCAGGTTCCTGGAGGTTTTTGAGACGTGGGGTCCGCACATCGACGGGGAGCTTATAAAAGAGCAAGCCGTCACTGCTTTCCTGAAGGGTCACTGGCAGAAAGAGAAGCAAGTGCTGCTGGGTAAGGAAATAAAGTGAACTTGTTCCTCTTGTTTTATTTATGAAAGGACACGTATGTACATGAAATCATGACGCTGTTTAAAATACGCACAAAAAGAAAATTGAGGTTTTTAATTATGTTGCCATTAACTGATTTAATACATATATATTCTCTAACTGATGATAAACCTGAAGTAGCCTCAAATTGAATTAAAAGCCCTTCAAAGTAAAAGCACAGGAAATAAAGCAAGTTAAAACATCAAACACAAGCGTGGCAAACATTTGTTTTAGTTTCAGTTACACAGACAGGGATTTAGATAGATTATGAATTAAATCCACATAATTAATTGTGTTTATTAGTAACAGATGCAGAGCACCGTAAACATTAGTGTCTGGCCTGAGAGATTATTATTTTTACAGTGACGTTTTAAAAAACTAATCCTCTTAATAAAGCCGCAGTCATGATGCAAACATCAGCCTTTGGTTCCACCAGAAAAGTTTGGTCCTGGACCGTATTTGATTACCAACTTCTGGTCTTAAAGGGATATTCTGGCGTAAAATTAATTTAGGGTCAAATACACCGAGTTAGACACCCCCCTCCAGAGATGAATGTTGCAGACCGCTTGCTTCTCTAGTTATACCAACTTTAGTAACGACAGCAGGATAGCAATACACAGCGGTCTGAGGAGCCATAAACAAACCTCAACCAAAACGCCACAAATAATGCTCAGAACAGCACCTAACTTCATCAACAGGACAGATAGGGTCCCAGCCATAGTACTAGACACCAAACATCTTTTTAACTTTGACTAATTTTAGCAAAGAGACTAAACACAACTCACAGACTCTCTTCCAGCAGCCGCTTGTTTGTGGGGGAGCCCTAATGAGTCGCAGCGGAGTTTGGCAGCTCAAGGAAGAACATTTATGATAATTTCTTCATGGAAATACAATCAGACCGAGACGCTAAGGCAGAAGAACTACCACGTCTGCAGAGAAAAAAATTAATATCACAAGGAAATTTAAGAAAATGATAAAGAAATGATCATAAATGTTCTTCCTTGAGCTGCCAAACTCCGCTACACCCGGTGATCGACTCGTCTGAGCTCTGCCTACAAACAAGTGGCTGCTGGAAGAGAGTAGGTGAGTTGTGTTTAGTCTCTTTGTTAAAGAAATTAGTCAAAGCTAAAAAGGTGGCTAGTACTATGGCTGTGACCCTATATGTCCTGTTGATGAAGTTAGGTGCTGTTCTGAGCATTATTTGTGGCTATAGAGTGGCGTTTTGCTTGAGGTTTGTTTATGGCTCCTCAGACCGCTGTGTATTGCTATCCTGCGATCGTTACTAAAGTTGGTTTAACGAGAGAAGTAAGCAGTCGGCAACATTCATCTCTCGGGGGGTGTCTAACTTGGTGTTACGGTGTGTTTGACCATAACTTAATTTTACTCCGGAATATCCCTTTAAGAATAAACACACTGACAGTGGACTCAGGCCTGTCATCTGTCAGAGCTGGTTTAAAGACACAGATATGAGAATCAAAACCACTGATGAGGATCAAACAGAAGGAGGGACCACAGGGATAAAATGAATCAGGATTTAAGAATCTGTACCAAAGAATTCCCCTCCTGACTGTATTTTCTCTCTTGTATGATCATAAAAAGACATCTGTTTGACTTCCTCTGTCCATTAAAACCCTCCTCTTGAATCAGACTTGATGTATACTCACTCTCCTGCAGTAAATTGATGCAACACTCCGGATAAATATCAGCTTCTGACACAGCAGTGTTTTAGACTGTGTTATTTCTCCTTTAAGGGAAACAAAGTTTCACTCTGCAGTTTATAATTCCTACTTTGCGAAGCCTGCCAAAATGCGACAAACCGTTGAGTCTCCTAACCTCTCCTCCAAAAGAAATACGATCATTAACAAGCGTTCGACCCGAGTTTCTGCAGGAAAGCAGATCCAGCCTGTTGGTGCGAAATTCCCAAGATCATAAAAAAGCTAAAGGCAAAGGTACAAACTCTGAGTAATAGGCCTTTCTGGGAACCCGAGCAGCCTAATGAATCCAGGTGAAAGCTGGAGCCTAATTACTTTTTCAGTGTAAAAGTGCCTGCAGTCACAACAAGAAGTAAACATACTGAAGAGGAATTAAAGACAATGAGACTAAAGGTTGTGCAAATGTGTAACAAAGAGGCTGCAGGCAAAGTCTGGTGAGTACAGACCGAGTACGGCTTTGTTTGTGTCTGCAGGTACCACCTCAGAGGAGGGGGTGATCTTCGTGTACGGAGTCTTTAACAAGCCGGTGTCTGCTATAGAGAGCACGGTCTACATCACAGCCATCTTTAAACAGCACGCTCTGAGGATCCTGCACAAATACCTGCCGCTGTACAGAGACGCCGACCGCAGGGGCATGCTCGCCCAGGTAAGAGGAGCTCCACTTTATCGTCCTCAGATCTGTTATGCGGAGACATAAATCCAAAAGCACGAGTCGAGACCAGTCCTCTAAGATCAGACCCGCCTCTGTCCTATCTTCAACGATACGAGTAAAAGAAGAACTTCCTTTAACAGGCAGAAACCTTGTGCAGAACCAGACTCATGTTAAACCCCCTAATAACTTTTAAAAACTGAGCTGTGCAGAAAAAAGAGGACTTGAGCACAAACCAGTCTGACAGTAACTACATGTCAACATCACAACCAGGGGGGAGAAACATTTATATTCTATGTAATAAGTTTCTAAAGTTTGTCCACAGCCCCATAGGGATTGCTGGAGGAGGCGGGATTTATGACCTATACTGCAGCCCGTCAACAGAGGGTGCTGTTCTCTGAGTGGCTTCACCCAGCGAGGAGGCAGACTCTGTCCATTCTAGATACAGTCTGTGGTTTATACCCTCCGATTTCAATTGAGGCGCACTCCACAGCTGCGAGTGTAACTTCCTTACGAGTGACACTCGGTAGTGAAGGCCGAGTGTGTAGGGGGCGGTCTGGGATTGGGCTGAAAAGTTCGGACATGCCTGGTTTAGAGAGGAGATGGACAGAGAAGAGACTGATGCACGGAGTTGGGAAGCAGGTCCATGCCAGCGAAACATCTACAGCAGCGATCCAGAGGAACCTACGGCATGATGGAGCTCAGATAAGACTTTATAAGCTGGACATGATGATTCAGAGTTAATGACTCTGACAGATGAAGGATGAAGCAGGAGGGGAAAAGGGGAAATCTTCCCTGTGAACTTTTCCTACAAACTTTCTTCGCTGTGAGCGTCTAATTTTACATGCACGCAGCAGAACGTGGAGGAAAAGTCAAAGGCAGGAACTGCAAAGAAAGAGACGATAGAAGTATTTTAAGAGGCCAAAGGCTAATTATGAGAAGTCACTGGAGTGCATGCATTTCCTCTGCTGTAGAAACTCTTAATTAGAGCTTTAAAGATGAAAACTTCTGAGGGAAATCGTCTTTTTTTCTCTCAAAGTTGGAGTTTGTGAAGTGAGCTGCTTTTGATCAGAAAATTGTCCATAATTAATATTTTCATGTCTGATGCGGCTTTGTCGTCTCATCAGTGTCTCTCTGGTGGCTGTCAGGAAACTGTCAGTCCTTCTCAGCCGTTATATTTAGACGCTGACCTCAGATTCGTGTTTAAATGAGTGTGAAAATGGAGTGAAACGAGGCTGCATCTGCACTCCTACCTGCATTTTACAGGCTTTGTTCTCTTCCCTGTTGTTCTCACGCTCTGACCAAAAGAGGACACACACACACACACATACACACACATACACACAGCCTCCTACACCCAAACACACGCACACACATATGCATCAATAACCACCCATGCAGCAGCTTAGAGAGGCGGGCAGTCATGCATAGATCGATGTCCCACCCAGTCAGAGCTCAGCGTGAAGCGAGGACTCAGCTGTCTCTGAGCTCCCTCCAGCTTCTCCACATCCCACTGAAAGCGACCGCGCTGCTCTGCAGAAACAGGGAGGGAAAAAAAAAACAGCCAATCAGGGCGGTCAAGGACGCTGGTTATCCAAACTATCACCAACATTCAGCAGACTATAAAGAAGTTCAAGTTGCTCTTTCCTTTTTCCTCTCAGCTTCAGTCGTTCGCCTACAGAGGGAGCTCAAACTCCAGTTTTTCCCTGGAGTTTGACTCTGCACAGTTTTTCAGCTCCACTCCATCATTTATATTTGAGGAGCATGCTGGACTCAGAGAGCTTGAAATGCAGGTTTTGCAAGAGTAAGTCAGAGAAGGACGACAGGCTGCTAATGTGCTGGTGGAGTTTCTCACTGGCCTTCTGTTTTCAGCTGCGTTTCCTCAGAAGGGAGCGTCTTAGCGAGCCACAGAGTTTTGTTTTCAACAATTGGAGGAGAGGTTGTATTTTTTGGCTTTAGCGAGAAAAAAACTCCAAAGATGAGGACATTTGTCAGAAAGTTTGAGCTCCAATTCAGTTTTTAAGGCCCCCTATGTAGAACTTTGTGTTTTTGAAGATTTTGGTTCCTCCTGTTGGTAAAGTGGTGTCTCTGGTTTCTTTCTGAACTTGTCCTGTAGGCGTGGAGGTTCTCCTTCCTGCCCTGGTGGTTTGTACCAGCGAAGAGAGCAGGGAGAGAGAGACAGGTGTGTAAAGTCGTGAGTGTCTGAAATATAAAGGGACAGAACGAGCACAACAAGAGAGAGACAGTGAGGATCACAAATGTCAGTCAGGTCGAGGGCCGGGCGAAACTCCAAGAATCTCAGAGTGATGTCTAAATAGTTCATGCTTTTATATAGGGCTGGGCGATACGGCCTCAAATCAATATCACGATATATTGATCAGTTCACCTCGATAACGATAAATGGACGATAACTACTCCACTCCACTACTCCTATCTCCTCGCCTGTCTTTCCCTCTTTGTTACAGACTGGATGGGGCGGAGTCACGTCTCTGACGTAGAACAACATCTTAAAGGGACATGAGACCATAGCCTACCTACACACATCCAAAACAAACTTTTATTTATTTATTTATTTGACAAAGAATATACCAAAATGAGCAAAATTACGTTGGTTATCGTCGTAAATTTCGGTATCAGTAAATCTTCGTTTTATCGCCCAGCCCTACTTTTATATCTCCCATTATTGACTGTTTTAACACTCTTCTCTGTGGTCTCCTAGAAAACAACATCTCCACCTTCTGCTGCTGCAAACCTCAGCTGCAAGAGACCAGGAAGAGAGTCCACATTACACCTGTTTTTAAAGTCCCTGCATTGATTTGCAGTATCTGTGAAGTTGATTTTATCAGTTTTTAAAGCTCTTATTGATCCATATGAGTCTGTGAGAACCTTCAGTCTGTTTAAACACATACACAATTTTGAAATTACACAGCCATAGACAGATCCACTTTCAACAAGAGTTATTATTATTTGCGTGCAGTGAGTTATGTAGGCTATGGTCTCATGTCCCTTTAAGACGCTGTCCTACGTCAGAGACGTGACTCCACCCCATCCAGTCCGTAACAAAGAGGGAAAGACAGGTGAGGAGATGGAGGATGGTTCAGAAGTTGTAGCGGCTGAAGTAGACGAAGTTAATGTGGGAGGGGGTGAGCAGCTTGTGGAGTAGTTATCGTCCATTTATTGTTATCGAGGTGAACTGATCAATAAATTGTGATATTGATCTGAGGTCATATCGCCCAGCCCTAGCTGAGGCCTCTCTTTCTTTTATATGCATACATGAAGCTCAAAGGCAAAGACACCCGGGTCCAGATCAGCTGATGCTCTAAAAGCTGAGTGTGACCTTTAACACCGCGCTCACTCACATAGTTCATATTTTAATACTTCGTCATCGTTCAGCTCAGATCTGGTAACCTGCTGTTTTTAATCCGCCGTGTTTAAACTTTATAGCAGAGATTTAACTTTGGAGGTAAAATAGTTCATGATGCTGCAGAAAAAAAAGGGATATATATATAAAAAAAAAAAACTGCTGCAGGTTTTTCTTCTCTCAGGATTGTTGATGCAGACTGTGAGGTGGCGGCCTCGGGGAGCAGCGGGGGGTCAGGAGGTGACACTCCTGGACATATTTAGTATTCAGTCACAGTTCATGGAGCAGCAGGGAGACAGCAGAGTCACAACTATAGCGCGACCCTTAACACACACGCACACACACAGACACACACTCTCAAAAACACACCTCCTGCATCTCTCCATAAAGGACATTTCTCCAGAGGACTGAGGGGGTCGGCACGAATGTCAAACAGTCTGTCAGAGAAGACGCTGATGCGAAGAGCTCAGAGTCCAGCTTCTTATAACATTTACTCGTCTACTTGAACGGATCAGAAATAGAATAAAATAATTAAAACTCAGGGCAGAATAACGACACAGCTGAGAGAGAGGTAATAAATAAGATAATTCAAGAATTTAAGAAGACTGGTGAAAGAGACACTGCATATTCCATAGTAAACAAATAAAGGATGTGTAATATTAAAATTGTGTATGTGTTTAATCAGACTGAAGGTTCTAACAGACTCATATGGATCAATAAGAGCTTTAAAAAATGATAAAATAACCTTAAAATCAACTTCACAGATACTGCAAATCAATGCAGGGACTTTAAAAACGGGTGTAATGTGGACTCTCTTCCTGGTCTCTTGCAGCTGAGGTTTGCAGCAGCAGAAGGTGGAGATGTTGTTTTCCAGGAGACCACAGAGAAGAGTGTTAAAACAGTCAATAATGGGAGATATAAAAGTAGGGCTGGGCGATAAATGAAGATTTATTGATACTGAAATTTACAACGATAACCAACGTCATTTTGCTCATGTCGGTATATTCTTTGTCAAATAAATAAATAAATAAAAGTTGTTTTTGGATGTGTGTAGGTAGGCTATGGTCTCATGTTCCTTCAAGACGTTGTCCTACGTCAGAGACGTGACTCCACCCCATCCAGTCAGTAACAAAGAGGGAAAGACAGATGAGGAGATGGAGGACGGTTCAAAAGTTGTAGCGGCTGAAGTAGACGAAGTTAATATTGGAGGGGGTGAGCAGCTTGTGGAGTAGTTATCGTCCATTTATCTTTATCAAGGTGAACTGATCAATATATTCTGATATTGATTTATGGCCATATCGCCCTGCCCTATATAAAAGTATGAACTATTCAGACATCACTCTGAGATTCTTGTTCTGTCCTGTACGGCTCTTGACAAATAAACTGAAGAGGAAATGAAGTGAAGAAAACTGGTTTAAATCTGAAGGGATGAGAGAGAGAGAGGAGGAAAAGTTTGACCATGACGACCATGGTTCGTTTTTGACATGAAACAGATGAATATGTGTGTGAGAAGATCGATAGAAGTGGGTGTGTGTGTGTTTGTACGTTTGTCTATTACCTGCCCACAGCCGGCCTGTTTGTGTTCAGGTGTCAGATGTGCAGCTGTGTGGGCGCGGGTTAGGCGCCGCTGAAAAAGACACACTGGTTTCCAGGTAACGGGCAGAAGAAGCTCGTTTTTCTCTTGGCTTCCTTTGAGCCGGGAGGAAACGGGAGTTTGAAGCAGCTCTGCCCCGGCCCGTCTCTTTGGAGAGATCAGACTAATTAGGTTTATTCATTTTCTTCAAAAACACTGAAGAGCTTTATCCTTCAACAAGCTGCACAGTTCGCCAAAAATGTCAGTTTACCATTTATGCAAGAACGACGTTTCTGCAGAAGTAAAATGAGATTAGCTCATATTAACTGACTGTTAAAAAAGAGGTGGCGTTTCAGACGGCGACAGGAAATGTCGTAGTAAACGTCATGATTGAGAGACACAAACGGACAAAAAGTTAAAAACAAAACTTAAAACTGTTTAAAAGGTACAAAAGATGAAGAAGAAGATGATGAATTGTGGGACTTTTGTCTCCTTTGTGTCCGTGACGTAAAAGACAGAGGAGAAAAAAAATAAAAACATCCTCTGTGAGACCACGTCAGCTGTTTGTGTGCGGTGAGTCACAGCTGTTTATGAAGGGCACAGAAAGCAAGAACTGACAACACGGGCGTACGAGGTCTGAATTACCTCCTGTCTGACACTATCTGCTCCGTTCGGATCAGGACACTTTGATTATTTTGGCAAATTCATGTTCTGAGACACAAAATATCATTACAGTAATTGTAGCATCCAAACAGCTGACATTGAGCTCTAGTGTTATGGTGCGACATGAACAGTCAGGAGACGGTCAAAGTAAGAAGAATCCACCTCACGAGTGAAAGAATGTAACAGGTTGATTTTTGTTTTAGTTTAGGGATCATCCTCTGAGGTAAAAAAAAATCGCCTCTAAAACGTAAAATATTCTAAAAGCTATATTTAAACCAACCAAGGCTGGAGCCTGCCTCAAGTGGACATTTAAAGAACTGCATCTCCACTTTATAACACTAGAGGTTGAAGGTGGTGTAGTCAGGATCTGAGGAGGTGCCAGTTTTTAGGAGAAATCTTGAATGTAAACTCTACCCCTCCTAACCAGTTTCCCCCTCAGCTCCTCCTCTCTGCTCAACAAGCCCCGCCCACAAACAGACGCTCCTGCTCGCTTGTATCGTTCCAATTAAATTCAGATATAATGCAGATAAATACTTCAGATCATTACAAATGGGGCCCAGTCAAGGTGAAAGTCAAAAGCATTGGTGCTACTGTAGATGCCAACAGACTACCAGCAAACACAATGTTTGCAGGACTTCTACAACTAGGATAAAGTGACATAGTCCAGGACCCGAGGGAGGACAGTTTAGCGATGGCGCTACAACACGCTACAGCAGGTCCGTTTGACAAGAAACACTTCTGTTACAGACACTTGTCTTACTTTGTTAAAGCGGTTTACCTGTCCAGCAGAAAGGTTACAGGGTCACCAAGATCCCCAAGCGTCCCCCATCGTTTATGTTGACCCGGCTTCTTAGCTCTTGTCCGGTCTACCTCCGTTTTAAATCGTCAATAGCTAAAAGCTCCTGACTGATATTAGAAGATTTTTTATAAATACACCACAAAAAAAGATGCTTCTTTAACTGCTTTTTTAATTCCATGCAGTAACATCTGCGTCTTTTTCTCCTCAGATCGTCACGGACTACGTCTTCCTGTGTCCGTCCAGGAGATCGGCGCGCGCAGGTACGGCAGCAGGCAGCCAGGTGTGGACGTACGTGTTCGACCACGTAGCGTCAGATCACCGCGTGTGGTCAGGTCTGACTTTCTGCTACCAGCACGTCTGTCACGGAGCAGAGCTGCCTTTTCTCTTCAACTCCGCTCCGGTCGCCAACTTCACCATGTCTCCTCCTGAGAGGCTGCTGTCCAATCGGATGCTGTGTTACTGGGGCGCCTTTGCACATACGGGGGATCCCTCATCTCGGGCGCAGCAGACGACTTTCTGCCGGGAGCAGCGTCTTCCCGTTTGGCCACGTTACTCTGACACCAGCGGGTGGCTGATGCTGAACTTCACGGTCCGTTCACACGCACAAGTGGGAACCAGGAACCACGTGTGTGACTTCTGGGACAAGCTGGGAATTTACTAGATCAGGGGGAGGAGGATGGGGAGTGTTTGGTAGCGAATGCATTAAAGTATGATATGTGAGTTTTCTATTTAGCCATCGAATTTCCACCTGTAAAAGCAGAGTGTATCTCTGAAAAGAGGTGTATATAATGTCGACTTTTTGCGATCGAAACACTTTGTGATAATTCCAATAAAAGATCAGGTATTCAGTTAGCTGAGTTTCCTCTTTTTCTGGTCTTTTCCGGTAACTTTTAAGGTTTAAAGGGGACCTGCCATAAAAATTTAATTTTTGTTTTTTTTTGTGTCAGATAAGGTCCATATTATGTTCGTCTTATGTTGTAAATGTGAAAACAAACCATTACGTCGTTTGCATTCTGTAAAGGTTTAAAATAAAGGAACGAGTAAACCAGGCCAATTGAAAAAGCCCGTCGGTGTTATGTTGCGCCGACCTTGTTCATTATTATTCACGAGCGCGTCCTCGGTGAGCCGTGCCCACTCTCTCGTTCTCGTACTCAGTCACAGCCAGAGCGAGACCCAGCTACCGCTGTATCCGCTATGGGTCTCTTCCAAATGACCGGTGTTTCCTTCGGTTCACTGCCGGGAAAATGAACTTAAAGCCGGGCAGAATGAATGAGAAAACACCGCTGGAGATCTCCGGCTTCTTCTTCAACTTCCACCTCCTCTTCGGACTCGGGGTCTAAAATATATGGTCTAATACCTGCCGTTTTTAGTCTTTAGCATAAGGTGACCAGACGTCCCCGATTTCCGGGGACAGTCCCCGTATTGGATGACCTGTCCCCGGCAAAAGCTGTCCCCGAAAATGTCCCCGATTTAAGCGTTTCATGAATGAGAGCAAAAATGTTGCGTGTGGGCTCGAACAACGGTTATTACAGTAGCCGAATTTAGTTAGCAGTCCTGAACAACAGTTCTTACGGGGGTTATTACAAGGGGCATGCGCTGCTACTAAATAGTACCGAGACTTTGTCTGTGATCACACAGCCCCTGCAGCCCCTGCACCGCTGCTGCCGCCGCATCAAATATCCCCGGATATCATTACAGACATCTGGGCACCTTACTTTAGCACACACTAGCATATGCTATTAGCATTAGCATAATAACGATGGATAAACCGAAATCCGAACCTCCACTGCTGAGCCAATCAGAGCACAGCAGGCTTCACAGCAGCGATCAAATCAGAGCAAAGCTCATTACCATAAATGTTAATGAGCCAAAACCAGTTGGTTTTCCTGTAAGGTTTTTTAGGCATACTAAAACAAACCATCAAATAACTTTTCAGCTAAAATTATGTTGCAAACATGATCAGAGGACATCAAGGATTATGAAAAAATGATAAAAATGGGGATGAAATTTTGGTGGCAGGTCCCCTTTAAGTTCATAGTTTTTCCCCGGTTTATCAGATCTACTTGAATGACATTATTCTGTTATCAGTCTGGTGGTGATTTGTTGGAGTTGCTTCCTATGACCTGAAGAGGCCGGATCATTGTCTTTGAGGAAGCCTGAGCTGAAGTGATTTCCTGTTGACACGGTTTGATTTTCAAGACAAAATAATTACAGGCTGAACTAGAAAAGCACTCGGAGAGCGCAGACCTCCGCCAAGCAGCTCATGTCCCCCCCTTATACTGAGATTAACAGCAAAACTTTTACTGTTACGTGTCTTTTATGAACTTTGATTTGTGTTTAAACTGGTATGTTCACTGTTCATAATGTTCCTAAAACAAGAAATGCCCTGACCGGGACTCAAACCCAGGACCTTCAGGCTGTGAGGCGAACCACTACACCACTGTGCCCCCCATCTACACCACTGTGCCACCCATTGGTTATCTTTCGGCATTGAAAATTCCAACGACACCCTTATTTTTGTGTGTTCTGGATCACAGTATCCAGAATTTTGTCCGGATCACCACCAAAATGTAATGGGATCCTCCTGGGGCTGAGACGCACCTCTGGTGAAAATTTCAGGTCAATCCGTCTGTAACTTTCTCCGTAAAGTTGATAACAGACAAACCAACAAACAAACAAACGCTACCGAAAACATAACCTCCTTGGCGGAGTTAATAATGTGTGCACACTGAGTAGGAGGATTACGGCTTGAATTAGATCAAATTGGCCGAGGTAACATTTAAAAAACAGATCAACCACACCGAGCGAAGAGATCCTGCCGCTCATCTGTGTCTGTTTACATCCAGATAGTAGAGCATCCATATCAGCGCCTCCTGATAGCTGCATCTTTATGTCACGTATGACTGACGTTTCAGGCCCTTAATGAAAAAGTATTCATGAAATTAGGAGGTGACGGCTGGAGCAAAGTTCAACAAAGTAGGAAAGGGAGTTAAGATGCAATTTAAAGAAAAAAGTGATGTGACAGAGACGTCAAACAACTCTCAAACAGCCGAATGTCCAAAGATCGCCTTAAATTGCGCCGTTCCTGCAAAATTGAGTAAGAGATCTAAGGGAAGCCTGACATTTGAATCATTTGAATACAAACTTATGAGCCACAAAAGGTGAATAAAAGGTGATCGGACTACATTTAAGCAGAGAAGGGAAGATTATCTTATTGTCCAAATTCGCCATCATCAGATTTTTTTAGTCTGTGCAGGATTCATGTCGATTCTGGATGTTTTTCTGAGACACTTCAGCCTCTGAGACCATCTGTCACCATCTATTAAAGATAGTAAACACTCGAAATGAGAATATTTGCGTTAAAACTGGAACTTGTTGACTGTTTAACAACTCGCAGCTGTTTTGGCGGCATTAAAGAGATCATTAAGACGAGATTTGGCAGTCAAAGAGGCGTCCTCTTTCAAAATTGTCAAATATTTGGGTCAGTAAGGTCATTTTGGTGCCAGCGAACCAGGGTGATAATGTTGAGTAGACTAAAGACTTTACAGTGATCGAAAACAAGAGAGGAATAGAAATCATTAGAGTACTGAGGAGTCTATGGTTCTGTTTTTTAACTATAATTTTCATTTGGAGTTTAGGATCAACAGAATCGGCTGAAATCTGAAGTTTTCCCTTCATATAATCACAGATTTTCTTCTTTCACGTGTCTTCTTACTCGCTCTTTTGGAAAACGTGGGGTTAAATAACAACACTGGCGTTTTCAAAGGCTTATTCATGCTGTTACCTTCAAGCATTATAAAGAAAAAAGGACCAACTAAATAAAAATGACGCAACGCTGAATTATTCTCCCCCCAGTGGATGTTAACCCTGAAAAAGGAGGGGGGCAAATCTTTTATCCACAAATGTTCTCGGCCTTCTTTAATCAGAATTTAATATCTTCCCGTCTCTGCAGCCGCTGTGATTAAAACGGCGCATTTAGCCTCTGAATTATCCGAAGAAAGAGTCTCTGCTGATGTTTCTGTTGCATAAGCCGGAGTTAAATTGAAGTTTTTGTTTACAGCTGGCCCCTCTGGAGCACTCGAGCTGAAGAAGTGTTGTCCGTTCAGCGTAGCCATGAGGATGGAGGACCTTTCACTTTCCCCGCGTCTCATCCGTCTTCTCAAGTGTTTGTGATCATGAAGAGCCGTCCTCAGCTTCAGTTTTACTCCGTATTTGTTTCAAAAGATGTCTCTGTCTGAGTCACCGGGCGGCTTTGTTTACCCGGGCTCTTCTGTCAATAAAGTTTGCCGCGCTGTCGGTGCCAACTGTTCCTTTATTTCCTTATATACAAAGAAACCTCATCATTTCCTGTGTGGGAGAGGATTTTTCCAACCGAGTGCAAATATAAACACGAGCACTCCGAGTTTGTTTTACCATCTGAGAGCTAAACAGATGCTCCTGACATCTGTGGATGCTAATAGTAGTGTGCTGGTCCAACACTTTGGCCCTGACTGAAATATCTCAACAACTATCGAATATATTACTGAGAAATTTGCAGAAGACGTGGATCTTCGCCAGACTCCAATCCCTTGATATTCACTGTAGCGTCAGAAGGTTAACATTTCTGCTTGAGAGTGAATAATCGTTGGAAACATTTCCAGGAGATCTGCAGGAAAGTTTCAACAAGCTTTGCAAACCTCTAGATTTTCATGCAGCATCATCATCATCTCACTTTTAGAGGTATCTCTGTTACAGAAAGAAGCATTTTGGCATTATCATATTCAGAATATCACCGTGTTAACTTTGTCTTTGTGTCAGACTCACAGAGCTGGTAACACAACTGTAAACACGACCACAGCAGCTCAGGTTCTTCAGCATCAACTCCAAGAGTCACACATCAGTAAATGAGACTGCGGCGTGTACATCACGCCACCTTCGCCGCGATTGATTATAATAATAATAATGCATCAGATTTCATATTGCGCTCTATCAGAGACCCTCAAAGCGCTTTACATTGGATACATCATTCATTCGCTCACACAGTCACACTTTGGTGGTGGTAAACTACCTTAGTAGTCACAGCTGCCCTGGGGCAGACTGACGGAAATGTGGCTGCCATTCTGCGCCTACGGCCTCTCCGACCACCACCACACAACACTCGCAATCATACACCAGTGGAGGACACACACTGGGAGCAAGGTGGGTTAAGTGTCTTGCCCAAGGACACAACGGACAGACTTGGATTAGGGGGGGATTCGAACCGCCAACCTTCCGGTTATTGGACGACCGCTCTACCTCCTGAGCTACTGCCGCCCCGATTGGCTGTTAAACATTATCACACGCTCATTATTGCAATTCTGAATCGCCTAACCCTAACTCGACGTTTCACAGCCATAAGGAATAACCAATCAGAGCCCAGCACTTCTAGCCAACCAGAGGCGAAGGAGGGCGGGACCTTCTCCTACCATTCTACAAAAAACAATCCTGCTCGCGGCTCATTAGCTGCTATTCACGGTTAAGCTAGCAGTTCGTTATTATTTTTTAAAACCATATAGCAATGCACACCATAAACATTTCTTACAATAAGCGCTATATGTGATGAACTGTCACAGTTTTTACTCTTCTTATACACTATTAAACACACATACTGATGACAATGTGACTGGAGACCAACTTACCCCCAGCTGAGATGACACAGACGGACTGCACTGAACCATGTTGGGCGCCGCGTTAACAACGGCGCTGACTTCTGCTGGGATTTTCAAAATAAAACAATTCCACAAAGAAAAACAATGAAAAAGCATCCCAAATTTACCAGGAATTTAACAAACGTATTTACACTGTTACACAGCCCTGGAGTGGTCCCGTTATGATGCCAAATCTCCAATTAATGAGGAGAATCTGACGAGCACTTTTCATTACATGGCTAATGACTGATAAAGCAACAACAAAGACGATGGATCGTGAAAGTCCAGATTTATGTTGTGTCTCTGGTTTCTGCTCCGTCTGTACCTGGAGGTCATTAAAAACAGGGGAGTTGTGTGCCTTTCTTTTGCAGGTGTTTAATAATCAGCTTTATCGACTTTCAGGAACAAAAAGAGACCATGTAATGTCTGATCAGTGTAGGCTCCGTCTTCATCAACACACAAGTCAAAGTCTGATTTCAGCCTCAGTCCTGTTCTGATTTAGAGGAAACATAAAACCTTCCCTGTGCTGAACTTTTAGACTTGCGTCATTAAATGAAAAAAAACAATCACTTCCATAAACACAGCTGAAGTTATTTTGTTTCATCTTGGGGCCAAAGCAGACGCTCTGCAGAACTTACTCGAAGGATGACTCAACAGAAAATGTGGGACCAGTTTTCTCAGCTGTCCAGAATTTTCTGGTTAAACTGGGAGCTGAACTGGCAGCGCTCCACTCACAAGCCTGTTTTTTTCTTCTTACCTCCAGGCGCTCTGCAGCTTCAGCAGATGATCTGAAGAGGCCTCTGACACCAAGGTAGGAGTGAGCTGTCCAAAAAGGAACCACTTCCACACATGCACACACACAAACACACACACAAGACTAATGTTATTGGCTGTTTACACACGCTCACTGATTGGTGGAGTCCGGTATGCAAGGCTCATGGAGGCCACCTCATTATCTCTGCAGACATTCACTTTGCTGTCATCTGATATCAAAACACAGCACGCACTGCGACAGAGCTGTCTGAGACGGACACACAGCTAATCAATTTCTGCTCCGTGGCCAATGCTGGACACTCAGGGGGGTCTTTTCTCCCCCCCTGAAATCCTGCTGCTCGTTATAGCGACGGCCGATAAGAGGGAGAATGATCGAGAGCGTGCGGAGACAGAGATGACCCTCACTGCTGCCTGGATAATTTAGGAAAGGTTATGGAATCAATGTCTGGCCATCAGTCTCTGGCTCTAAATCACGACTGCTGGCTTTGCATGGGTGCATTCCAATAAAATCTGATTATAGGCACTGCGGCTGCAATTAAAAATCAGATGACATCTCGGTGCTGTGCCCAGCTTGCTGCTCTAGCCAGCCAGGATCCTGCGGGGGGCTGTAATCGACAGCAGAAAAACGTCTTTCTCATCGGGAACAGTTGATGTCATTGTCATAACTCGAATTTGATCATTCTGGAAATACCCTGATTTTTCATGTATCGTATTTTTGAATTGCAGTACCACCAGAAATCAGAAGGGGCAGCATTGAGCAGCTAAGCCAACAGTTTAAAGGGATATTCCGGCGTAAAATTAATTTAGGGTCAAACACCGAGTTAGACACCCCCTCCAGAGATGAATGTTGCCGACCGCTTGCTTCTCTAGTTATACCAACTTTAGTAACGACCGCAGGATAGCAATACACAGCAGTCCCAGATCAACCAAAACGCCACTCTATAGCCACAAATAATGCTCAGAACAGCACCTAACTTCATCAACAGGACATATAGGGTCACAGCCATAGCACTAGCCACCAAACATCTTTTTAACTTTAATTTCTTTAGCAAAGAGACTAAACACAACTCACCTACTCTCTTCCAGCAGCCGCTTGTTTGAAGTGAGATCTCAGGTCAGTCCATTACAGTGGGGTGCCACAGCTCAAGGAAGAACATTTATGATCATTTCTTTATGGAAATACAATCAGAGCAAGACGCTAAGGCAGAGGAACGACCACGTCTGCAGTGCAAAATGATTAATATGGTGATTATTACTTCAAGGAAATGATAAAGAAATGATCATGAATGTTCTTCCTTGAGCTGCGGCACCCCGCTGTAGTCTGTAATGGACTGAAATGAGGTCTCACTACAAACAAGCGGCTGCTGGAAGAGAGTAGGTGAGTTGTGTTTAGTCTTTTTGCTAAAGAAATGAGTCAAAGTTAAAAAGATGTTTGGTGTCTAGTACTATGGCTGTGACCCTATATGTCCTGTTGATGAAGTTAGGTGCTGTTCTGAACATTATTTGTGGCTATAGAGTGGCGTTTTGGTCGAGGTTTGTTTATGGCTCCTCTGACCGCTCTGTATTTCTATCCTGCGGTCGTTACTAAAGTTGGTATAACTAGAGAATCAAGCGGTCGGCAACATTCATCTCTCGATGGGTTGTCTGACTCGGTGTTAGAGTGTGTTTGACCCTAAATTTATTTTACACCGGAATATCCCTTTAAGCGAAAAAAAAAGGTGAAACTTCATAAGAGAGGATGTAATGTTACCATCCCTAAATGCACGGACAGACAACAACAATTTAAATGTAGGAGACAGGATTCTTCAGGCGCCCCCTAGTGGACATATTTCTTAACATCCACCTCAATGTAAAGGAGTATCTATAAAACATATGCATCAGCTCATAGCGCTCTGTGAATTGATTTATTAATGAACAAAAAGAACAATAAGAGAGAACTCGGCAGACGTTGGCGCAGCTGTCATCTAATTTTTCATATCTGTGCGTGTCTGCTTCAAACCCACACAAGAATCTGTTCCCACCTGAGGGAGCTTTGCTGCTTTATTGGTAAGTCAGAGATATGAGGTCTAACCTTCCAAAAATTCACAGGGAAGGACTTTTTCTGAGCCTGGAGCAGTTTCAAGGACGCAAAACTTCATACTGCTGTGAAAAACAAATCTTTCTCAATCTTCAAACGTGTCTGTTCTTGAGCTTTTTTCTAACCTTGATTGTCGCTGCTGCTTCTCCAATTCAAAGTGTACTTGTAAGGAGTTAGGGTTGCTTGAGGTCTCTGCAAATATATTTCTGAAAGATGCAAGAAAGCAAGAAAGAAAGACTAAAAATCAACATCCTCAAAGACTCACTCTGATGAAAATCATGTTTTTCTTGTTGTCTACATGTTCATGTGTCAGGAAATATCATCAGAAAACTAAGTGTGAAATTGCATTTCTGGGTATTTCTGATTTCAAATTGCTATGAATCTCTGACAGACTGAAACGGCAGGTTCAGATAAAATGAGATTTCATACCTCACAACTCCAAGCTCCGCCCCCAGAGCCCCGCTATTCAAGAAGTAGAGTGGACAATCGCGGAACAAGCGTGCGCGTTAGCGGATTGCAATGTTCGTAAGAAAGCTAATTATGATATTAACTTTCATCACGCCCCTAAAGACATAAGTGTCCGAGAGCTGAATAGCTCCTATGTTACCACATTTGCTGCACTGTCAATGTTAGGCTACAAGCTCGCATGAAGGGGAGTGTGCAGAGTGCCGTCTCCGCCCACAACTCAGAGGCGGATTGCTAATGATCTGCTGAAGCTCTGTAGAAGAAATCAGCATCTCCTCATCCATGGTGTCATCAGGGTGAAATGACGTCTATAAACCTTTCACTTGTTCGTCTCCGCCCGTTTGCATGGTGTGAAATACGATCCTCCTGAAACACGGAGTGTTTTATTTTGAAAAGAAGCCGGATGTTTTATTTTGTGTCTGTGCTCGACTTCCTTTCCAGCACGGGTTAATCTGTGCTGAATTTATCCGCCATGCTCCGGCGTCCGGGAAAAAATAGAACTCTTGTGATCAGCTGTGGAGTCTGGCGATCCGCAGAGAAACGGAAAGAAGCCGGTGGAAATTGACACGTTAACTTGAATGGTTATGATCAGCTAAGATCGGAGGATACGGCCTTTTCGTAACCGTTCTGGATACGGTGGAAATTGGGGGTAAAAAGTTATTGGAGAGGGGGGAGGAGTCAGACCATGAGTGATAGACAGATAAAGAAACAGCAGAACTCACAGGAGGAGCATTTCGTCTGTTTTGACAACTTCTATGTGTAAATGATAAGATATATGAAGATATAAGAGGTATATCTTTGTCCACAGGGGGCGCCAAAACTACCACAAACTAAGAGTTCCTCAAAGAAGCTTTAATGGAAGATCTTATCAGTTATTTTTGGAGAGAATCTCAACCTCAGCAAAATCATCTTTTGGTAGCTAATTACCCGTCTTTTTGTGCAGTTGTTTAGTTTCAAATTTTCTTCAGTTGTAAACGTTTAAGATTTCATAATCAGGTACTATATTTACTGTAAAATTCAGACATATTCTCAGCTGGTTCCTGTTAAACATGCCCACTCTAAATCCTCACGTTAAGTGTAATAACGTTCGGATGCTGCTAAATGTTCAAACTCAGACCAAGAAAACAGCTTCACTGCTTTGTTCCCTAAATCCGTCTGGAATAAAGTCACAGCTAAATTAGTATTCAAAGACAAACTGTGCAGTTTTTGCCTCTAATGAAGCACATTTTGTTTTTCCACTCTCGGCTGCCCGAATGAAAAGCTGCACCGGCACATATGCTGAGATTTGTCTCAACACGGCGAGGGCTCAGGGGCAGATATGAGAGCTGAGATGAGATTAGGACTGCTGTTGTTTATTCCACAGCTTAAAAACAGAGCAGAGGAGCCCGTGGCGGAAACACCACATCACGTCTCCGGTTAAAGTTTAGCTGTGAATGTGCCCAAAGTGAGACTCTTTTTATATTGCGCTGAAGTGCTGCAGGTGAGAATCACCGAGGACAGCTCCTGCTTTAGGACATGATGCTAATTGTACAGCTTGATCTTTAGCTGCACAGTGTCATCTTTCACTCTGCTGCCGTGCTGCTGCAGATTTAGCAGACATCTGACAGAAGGGAACAAGCCGAACCAGGGCAAGTGCAGACTTCCCTCTCTGTGTTGCAATGATGTGAAAAATGAAGGAATCGTTTGGCATTTTGGTAAAAACGTGTATTTGCTTCACAGAATCAGTGCAATACGAGGGAAACAGCTGGTGTAGTTTCTTAATTTCATTTTTTTAAAATGACTGCAGCTTTGTTGATAATTATAGTTTTATCATATCAATGCAAAGTCAAACTCTCCCTGAGCACTTAAGAGAAAAAAAATCAGCAACAATATGGTATCCTCTGTGTCCACAGGGGGCGCCAAAGCAGGAAGCAAAATACAATGCGATTTTTTTATGCATTGCGGGGGAGCTATTGATTAATATTGGCACCATAATGTTGTAGTAGTATGTTGTAGTTGTAGTTTGACTACGAGGAGTCCTTTTGTGTGTTCGGTGATTTTAGAGTCTCTCTACTGTTTAACAGTGAAACTATTCATTTTTGTTTGCAGCGTCTCGCTCTTGTATTGTAATTTGCAGACGGTCCCTGCGCACTCGCCCGGCTACCAGCTCCGCATAGAGATCAGTCTTACTCATCCAGCTCGAAGAACGGCTTGATTTGTGATTTGTGTTTGGACATCTTACGTCTCAGAGTTGTCGACCCCAGAACTCAGAATCTGTGGATATCTTTCCAACTTCACAGAACTTTACCACTGCTGCCACATACAAGCTTTCCGGCGCACGGCACAAAAAAACAATCCAGATTTCCGGCACCGTGCCGGAGCTCTTCAAGTCCTGCCAAAGTCAACAGAAAGTCAATGATCCTCACAGGAGCTTTAAACAACAATCAACAGCAGTCTCCTCTGGGAGTCTCTGAGCTCCGTCATGCCGTAGGTTCCTCTGGGTTGCTGCTGCAGACATTTTGCTGCTGTGAACAATCAATCAATCAATCAATCAATTTTTATTTATAAAGCGCCAAATCCCAACAGTCATTATCCCAAGATGCTTTCCTAAAAAAAGAGCAGGTCTCGACCGCACTTACTGCATCAGCCTCCATCTCTCTCTTTCTTCATCCCCCTCTCCCTCCTCTCTCAGCAGCGGCAGATGACTTTCTAACACGAGTCTGGTTCTTCTCGAGGTTTCTGCCTGTTAAAGGAGAGTATCCGCACTAAAGGACGATGTTTTTGCACACTGAGTTTAAGAGGTATGACGTCAAATTTGACATTTTATAGACTTTGACAAAGCGATATGATTTCACAGATTACCTTTAGTCGTTTAACTTTTTAAAATTGATGTTTTGCAAATGCATGGACCAAACTGTAGTCATAAATTCAGCTCACATTCAGTTCATTTCGACAACTACACGACAATGGCTGTGAAACTGATGCACCAGTGGCGCTGAATATCAGACTAGGAGAAGCTTCTGCAAATTCAGGGATCCACTGAAATCCTCACGCTGAAGTTACAAGTAAGGGAACATCATCCAGAGAGCACTTTTGAATAACTCCTACATCAACACTAATCTGATTTAAGCTGCAGTTTTGCTTTTATGTCCCGATCCTACAGGGAAACCAGCTCTTCTACATGTCTGTGTTGTCAGTGTCTTACGCTCTTACGACAGTGGCACATGCACAGCAGGCCTACAGCTACACACATCCATCCAAGAGGCAATTAAAAGTAAAAAAGTCACTTAATCAGCTGTTTTATTACTATGTGATACAAAAAGCATGTGCATATAAATTGCTGCTTTCAGTAGAGCCGGGCTTCTGCTGACTCGCTCGCCTCTGTCTCATTCTCAGGAGATTTACCATATAATGGAAAAGCAGCAGCCAGGCTTTTTTGTTCCCCTCCCAAACCTGAATTGAATGGGTCCCATGAGCTATCAGCGTAAACTCAGAGGATAGACTGCTGCGCAATTTGCCCATAAATCACAAAAAGTGCTGTAATTCTGAGAGGAGGCTTATGTGGGCTGAATGTGTGGGCGGGAGGGGAGAGTTGAGCATTCAGGCTCCGGTTTGCTTCAGTTTACTCTAACAATAACACATGAGAGGGTATTTTTACTGTCACCTACAGCATCAACACCACACCACCGCTCCCGTGTGTGTCTTAGCCTCGCAGCATTTCTTTCCCTGTTTGAACTGATAGGAGCAGCTGATAGGAATATTAAGACGCAGACCAGGCTAAAGGTCCTTTCACACCAGGACCGATTTTATATTTCGGACATCAATATTTTTTTCGAACCCGTATCCTGTCAAAACAAGCGTTCACATCAGCGACATTTTCCCATCCTGCGATATTTTGGCATTTATTTTTTCGGATCACGGTCGATTTTTCTAAAGTTTTGCATACTGTGTGTCCACTTCTGACCAATCAGATTTCGTGTTGTTGCGACGTCAGATTCACCGGTATATCCAACATGGCCGACCGGCTGATTGTTTACGTGTCGGAGAACAGAGTGATTTTTGATAAAAGACACAAATATTACAAAGATAACGACTTCTCATATGACGATGGTTCGTGTGTTTTTACAGTTTGCTCAACGTCTTTGCCGTTTTTTGATTCTTGTAGCCAGTAGTTTGTGCTATTAGGACATGAAAGAGGCTTCATTTGTGTTTGGACAACGTTTCCTCTCAGAGTTATTGATCCCGGAAGTCCAAATCTGTTAACATCTTTTCAACTTTACTGAACTCAGGGTCCAGAGCTGCAAGAATCAAACAAACTTCCTCTAAATCCCCCTGGCAGATCCCGCTACTTGAGTTGAATTGTTTCGTGGCCACGCATACATTTCTTTTTCTCCACTAGATGGGGCTCCGTAGACACAAAAATAAGGATGTAGAGGGAAAGCTCAAAGAGTGAGAGTGGGAGTGGCTATGGATGTTTATGCAAATCACTCCTGTCGTGATGTCATCACAGGAGCAAATCCAAATTTCCCCATTAGGAGTTATGTTTTCCCAGAAATGGTGCCACTAAACCGATGTAAAGCTCTATATTTTTGAGCTGGAGGACGAACAGATGTTCAGGCAGGAAAAATGTGAACACCTTTCAGGCTTTTGAATCCAGGCTTCAACAGAATATCAAAAAGAAACCTTTATTCACCACACAGCGGGGGAAATTTGATCCCGGCTGCAAGGAACACGCACTGCAGATAGAAACGAGACAAGCAAACAGACGGTGGAGAGATAATTATGAAGTGTCGAGTTAGGAAAAATACAAAAGTGCAAATGAGCTTGACACCTGCACCTGTGCATGACATCTGTTGTGCAACACGAGAGCAAAATATCAAAAACGTTTGGTTATTAATTTCCACAAAATACATCGTAGATTTACTTAGTTTTAATGCTTCATTTCTGCCTCATTATAACGACACTGGTCTAGTGGTGCCTTCATTAAGCTAGCCCATGCATCCTCGTGTCCAACCACCTCCTCCGTCTAGAAGATTTGAGCGGACTATTAAGGTTTAAGTTTGTCAGTATCAGCACCTGTTTATAATCTCTCTCACCAACTGAGCAAAAATAACCAAGAACTTGTCAGAAACCCTCCGAGGAAGTCTGAGGTGTTCAGGGTCCAGGTCTTTAACATGGTCCTGAGGCTAGAACCGTTTTAATGGTTGTAATTAGCAGCTAATTAAACTACATCAACAGCGCTGGCGGTACACAGTCTCAGCCCTCAGAAGATGCACGCAGCCGTCGAGGCAGCTGTGCCGGGTACATTTATCACTCCGCCTGTGAGCCCAGAGCTGCTTCAGCGACGACAGAGACGGTTCAAGGTGCACCTGTCTGCTCCTTAAGTTAACTGCTCCGCTCATCAGACACAGTCCCACAGGCCGGCGCCTTTATGGAGCCTGAAATAAAGTTAGTTTATGAGGCCGTTTTCTCTTTATGTGAAATAATCGTGTTGGTGAGGACTCGAAGCAGCCCAGAATTTTAATTCATGGTGTGAACAGCTGCAGTCTGCTCCTCGAGGGTGACTGAAAATGACCCGCGAACGCTCCAGTCTGCCAGCGAGCGTCAGCTGATCAGACCACACAGAGGATTTCTCCCTGAGAGGAGGAGTGACTCACCGAGTCAGCTGTAGTCAGAGTACTACTACTACTACTACTTCATTTATAAGGTTTCACACATTCATATTCAGGACGTGTGCCGGAAAGCTCCGCTAACCAGAGGGATACACTGAAGGTCCATGTGGTCGTATTTTAGGCCGTTAGTCGAGTTTAAATTTAGTGACAAAAAAAAACAACTAATCGGTTTTAAATCATAATCGGATTATTTAACTATGATGATGTTAAAAAAATTAAAATCGTCAAATCAGTTTTCCTCTCTATCATGTCTCGCGCCTCCAGGCCACCGTAGGCTCCTCAGTTCCCACACACACCAGTGTAAACAAACATGGCGTTTGCTAAAGAAGGCAATAATTTCGTGGTTAAATAGAACAAGAGCGAGTCAGTCATGTTGAATTGGTACGATTTCGCAGTTTCAGATGAAGAGTAAACCACTCCCCGCTGTAAAGTCTGTCTGAAGGCGGTATCAACCCGTCACCACGGAAACGAATTCAGGAGTAAATGTAAAGTTTTTTGTCGTGTCGGCGTTTCATCCACACAGAAGCGGAGTAAATCTGTAAACGACGACCATTTCATCTCCGTGTGGATGTCTATCTGCATCTCTGGAAACGATCATGTGACACACAGCGTTAACTCTTTTATGGCGCCAAAACAACTTTTATACTCATGCTCTGTACTCTTCTTCTGTCTTTTGTGCATTTCCTGTGCGGCGTTACAGCGCCACTTACTGGCTTGGCATGTGCGCTACATCGTTTGCAGCGGTTTTGTTTTGAGAGATGATGGAAGAAATTTCATGAAAGTGAAATTTGGTGAAGTTATCACTGAATAAAAAATAATCACTCAGTCAGGGTCTGCCCATTGTGTGTTTTTATCCGAACGAAGTTGACAAAAGATACCCTGTCAGTGAAGTGGTGAACCCAGCACTATCCTTAAAAACCTAATTTCCTCCTGACTGGTGTTTTTATGTTTCACTCTCACAGTCCCGGCCTTGAGGAAGGTCGTCTAATTACTCGCATCACAGCAGGAGGGACGCTGCTGTGTGCAGGAGATGAGGCTGTCGTCACTCCCAGGAGGAAATGATGAGAGAGAGAGAGAGAGGGGGAAAATAGATGATTATTCTGGCTTTACTCCATGTTTGTTGCAGCAGAATCAAAACAACTGGAATATTCCTAACAGTGCAAAGAGGCAGGCTGGAAAACTATGGAATATCCCGTAGAGGTTTGAACAGCAGTGCAGATGACCGGATGGTCCGGGGGGGGCATCGACATGACATGATCAAACATGCGGAAAAATCTTTGAAGAAGGTCGGAGAAAAGGCAGAGAAAGGGAGGAAGGGGGCTAACACCGCTATACAGGCAGCTGCAGGGGATGGCAAGGAGACTGGAAGACCTACTGGTTTATTCCCAGCTGATGACCCTGCAGCTCGCCTAGAGAAGGTGCGAAGTGCCGTAACAGGAAACAACACCTGACCCGTTAACAGAGTCATTGCATGTGTGTATTTCTCAACCAAGGATGTGTATTTGGAGCGTGGCGGCAGCGTCGCATATCATGCAGCAAATAGTTTGTCATTCTGATCAATGCAGCAAAGCGTACAGGACGCATATCAGCTCCGTCACAGCATCGTATCGAGAGCAGCACTGCTAAAGATTCGCGGTGAGTCTATTTTTGCTATTCTACACTTCCAATACACGTCAATCCACCCAGAGAAGATCGTTCTAGACAGGAGGTCAAGCACGAAAAACATGCACGTCATCTGGTATTTCAAAATATTGAGTTTAAGTTTAAACACATAGCACTTCCTTAAATATGTGGTTACTATGCAGACCACATACTTGGTGACTGGCCTGCAGAGCGGCATCGCATTTCCTGCATTTCTACATTTCCAGAAATGCAGTTGGTCCATCTATATGTTGTTCAAAAGATGCATGTAATGGATGCAAGGTAGTTAAGAAAACTTGTACAGAAGAAGAACAGAGGACTAAGGCTGCGTTCCAGTTACCTCGGAAGTCCGGGCTGGGAGTGATGTTGATAGCACACACAAACCTCATCTACTAACTGGGTACACTGAGGATTGCGTCTGTCAAATGAGCAAAACAGCGTGCGCAATCGATTTAGCGTGTTTGCCTTCATGAATATGCAGAATGTATGAAGATCATCAGAACGCGCAAAACTCTGGAAGGAGCAGAGATTTCTAGTATATCTTCTTGCATCTGTAAAGCACTTTGAAGACCCTACACCGGACCGGAAATGAGTAACGTGAGTTAAGACGCGGAAGCACGAATCGGCGGGGAGGCGGGTAGTTGAAAACGTTTTTCTGGTCAGAGTTTGATTCGTGATAAATACGTGGAATATTACTGAGGTTAATGTTACTGAGAAGTCTTTGAAGGCTCAAAAACAGCCATTTGTTAAAAAATAAGTAAATATGTTGATATATTACTTAAATTTAGAACATTTTAAAACTTTTAAAAAAATTTAAAAATTGGCTGATTAACCAGTAATCAGATTTTTTTCCTCCCTAACAAACGGTATCGGCATCGGCCCTAAAATTTCCATATCGGTCATGCCCTACTCTATACTGAGCCCAGCTGACCGGGGCAGCACTACGCTGCAAATACGCTGCAAATACGCTGATCCTGTGTGCGATACCCAGGACTGCTCTACGGAGCAAATACGAACACACTAAATACGGATCCTGTATGTTTTCCGCTTTGCTCCTTCCACCCTTCTGCAAGTTAGACTACATCATAGTCCTTCTGACTGTCAGGTCAGTAAATCTCCCATGATGCTTTGAAACCCTGAAGCAGGACTGCTGGGGTGCGTGCAGGCTCAGTTACAATGACAAAAGGCCGAATCTGCAGCTGTTCTCCTGAAACCAGCCAACAGCCTCGGAGTGTCTCCCTCCAACTCTCCAGTTTTGCCGCGAGCCCCTTTCAGAACACATCACATCCCTTTGTGTCAGAGCTGCTGGACTCGGCTCTCCAGAGTCTGTCTGTTGTGCTGCCGTCGCCCTGAAGGCTGTACACACTGTGTGTTTCCTCAGGGTGGGTCCAAGTTTATTTAGACCCTCCCCGACACTCTGAGCCAGGAAACCTCCAGGGCTGCTGACCGACCCGTCACCGCACACACTCTCTAAACTGGACAGAGACTAGAGAGAAGACTCCGGCTCATTTCTGTGAGCTGGATGATTGGACTCGGAGACGAGAGGCTGCTCTTTTGGCTCTTCTCCTCACTCAGTCCACAGGCAAAGGCCACAACAGTGAACAGGTTCTGATTTAACCGTTCATGCCCCAATTATCCTCAGAATGATGCTGCTGAGCTCTCAGTCATCACAGTTCCTGCTGACGGTGTTCAGCCTGACAGACCCCCTCAGGGTTTTACTGGAGGACAGAGAGATGACAAAAAAAGAGAGAAAATAGGAGGACGGAGAGGTGCAAAATGTGACAAACTAAATAGGAAGTACGAGAGTGGAGGCGCTACGATGTTCCTGCATGCATACACTTGTTTGCAAGCTTTAAGGCTTGTTTTTGCTTCACTGTCAAGGTCACATAGTGTACTCTGTTATATTTTTACACCTCAGGTTTGTAATAAATCTGGGCTATAAAACTAAACATCACCAGAAACCTTCTCGACGGTTTCTATTTCAGTCTGTAAACCTCGTCTGAACCTGGAGCTTCCTCCTCTGAGCTCTTACTAGATTTCCTCCACTTCCTAATGAGTCTCAGATTCACCCTCAGAGCAGTTACATGTTGCAGCGTATCATCCATAAATCATCAGCTCATTCGTTTTTACATATTATTAAAGAATGCAGATTTGTAAGTGATTGCTTTGATCAGCGGTTAATTACGAGAGTGAGGGAGTGAGCGTTGAGGGAATTTCCTTCGTATCCAAACGAGTAAAAGTGTCGTTTGTCTTCCCGATGAAACACACACAAACTTCTCTGTCGACATGATGTAACAGAAAATAAATCAACTTTCTTTCTCCTTCATTTATAGACCAACAGCATGAAGACGAACTCCAGAGGAACACCAGTGGGTGACGGTCCAGTTTCTCAGCAGGACTCTTCTCCTACAGAGCCACGCTGTTGTCAGAATGTGGTTGAGGATCATATGAAGATCTTCCCTGAAGAAGTCTTTGACTGGATGGCAGTAGATGTTGCTCCCAAACCTGGAGATATTGTTTAAAACTGAGGATGCAGCATCTATGATTTCTAGTTCTTCGTTGAAAGGACAACTGGACTTTCAAGTCTTGTTAAGTCCAGTTGTCCTTTCCAAAAGAGTTCTAGATTTTGATCCATGTGACCTCAGGACAGTTCACATACAAGTGATTTTAAACCCATGCGGTGACTCCAACTCCAGAGTCCTGATGTTCCTAAACCTGCAGATATTGTTCAGCATTAATGAAGCCTTCACAGAAGAAAGTCAGATTTGGATTCTTGAGACCTTTCCTAGGTCCTCTTCGGTCCGTCTCGGTGGACTCAGGCCTAGAGAAGTCATTTGTGTTTCTGGTTCAGGTTCACACAGTAGTTTCTCTTTGCAGAGTCATATCTGTACTGGTTTTCCAGATTCTTCACTCCAGGTTTGTGAACTTTATCCCGTCTGTTTTAAAGCTGTTGGACTAACTTGACCTAGTCTCTCTGACTCTCTTGTTTTTCGTCCCTTTGGTGCGACAGCTCATCTGTGTCATTTGCGGCACACCCACTTCACAGGTAAGTGGCGGTGTTCACTTTCATTAAAGATGATTTCACTTTTTCTGGTTAGTTCTAAAGGAGGAATATCTGATACTCAGGTCAGTAGGGGGTTCGAGTGGTACTGGCAGTGTTCTACCTTTAGGACAAGCGCAAGTAAAATCATCTACTTGCTTCATTTGCGTGACTGATTTGCTCCATTCGAGAGATTCCCGATAGCCGTGGATAGCCGTTTTTGCTAATTTCAACAGTGATCCTTGCCAATTAAACCGGTGGGATCAAGGGATAGACAAGGGTTTACGCAAATTTCCAGATACTCACCTCAACCTCCTCACTCACTTTCCTCCAGGCGATCTCCTTTTTGTTCCTGTTTTTAATCAAAAAGTCGTTGATACGAGAGCGGGGGAGAGTCTCCATCACGTTCAGCGGTTTGCTGCTTTGTTTTTGCTGTGGAAGGACCACAACTGTCGGAGATGTCAGCGACGCCGTGTCAGGGTCTCCGGATGACGGCTGTTTCCGGCGATATTTTCGGGTTACCTGAACCCAATTTGACGACCTGTTGGTGACGGTTGGTGCCAGGATATCCAGGATACGCATTACAGGCGCTCTATCCCATCAGTAAAAAAAAAAATTGTGTTTATATTTTCACACCATTCATGAGGAGGATGAGCGTCTAATCGCGTCTTTGCATTGACTTAACATGGAATTCATTCGCGCGAACGATTTAACTCGCGCCCCGTTAGTCTGATTGAGCCGTATACATGACAGAGAGGCATTTTCCATGTTAGTTTGATTTCAGAGCAAATTCAGCCAGATTTAGGTGTTAACATGAATTTTAAAAGTCCACTTTCAGCCGCAATAAGTGATTTTTTAAGAGCATGTGAATGTACTCACTGTCTGAAAGCATGAATGAAGAATTCCTGCAGAGGCTGAGCAGATATTAGTAAAGACGTCTCGATGTTTACACTCCCTTTTTTTCCACAGCTTATCGATAAAAAAATCATAACTCACCTTGCAGCATAAAAAAAGTCTCCAGCAGCGTTTGCTTTGTGGTTTTTGTGCATGACATCGATATCACTTTCAATGTGAAAGCATAAAACAAACTAATCAATACGGAGCAGGAGACAAACAACTCCAATTATCTCCAGGAGAAAATGACTGTCTTTGTGAACAGAGGTTGGCGGATGTTTGAGAGCGATGCAACACAAGAAAGAAGAAGTGAGACCCACCCGAGAGATCTCTGCAAGACGGAGCAGAAAGTTGATTCTTTGGTTTTCGTCAAGAGAAACTCAGTCGAGTTCAGCACAGGTCGAAAAGGACAGTCTTAAGTTTCTTCTCTGATAACAGCCGCCTCTCATGTCAACAAAAGCCGCTCTCCTCTCAGTGTCCCATATCTGGAGCCCACACCTCCTGACTCACAGAGGAGCGTCCCCCCGAGGGAAACCAGACGCCAACAACCGCACGCCAGTCTTTACATCCTGATACCCGATCGCCTCTTCAGTTACCTCTTCTCAGAAACGCCATGACTGTGATTCACAGATCATCTTCTCTCACGAACAAACACCCACGCGATACCTTCACATGAGGACAATTTTCTATCATTTTAAGTTTGAAGGTGTTTTTAAATCTCAAGTAATTTCTTACAGTTAAGAGGTTTGGGGGTTGATTCTCAGAGACACAAACAGCTGATCTCTCAATAGAAATTTCATGTTAAATGACCTCTATCTGCTCACGCATAAAGCCCGCTGTAATTCTGCTCAGAACGACCGGGGATAATGATTTCAGGTAAAGTCACCTGCTCTATACACTCAATTATCTTGTTACTCAATACCTCCACCCCCACACATGCTGGCTGGGAACAGAGACATTATACTGGTGGGAAACCAGTGAGACAAGAGAGGAACCTACACAACACTCAAACCCTTTCAGTCGATCCTCTCCAGGTTAAAGACCGAGAGAGGAGAAAATGCACCATGTCGTTTTTGCAATTTATGACGATGGAGGCTGGTTTTCAAAAACGGAAAAATGCTGCAGAAGAGGTACAACCACACGCATGCTTTCAGTTTGATCATGAACCAGCACTGGGTTGCACCGACTTTACGCAAGTTCAGACTTCGCCTCGTTTGAACCTCATCTCTGATCTTGGATGGAGTTTTTAGTCTTCTGACATTTTAAGGGTTGCATCAGCGGCGAAAGTTTCAAGCGTGATGCTAATCTCACATCAGTAGACTTTGAAAAAACGATAAAGATCTTTTAAAGACTGAAGACGGAGTGCCGACAAGTCAGAGACAGAGATTTTGCAAAGACTGACCCCAGATTTCCACCACATGCGGAATGGCGACAAAAAGGAAGTCGGCCACTGATCGTTTCTATTCAAGTTAATGTGTCAATTTCCACCCTGCGGTTCATTTTTTCTGGATGCCGCATAATTCTGCACAGATTATCCCGTGCTGGAAAGGAAGTCGGGCACAGACACAAAATAAAACATCCGGCTTCTTTTCAAAATAAAACTACGTGTTTCAGGCGGATCGTATTTCACACCGAGCAAACGTGGTTTGTTTCGCAGATAAAGATAAATATTGCACCTACCCACGGTTAATTCCCGATCCCAATGATCTACTGGTCTGGATGGAGTGGATGTCCTCCTCGGAAGGACACAATCTACTGCTGATAAGGTTTTGTGGCTGTCTTTATCGAGACAACTCTTCATCGCAGGTTTGCATGTGAATTTGCGAGTTCTTGAGGGTCCTCGCGATTCCTGCTGTTTGAAATTCGCCTCGCATCCAGTAGGAACTGGCAGACAGCGAAAATTGCTGCTGAAATTTGGGGTGAGGAACCTGCAGGGTGACCGAGTGACCCGACTGCAAGCTGCACCTGATTCCTGGTGGAAACAACCAACAAGATTTGACGTGTTTCCCTCTGTTTTCTCACACTTTCACTGGTTAAAGTGGAGGGAGAAAGAAGCTGCAGCGCTCGAACCCTCATTGAGTCTGCTGAAGTGAACGAGGCTTTTAGCTCACAAGATAACCAAGTGTTCATTTGCTTTCCCGTCATGATCGTTTAGCCTGTTGTCGCCATCGAACCACCTGATTCTCACAAGACAAATGACCTGCAAGGTTTGATTTTATCTTTTTATCCAGACGAGAGAACATCTGAGATGACTGGATAGCTTTGATTTCTGTGAAAAATGTTTGATTTCGATCAATAGGTCCGCTTACCTTACATCGGAGTAAAGATGGCTGCCTTTCTGAGTGCGAACGTTTCGTCTGGCATGAAAAATCACCAAGAATGAGCCGGGGAGAAGGTTAGTCCTCGGACGATGTGAGGATCAATATTCTCCTCGTAGTCCTGAATGTGTTGTTCGTGCTCGGATGATGACGGTCAGCAAACAGACGTGTTTAACCGAGCATCTTGATGAGGATTTACTCGGCGAGAGTGTAATTGTGAGCCGTCTGCAGGTCAGGAGGAGCTGCTGTATCTTTTCCCCAAACACAAACATTCACACAGTTTATCCTCTCTTCCTCTGAGGAAACAGCCGACAAAGTGATTCTGCACTGTAAACATCTGTGTGTGTGTGAATGTGTGTGAGTGTGTGTCCACCGTATTTACACAGACAATTAACAGATTCCCCGTGCAGCAGGTTAGAGGTGAAAATATGGCAGAGGAAAGTAAACAGCCTGATGAAACTCCTCATGCAGCGAGCTCACAACGAGGGCCGGCGCCGAGATGATGCATAGCTATGCACACAACGCCCCTTGGTTTTTAATTAAGAGAAACTGCATTGGAACGCGGCGTGCATCCAAACCCCGGCCGGACTGCATCCCCTCGCCTCCCTCCTCTGTCATCGGGGCAAGAATGATGCAATTTGTGCAATTTTATGATCCACTGAATGCAATTATGAGAGCTGTCAGTGTTTTAGGTGTCTTTTGTCGGTGATGTATGCCGTGTGCAGACTCAGCCACTGTTTACACACACACACACACACACCCAGACTCTACACTGTAGAGATAAGGAATATAGTAAACATAAGCCGTGATTAGTTACTGTTTTATTTCCATGTTTTCTTGTTATTATCGATGGCACTATTAGCAGGAAGAGTGTCTCTGGAGAGCACCTTTAATATGTCAGACTAAAACAGCTGAAGGTCGATTTACACTTAACACATCATGAGGAGCTCTTATCATCCAGTAAAAACAGCTGTGCAATGTACTCTGTGTTCAGAAGTGCCCAGGCTTGAGATTTTTTATGGAAAAACTGCGTCAAAAACTGAAGCTTTGCAGTCTGAAAGATAAGAGAGTAAAAGAGGAAAGAGTCTCTACAGGGATAAAGTGGTGAGACTACATTTCATAAGATAACACGACAACATCAGGCCTTCAATGAAATATCATCACAACTCAAACAAAAATTCATCAAATCATCATCGAACCGGTCAATGAACTTCCACCAACCCTCCTTCAAACCCTGACCACGCCTCCCACGACCACGATCTTCACAAACCTTTGACCAAACCTTCATCAAATCCTTACCAGACCATGTAAAACCTTTGCTGCAAGCCTCTACCAATCATTCCCCCAAACTTCAGTCAAGCACGACCAAAATTTCACCAAACCTTCAGCTGACAGTCACAAAGTTTCTTTATAAAGTCAGACTTTCCCCTACATGCAATTGAACGTGGCGCACCGCCATGCTAAATAAAAGCAGCCAAATGAGGTTCTTACATGGCTCTATCTTGGACTCATATGTATAGACATACGTGCATGTCATCATCGGCGATGTCACTGTTCATTCAATACCCCCCAACTCCCATTAACACATTTAAACTGGGACAGCATGTACGCATTTCTACCCTTCAAGCCGGGAGAAGCGTGTACTAGAGGATCACATTTTTCGGGAATTTCCGTGGGTCACGTGATTCCCGCGGGAATCCTACGGGATGGGAGTCATTTTTTAATTAATCCCATGATTGGTATGGGACGGGAAAAAAAGCAACGGGAGCGGGCAGGAGCGGGAACAACATTAATAAATGATCATTTTCAGCCGCGTTAAACAACCAGATGAACAGATGCATCCATTTTTGTAGTCATCTCTCAGTGAGAGCCAACACTCTTGACTGCACTAGCAACACAAAAGAACTACAACAGTGGTTTGACTTCCTGTCACCACTGGAAGTGAAAAGCGACTCGGAGCGGCTGCCACATTTACCTAAATATCTTAAATTCATTTATGCATATTATGCACTGCACTTTTACCTCAAATAAAAAAATGCAACGTTTTTCAACTGGTATTGGGACGGGAAGGGATTTTGTCTCTGGGAGTGGGATGGGACATGAGTTTAAATCCACTCCTGTGTCATGCTCTAGCATTTACGCATTTCAACCTTCCAAGCTGGCGACGCCGCTGTGCATTTCTACCCTTTAAGCCAGGAGCGCGAATACACCATCTTATAACATTCTGTAGTTTTTCAATCATTTCTGGAGTCGTGGCGAATCAAATCATCACACCCGTCTGCCTCTGATTGGCTAATAAAGCGCTCGGATTCATGATCAGATCTTCTTCATGAGGAAAGTAAACAATGATGGAGGCAGAGAGCAGCTTCATAGGAGAAGCATCCAGCAGTGTGAACAACCTCTTCATATTGAGGTCTTTGTCTCACACTATCGGCTTTGGGTGAGCACATTTAGTTGTTGTTTATTTAGTTTTTAGTTCTGCTTTTGTTCTGGCACTATACTAGGGCAGCTTTGTACCCTTCAACACTTTATTTTCTATATTTACATTTGCACTGAATGGACACTTTATCATGACTGCCGCTTGTTTTACAGAAAGTAAATAGTTTGTTATTCTCAAGCGCAGAGTCTTTACTTTTATTTATACAGCCACTTTATTTCATTTGAGTTTGTTTGTTCAAGGTTTTCAATAATATGATGAAGGTTCAGAAAAATAAAATAAGAGGAAGCTCTAAAATACTTTTTGAATCTTGTTTCTATTTGCTAAAGAAGCTGAGATATCAGCGTTTCTGTAAACCTCAACACTTCAGAAAACCTCAGGATCTGGGGGCCCTTCTCAAAACTGCCCTCAGGATTTCAGAGACATGTCCCAGACAGGGTTCAGGTCTTAATGGGTTAACTCAACACCACAGTTAGAGTCCCATCCTGGGGGAAACACTGAAAGTTTTTTCAATTTTCAACCATTTGGTCACCAAACCTGAACCAGATCTCTGCTAGTCTTCATGAAACTTTAAAACACATTTACCAAATCTTTATCAAACTGCCCCAGAGGCTGCTGCACCAAACCTTTACCCAACCCTTTTCAACCTGCGCGTCCCTTAATTAACTTTCCATCTGACCTTCTTTAAACTTTATCCTAACCGGTACAAAAACCTACGTCAAGCCTTCTGCCAAGCCTTTTTCGCCCCCAACCGTCATCTCCAACAAACCACTTTCATACCTCCTTCAAAACTCCATAAAGTCTCCATCAACCTTAATCAAACCTGAGTCAAACTTACACCAAACCTCCGTCATCAAAGCTCCAACAAGTAAGTCAAACCTCCAACCAATGAAACGCCAGTGAATCCTCCGCCATCACCTCTCACCAAGTCATTAAAGTCAGCTGGTGTTGGATTGTAATGAGGCCACACTGTAACCCCTTCTCTGAGCCTCAGCATCCCCACACCTGCTCAACTCTGCTATGATGTTGCTATGGAAACTGTTTGATAGGCGGGGGCAGTGGAGGCTGCCCTTCTAACACACATACACCTACACACATAGACACACAGACACAGACACACACGTGGCACGTCACACCGTCCCAGGAGGGGTGTGAGGTGATCACATGGAGGGAACTTTCCGAGCTGAATCCAATATCAGCAGGCGGAGCGGGAACAGGAGGAGGAGGAGGAGGAGGAGGATGGAGCAGGAGAAGGAGGGAGTGGATAGTGTATTTTCTGTCTTTCCTCTCTCTCTCATTTTCACACAATCTGAGGTGCGAATGCACTTGGAAACAGAGAGGGCCGAGGCAGCTGCCAAAAGCTCTTGCCATTTTCTTTCCACGCGTCCTCTTTACTCTCTCTCTCTCTCCCTCTCTCTCTTTCTCTCTCTCTCTTGTGTCACAGAGAGTGGGAACTAGCCAAGGTGAGGGAGAAAAGTGGATAATGAGGAGGTGGGAAGTAGAAATAGCCTGTTACCATGCATTAGGGACACTGAGAGAAGAGAGATAAAAAGGATAGGCTTCAGAGAGAAAAAGGCAGAGAGAGGAAACCCTCAGACTGTTGTTAAATAACGAAGCTCTAATTGAACCTTTTTTATTCATCTGGCAGTAGTATAACGACATTTTTTAACATTCAGGACAAAGACTTACAGGTCATAACTCACCGTCACAAAGGGCTGACCTTGGGTCAAACATTAACCTTACCGCTGGCAGGTTGATGTCAAGTCATTGAAAGGAAGAATAATGGGAAGGCAGTGAACCCTCTGACGGACTGTTGACTGTCTGGTGAAGCGGGGAAAACAACACCTTTATCTCCAGATGGCAGCATGTTCAAAGAAAACAGTTCCTGGGTGTGATTTTGAGCTCATGCGGTGACATCCACTGCAGAGTCAAGCATGTTAAGAGAGCAAAGATCTCTCTGCCACATCAGATCAGTTTAAAGGGCACGCCATGTTTACCATGACAGACTTTCATAGTCAGATTCCCAGGACACAAGCCTCACTGGACAACCCAAAAGATCATAAATACCAACCTAGAAATGTGTTTATGTCAATTTAAGAGCAAACAGAGGGCACTTTGTTTACATTTTAAAACTCACAGAGCGGCATCTTATACTCTAGAGCTACTTCCAGAGGGGTCTTTGATTACAATAAAGGAGGCACATCTGGAAGGCACTTTGTTTACATTCCTGAAAGGTACTCAATGTGGACTTTGTGTGCTTCCACATATTTAACAACTTCACTCACATTTTTAACACACTCAAAGACCATCCAGAGGGCACTTTGTTTACATTCAACACATATAAGGAACAACTAGTGGGAACTTTGTTAACGTTTTATTCAACAAAATAAGAACCAGAGGGCACTTTGTTTACTTTTTATCTACCATGAGTCCAAGCAGAGGGCACTTTGTTTACATTCTATTTACTAGTATAAAGTCAATGATGGGGCACTTTGTTTACATTCCTGAAAGGTACTCAGAGTGGACTTTGTTGACTTTTCATATACTTAGAGAGCAACTTCATTCACATTTTTAACACACTCAAAGAGCATCCAGGGGGGCACTTTGTTTACATTCTATTTACTAGTAAAAAGTCAGCAATGGGGTACTTTGTTTACATTCCTGAAAGGTACTCAGAGTGGACTTTGCTTACTTTCCACATACTCATTCATATTTTTAACACACTCAAAGAGCATCCAGGGGGCACTTTGTTTACAATTAGTACACACGAGTGGTAACTAGTGGGGACTTGGTTTTACATTTAATCCAATTAGAAAGCAGCTAGTTGGGACTTTATTTGCATTTTGTCCATCAAATGATGAACCAGAGGACCTTTGTTTAAATTTAACACACTAGAGGGAGAACTAGTGGGAACTTTGTTTACATTCAATTTGACAAAATAGCAACCAGAGGGCACTTTGTTTACTTTTTATCTGCCATGAGAGCTTACCGAGGGCAAGAACGAGAAAAAACAAGCAGAAAATCTAAAGGCAACATTTTATACACAGGAAAGTCACCTAGAGGGCACTTGATTTACATTTTTTATACTTTGATCACATTTTGTCACATAATTTCCACTGCAAGAGCACCTGAGACAGCGCTTTTATCTATTTAACTACAAAGACATTTAAGAAAGTACTTTTGTGGCATTTTCTCAAGACAATTATATATTTTAAGGTCACCAGCGTGGGCTATCGCTTCGCTCGCCCCTGTTCTGGGTACACCGCTGCATCAGATCCACAGGTTCATAAACATGTGAAAACGTGCTGATAATGTTGCTTTAAGAGGGAAAGAATGGTAACAGGTTCATTGAGTCCCTAGGTTCCTATGTATTCAAGGCTTCCTGTGTGAACTGTCATCACCCAGCATGCTTTGCATGTTTTATGTAAAGCTGACCCATAGGGGGGATAGAGGAGAGGGCTCATGTTGTTTATTTGTGACTTCTACATGCTGTGTTCTCGGTGTGAAGCTGCATAAATTTAAAACACAGTTAATTGCACATGGGCAGGGAAATGAAGCAGATCTTTCCGAATGGTTTTGCCTTCGCTGTGTTTTGAACACCACATATCCTGAAGTCAGCTGGAGCAACCAGAGAATTAACAGCATGTTTTCCCTCTTGGGTTCATGCGTTTCTATGGCGATTCCTGATAGGAAGACACTCGCCGGCGTTCATTATTCCTTTTTATTCTCTGCATGTATGTGGGACAGAATGAGGTTGATTAATGACTGTGTGACAGATTATCCTTGAGGTTATTCTTTACAGTGATTATGGTTCCTCAGTATTACAGACATTAGCAGTAAAGAGAGGTCAGGAAAGGTCTCCTCTCACACTGTGTATGACACATCAGTCTCTATGTCTGTAATCAGGCTCGTATTGTGTTTCAGCGATAAAACCATACAGGGTGAATCCTCTGCCTGTCTGATGAGTCTCTGATGAGAGAAGAACGAAGAAAACTCTGGAAACAGTGCAGAAGAATATGCGATATTAGAAATTAAAATAAAACTTTTGTCTTCTTTTGTGCAAATATTTGTGTTTTCAAGAGCGAGGAGAGGAGAGGAGCAGGCGGTGTGCGACCAAGGGTCAGAGGCTTTAGCGATTGGAAGTGTGAGACCTAAAAGATGAACAGGCTAAAAATACCTCCACATTCAACATGAACCATAGACTGTATACTGTGGACGACTAGGCTCTGCCTTCCGTCATTATATGTATTTGAAGCTGAATTGCTCTCAGTGTTTGCGGGTTTTTCTCCACTTAACGGAACAACCACTAGCGCAATCGTGTTGTACGCATTCGGCGGGAGAGTCGCTGAGAGTCGCTGTGATGGCGCTCGGCTCAAACAGCGTATCCCCCGGGTGAGCTACGCAATCTTATAATAATAATAATAATAATACATTTTATTTAAAAGCGCCTTTCTGAGCACCCAAGGACACTGTACAGGGCATAAAAACACAGCTAGAAACATAATTAAAATAAATAAAAACAACATCCAAGTGTGAAGGTAGACAGTTAAAGTGAATATGCGATTTGGAATAGGTGTTTTTTGAGTTTGGATTATATTATAGATATTATATTATAGATAGAGATATAGATATTATATTATAGATAGTTTCATTTTTCTTCTCCTTTTTCTAGATTTTTTCTTAATTATTACATTTATATAAGTTCTTAATATTAGGATCTTTATTTTTATAACTGCATTTTTGCACTCTTTGTCTGTGATGCTGCTGTGACAAAATAAATTTCCCCCATGGGGGATCAATAAAGGAATATTCTATTCTATTCTGTCTTACGCCCATAGGCTGTCAATCATAGAAAACATGAACCCCCTAATAACTTTTAAAAATGGAGCTGCACAGAAAAAAAGAGGACTTGAGCACAAACCAGTCTTACAGTGACTACATGTCAACATCACAACCAGGGAGCAGATAAATTTATAATCTGTGTCATTAATTTCTAAAGTTTGTCCACAGCTCCATAGGGATTGCTGGAGGAGGCGGGATTTATGACCTATACTGCAGCCCGTCAACAGAGGGTGCTGTTCTCGCGGTGGCTTCACCCAGCGAGGAGGCAGACGGCGTCCATTTTATATACAGACTATGACACAGACTTAAATTAGCTTACTGCAGCTTTAAAGACAGAAACATTTGGACTTCAAACAAACGACTTTTTATTGACCAGATCGTTACTTTTGTATTTCAACAAAGACGTTAACCTGATATAGTTGACAAATGAACACTGCCATGTTAAAAGCAGCATTTTTAAAATACAAATTGAGTCTTAAAATTACAAAGTCAAACTACTTTCAGCTTGTAAATCTGCCACAATGGCTGACATTTGTCCTCGTTTCTGTGTCTTACAGTTTATTGTTCAGCCGCAGCTCATCACAGGCTTTAGAGGAGGACGAGGTCTTTTAAACATCAATTGACAATTAACAAAGACTTCATAACAGGCTGCTATTTTTCACACAAGGACCGTGTTCTCTGCCACAATGTAGATAACGTGAACACAAACGCAGAGCCGCAGAACAAAAGCATTTTCCTTTCTTTATATTCAGAAAGGAAGACAAAAGAGTTATTGGCAGGCTCAGACAAACGGCCCGGGTTTTACTGTCACACACACGACTCCACGTTTCCAAACAAAGACCGAACACTGCAGGCAGGAACCCTCTGGCAGCCGTCTGTTTTTCCCTGAATTTATCTAATATTGCAGGATTCAGAGGTAATGAAAGCCCCGGCTGTGTCCGTGAAAAGGACGCACTCTGGGAAGGGAATACACAACAACCTCGTCTGAGCAATTTGTCTCCATTAGAAAAAAAAATCGTCTCAACAGGAGCCGCTGTGAATAAATCAAACTGTGATCGAACATCCTTCATGCCAGACGCCCACGTGCGTTTTGTCATTCCTCGCAGCCATTTAATAAAACAAAGGCTTCTCCGCAACCTTTTGAGTGTTGCCATTTCCATGGCAACCGCATGTACCGCGGCCATAAGGTTTGTGAATGCAGCCCAGATTTCCAGTGAGGGCCACGCTGAAGTGTAGCAGAGGAGGACATGCATGTAAGGAAAACAATCCGCTTTGTTTCAGACACAGATCGAATTAATGAGCAAAGCCAGGAAGGAAAAACTCTGATCTGTTTAATTTTAATTATTCGTTTAATCTTTATCGAGCCGGGTTGGTCCTGCTGAGGTCGGGGTGCAGGATACTTTTAGAAAGCTTTCTGTCTCATTTCATCGGCACCTTTTTTTAAAACTAGAAATCTAGAAATAAGACATTTTCTAGACTTGTCAGGTAAATCCGTCTTAGGTCGCTTTCACACCAGAGCTGTTCGGTCCGCTTTAAACGGACCAGAGTTCTTTCCTCGGATAGTCTGCTTCGTTTGGGCAGGTGTGAAAGCTCATCCAAACTCTGGTGTAAACCAAACAAGCGAACTCTGGTCCGCCTGAAAACGTGGGTCTCGGTTCGCTTGCAAGTGAACTCTGGTTCGGTTCGTACGCAGTGTGAAAGCTCAGCGGACCAAACACAGGACCAAATGTACGTAATGACGCTATACGCAGTGCATCTTGGATAGAGGAAGCGCTGCATCACTTGTTGCTATGGAAACAAGTGACCACTGACATTAGCAGTTGCTAGCTAGCTCAGCTCAATTGTCTGAACAACGATAACCCATGAATTCACAATTTGGCAAATTTAAACAAAATCAAATCACAACTACCAACAGTCACAGTCCTTAAACTCTGAGCTCATATGTCGTCACATGTTAGATCGTCAAAGTTAGAAAACTAACAGGATCAATCCCTGACAAGCTACGATAGCATTATAGGAACAGTTGCGCTCACTAACATTGTAGCATTCCATAAAATAATGTGACGAAGCACGATACAAGACGGCTAGTCCACCCCTGTTTGTAATCCGTGAGGTTACATACCCCTCCTACTTTGTCCAATCAACGAGCACCCCTTTCAACCACGTGATGCTGCTCAGAAAGTTCGGTGTCGCTTGGTCAGGTGTGAAAGCGACCTTAGATTAAGTCTAAAAGACGTTTTTAAAATTAGGATTATGAGAATGTCGCCTGGTTTGAGTTTTTGCACTGCTTTCAGAAAACTTAAAAGATGATCGCTAGGTGAATGAAAGAGACATCAACCAAAGTGAAGAAAACAGACGCAAAGCAATCACAGATTATAATAAAGTGCATCTTGACCAGGTCGCTCTTAAAAGAGACATTTTTAGTCTCACTGAGGGGTTTCTGTTCAGATAAGTGATGAGGAAACACCATCAGAAATAACACAGAGATGATTTTCTGAATCTGTTTAGACGACAGACAGAAAATCATTGCAAATAAAACTGTTAATTTTAATTGCAGTAACAGTAAAACAGGAGGGTGTTTACGCCTTAGATTCGATTACTTTTGAAACTACGAAATGCCAAACGGGCACTTGAGGACTGTTTCTGTTCAGTTAAATGTTTTACAGACTCCTGAGTGACTGCAGAGTCTCTAAAAACGAAGAGTGAGGCTTAACGACAAACACAGGAAACACAGCGTTCACTGTTAAAGCCCAGCGCATTTTTCCATCATCATCATTATCATATTTATTCGCCAGTCAGAAAACTTGGTCAGAATCCCATGTGTACAAACCCGTTACACGGCCCGATTCAATTACTATGGATTAGTAGATTGCTGAATTTAAGCAAACATGAATGCAGTCTCAAAGTGGGAAGCTTCGATCAATATTCAGGGAATGGAAATGCTTTTCTAAATCGATTATATCCGCAGAGGAGGAGAGCGGAGCGGAGAAATCCTCCCTGTAATCCGGTTATTTCTGTCAATCAGTGAGTCACAGGATTCACTGCGAGCACAAATCAAATCAGACATCAGAAATTTCGACAGAGACGCATCCGGCTGCTTATGTCTCATGTGGAGGTTCAGGGGTCAGGGGTCGACTTCGACTGCAGGTATACATGATCATGTGAACATCAACAGTGCAGGGACTTCATTGTGTCTCATTGTGGCTTTAAACAACCAAAGCAGGCTGACTAGAACAGGTTTGATTGAGGGTTAAAGGAGCGACATTGCTTTTCACCAAACAAACAAAACCACGTGGCGAACACGGCGTGGTTAAAGGGGCGGCTATTTTGTGGCGTTTTCTCTGAACAAACAGACAAAGAAGGCGATGAAGAAGAAGAAGAAAACGGCTCATCTGTTTGTTAGAGGAGAAACTTCTTCCCCACATGAATTATGGAGCAACATCACTTTTATGAACTCTTCCCACCCAGCAAACCATACGTCTAGACAACGCCGAGATTCACACCGTCTAAATTAAGGTGACCAGACAGTCCTCGTATTGGATGACCTGTCCCCGGCTAAAGTTGTCCCCTGGAAATGTCACCGATAAACGTTTCATGAATGACTAGAACAACGGTTACTACGGTAGCCGATTAGGTAGGAAACACGAGGAAGCATGTTGAGTGCAGTCCTGAACAACAGTTTTTACAGGGAGTTATTACAGGGGCGTACGCTGCTACTAAGTAGTACTGAGATGTTGTCTGTGATCACGCTGCCAATGCTGTGGATTTCATGACAGAAATCTGGTCATCCTAGTCTAAATGAGGCCCAGTTTTCAACGTCCTTTTTTGGGCTAAATTATGTCCACGATGGGACAACATGATTTAGCCTGAAAAAGACGTCTAGATGAAATCAGGTGTTTGTTCGGTTGTGGTTTCTGCTTTTGCTTTGACGTTCATGTAACCCTCACTTCAAACTTGACCAGCTGGTATGAAGTATTTCATGGCTCTCAGGCTGACAGTACCAAAAAACTGATTTTCAAGGGTGATTTTGAGCCCAGGCAGAGATTTCTAGGGGTGTCCTGATACAACTTCTTGACATCTAATAGGATACTGATATTGCATCCCTCAATACTGACCGGTCCGATATTGGCACAAACTTGTTCATGACAAGTTTGGCACTCAGCTGCAACGTCTTTTTCGGACTTTAACAAAAATACTGCCACACAGCCGACATCACTCCTACTCCCTGCTGTTTTGTTCGTACTTTAGTACACACTGTTGTTGTGATTTCATGGGCTCAGCTTGCTGGATCAGGGTGGTGCTGGAGCAGAGTCTGGAATGGACTGCTTGTACCAGAGTCTCTCTGGTCTCTCTCTTCCATCGTCGCTTCCAGTCATCCCGATTCTCCACACATCTCTCCAGTTCATTTGTACTCTGAGCTCCTGCATCCTTCTTGAGTATGTCCACGTATGTTAGTGTAGGACGTCCTCTTGACAGATGCCCATATGTTGGTTCCCACAGCACCAATTTGCTGGCTGACAGTTCCCGATGCCTTCGCCAGTGTCCTGCTAGTTTCATTCTCCTTACAGCAATCTTCTCGCTCACCCTTGGTATTCCCTCGTACAGTGTTCTGTTGGTTACATGTGCGTTCTTGCTGATGTTAAGCACTGCACGCAACATCCTGGTGTAGCACGGTCCAGCATTCACTGCCATAGAGGAGAACGGACTCTACTGTTGCGTGAAAGACGCTGAGTTTGATTTGGCGGGGGAGGTTGGAGTTCCATACACCGGTCATGCCGTTCAGGGCTCTCCATGCAAGTGCCTTCCTTACTTTTAGATCTTGTTCAGTTGAGTTGACCCATGAGCCCAGGTATTTGAAGTCCTCGCCTTCTTTCAGCACAGCGCCTCCTGCTGTAGTCAGAGGTTGATGTTCTGGTGGAACGTTGTAGGTGATGACCTTAGTTTTCTTGGCATTGGAATGCATATATCGGAGATTATAGATGCAGGCTGATAAAATCCGATATTCGTTTCTTTTATATATATATTTTTTGCCGATATCAGATCGATATCCGATATCAATATCATATTGGGACACCCCTCGAGATTTCCACTCCAGAGTCATGTCTGTTTTTAGCGTAGTCCTAACCCTAACCCATAAAAAACCTTATTCTGAAAATGTTGACCCAGTCTCTTACAGAGCAGTAAACTTATTCAGTTGGTATTTAACAGCTAAAACCCTTTTTATTCAGCACTGTTTGAAAAAGATAAATATCCCAGGCTGAGGGCCCTGGGTGCCAGAAAAGATAAAACACAGTCTGGGACACCAGTGAGAGTAATACAACCCTGAGTTTAAAGAGAAGAGACAATGCTTTGTCATAAAAGACCGGCAGACACAGCCCAGAGTCAAAGTCACAACCAGTCAGCTCTAATCAGCCACACTCCTTCTGCCGGTTCATCCTGAAGACATAATGAGGACCGCCGAGGAGGACGTGGTCTCTACACAGACTCTGGAAACGGCACAGCGAGGGGGGACCGAGGGAAGTTTGAGTTTGGACTGAAAGCTCGGAGACTCAAGGATGAGTCACAGAACCAGTACAACAAAGTGCTGCTGCTTGACTACTCAACACTTACAAGAGAAGGTAACACACTAACACTGGTTTATTGTCTGATTTATTGTGCGCCCAATATGTTGTTTCTAAGCCAGAGCTCAGCCATCCACCCTTCATACTGTCTAATGTCACAGTGCTGTAAAACTCTACTACCAGGATCCAAAGAAGCACAGCACAAGATGGAGATAAAGTAAGTAAACGTATAACCACTCATCCAGAGCAAAGGTAGGCATGAGGGACCAAGGTTAGTGATTCTAGACCTGCTAATGGTTTTCCTGCAAACCCTGTAATCTTGTGTTAAACAGCGTAAAAACAGACAGAAGTGATAGACGAGGTACTGATGTTAAAGAGGGCCGTCAAAGAGGCTGAGGCAAGTAACGGGCACGGCAGTTCTCTTAGATGTACCGAATCTCTAGAATTGGTTCACTGATAAGATTCGATCAAAAGATTCGTTCAGGAGGAGCCTGAGACTCCAACTTCCTGGATTGATTCACAGCTGAACGGTTCAGGTTTCAGTTCAGTTCTCGGCTTCTGGGCCCGGGAGACGAGAGTGTTGTGGCTGCACATGCGGTCCCGCCCTCGCCCTGCAATGCTGCGTTCTATGGCAGCTGCTTACTGACAGTTCAAATAAACTGAGAAATGAACGAATCACTTGAGGAAGTGATTCGGTTCAGTATGTTCACTTAGAAGATTCGTTCTTTTGAAAGAATCATTCGCGAACGACACAACACAAGTTGAGGCCCTGATATTCTTTGGAACTGCCCTTTAAATGATGCCGTTTTAATTGTATGGTGTTTTTGCAGTTCATTGCATGCATTTTTTCATTTGGCACCTGTTTTGCAGCATTTACCTCATGATTCAGTCTCTTTAAATCAGTCTTTTGCAGGATGTAACCTGAAGATAGTTGGTTTAACATAAAAGCAGCAAAAGTGAGTGCCACTGAAGGATCTGTGGTAGTGTCTCGGGGTGAGAGGACGACAAATCAAAAGCACAAATAACATCTTTAAATGAGGGTAAATGTTGTATCTGTAAAATAAAAACGGTGACTCTGTGTTGTCCCTCTCATTACCCTGCAGGGCAGAGTCAACCCTGGAATACACAACTAAATGAGGACAGGATTGAACCTGCCTCACTAAAACATACCGCAATCTTCGACTAACAAACCAGAGAAAAGACAGCGACTTAATATTCTCTTTGAGGAATAATGGGGAATAATCCGCCATGGTTGTGAGTTTCTTTGATAATGCCAGGCGGCCTCTGGAGTGTGCTGTGAAGTGCAGCCAAATCGTCTCTGGGAGCAGTGTGTGCAGAGGTCCCCACCCCCGGTATCATTAGTTAAAGTGAGGAACACAAACACTATTGGACGTCTGATTCTGTTCAAAGTCTGATTTGACTTTCTTGATGAGACGTGGTGGAGCCGCATTTTCTGTTCGTACTCCGCAGAGAGGAGCAGGCAGCATGAAGCGAGTCGATATCTGGCAGTTTCTCCCCTTAATAACTAGGAAGTAAAGAGTTCACTACAAAATGTAGAGCGTTGTACTTTGGCCATGTCTGACCAGAAGCAGGCCAGGGGATGAATAATAGATGTAGCTGAAGATTTCAACCCGAGGAAATTTTGTTTTTCCTCTAACTGCAGGAAAGAGACAGAGAGGTGCAGATGAACTCGAGCTGGGAGAGAAATACAACATTTACATTCAGGAACAGGTAAAACACGAGCGTGCAGATCATATATTCATGCAGGGAGAGGTTTCTGGTTTCATCAACATTCACTCTAACTAAATGATGTCTTCATGTCATCTGTACGCATTTGCACGAGCTGAAATAATGATCTGACTTTGACTGAATAAATAAAAGATCAACAAAGATCTAAAGAAATCCTCCAACATTTGCCAGAACTCGGTTTTTCAGTTTGAGCTGAGGTGGACTGTACAGGGCGGTGATGTCCAGAAATTCAATGTTTGAAACATGAAAGATTAAATACTCTTCAACTCATATTAGTGAGTTGAAGTTGAATTAATAAGTTTATCTTCCTCCAAGTTGGTGATATTTCCTGGAAACAAGTGTGTATATATGTTTGTTTTTCCTGCAGGTGTACCTGGTTGGCCTTCACATTTATTTTTCCTGCAGCTCAGATATTTTCCTTGTTTGGGGAGTGGGATCTGGTTCTCATGTTTTAAGTCATTGTTTCCCCCAAATTGAGTCTCTTTTTCTTGGTTAGGTGGAGCCACACAATCCTCTGAATCATAATTCGTCACTTAGCTACCTTCTTCTGATAAATCCAGATTTCAGTAGAGGGAGGTGAGAAGTTTCAAGAAGAGTCGAGATGCTTTATCTAGAGCATGGTAAATTCTATAGAGGCAAAGAAGACAAAAGGCTCAACTGGCTTCAACAGAAACGATGCAAAGCAAGGCTTGACACAAACTTTTTTCACAAGGAGCACACAAAGAACTTTAGGGGCACAATAAAAATTTATTTCTTATTGGTCAACATTAGTACTATTATTTGAAATCAATTTTAGGTCAGTTGCTCATGTGACATGGAAGCTATTGAAGACAATGTTCAAAATTTTCCTTTAAATTTAACACAAAAAATTTATTAGGGAAATAAAGAGCTGTGTCTCAGGGCTCTATTTTCATGCCTTGCCGGCGGTGTGGCACAGGCCTGCGCTGAAAGCTGACCAGGTTTGAATCAGCGAGCTTCCAGTGCACTTTCTACGCCGCCAGTGAGCACTTAAATGTCACTGCACCAGCTGATTCTGTCGACACCTCCCCCTACTGCACCACCATGCCCAGCTTGGCGGACCTCGGTGCGCCTCAGTCTACGAAAATGCCAAACTGGCTGTGCACCGGGCTCCGCCAGACCAAAATACAAATACGCAGGGTGTGCCACAGTCCGCCATGCCGCCGGCGGGCACGAAAATAGAGCCCTCATTGTCCGATTTTAGTACTTTTATTTGAAATCAATTTTAGGTCAATTGGTCATGTGACATTACGCTATTAAAGGAAAACAGCCTTTTCTGAGAACATCAACTGGTACTTTATTGATGGTCCCTTATTCAACACTTGACGTTGACAGTGAGGACGCCGAGTAGATTTGACCGCGTTGCTGTTGCCATTCCGGGTTATAGAGAGTGAGAAGACACCGTTAGATCCACAGTGAAAGTCCCTCAATTATCCAACCGAAAACTAACTTCACCGTATTTACATAAAAAAAACATTTGTTGCCTTGGCTGATTTTTTTGTGCAAACATGTGCCCCTAAACACATTTTACGATTCGCACACGTCTATTTTTAGTCACAAATGCGAGTGAAACGGACGCACTGTGGAGCCCTGCAAAGTCCAAAACAGATACAACAACAGAGACATGCTGCAAATAAAGAAATGATGCAAAGACCAAAATACGGTTCCAAGTAGTGCTGCCCCCTACAGGCCTGCAGCATCTTCACAGGGTTGGATTTGTAAAGAGCTTCTCTCTGCGTTGTTGAGTTTTTAAATTTGCATTCTCACTCCATTAAAATCTTTTTTTGCCAATGATACCTCCTCAACCTTGCACTGAACAATTCCCACTGGAAACAGCTTTAATTTGAATTTGCAAAATAATCTGAGTATGAAAATAAATCAGGTGAATGATAGAGGATGGATTAAAGAGACATGATCAAACGCCAGCAGCCCGGTTTGCAGTTACCATGATTATGTTCCATCCTAGCGATCTGTTGGTATGTCAGGTCTGTACACTCATAAACAGCGCTCCATGTTTACATCCAAAGGCTCTGTTACATCAGCTGACAGGCTACTTATTGCCTCCATCCGTGCAGGCTCTAATTATTGCTGTGCAAGGTAACGTACTGGCCATTTCCATTATGTTGTCAGGATGTTTTGACAGCTGCTGGTTCCTCGCTCTGCAGTCAACTCGTGAATGAAGGTGGTGGTGGTGAGGAACTATTGACATTATGTGGGGTTTGTTGATGCCATGTTATTTCCCCGGAGGCTCCTCCTCGCTCTGTTTTCTTTGCAGCAAACCGAGCGAGGAGATTGAGGGTCTTCTGACATCACCGATACCTCCTGACATGGACTGAGCGTGCTGACATTTATTGAGGAAAAGACGGAGAGAAGAAGACACTGGTAGGAGGAAGGAGGTTCAGTTTGTACGTGCGTTAATCTTTCATCAGTCTTCAAGCAGAAAAAGGAGCCTGAGGAGCCCTAATGTTCCAGAGCTGTGTCCATAAAGCTCTAAACATTTGAAGTTCTCGCTTTCATGCAAAGAGAATATTTAATCGGCGTACACTGCTGGATGATGGTGGTGGGGGAAAAGCCCGCTGCAGCTCTCAGGGTGAGACCAGATTTCTCTTGTGAGGAGGATGAATGTTTTTGCTCTCCATCTTGAGTTTTTCCTGTTTTTTTTCTCCTTTGGTCCTGGTGTGTTGATGGTTTTTCTAACTGCAAACACACTTGAGTGATTCACTTGAGCTTACAGAAGCTTCATCTATAAATACTGCGGAGGAGCAGATCAGGAAACGTAGATACAGTCGGATAAAGCCCCTCTAAGCTGTAAGGTCAGGATGGAGGTGTTTTTTCCTCTCTTAGACTCTCTGTATTCGTCTGTTTCTGTAAAAATATCTTTGCTTTTCTTTGTTTGTTTAACAGAGGATGTGGTCAATACTCCAGCTGTGAACAAAGACAATATAAAATGACTGAACTAGTAAATGCATCAGCTGGAATAATATCGAACAGCGTGAGATTTACATGAATAAATGTGGATCCGTAAAGGGCATGCACAGAATAAATGCTGCTGCACTGATTAAGTTTTGATTTTTTACATGATGCAGCTGAAGAAGACCTGTCATGATGAATCCAATAAAGGTAACCAGGACGTAGGTCACCGGGGCCTCCTGCCTCCACCCATGGGGCCCAGCCGAGCGCACCATCCATAGAGGAGGCTAAAAGGGTCAGGTGTGAGTTAGAGGGATATTCCAGTGTAAAATTAAGTTAGGGTCAAACACACCGTAACGCAGAGTTAGACACCCCGTCGAGAGATGAATGTTGCCAACCGCTTGATTCTCTAGTTAAACCAACTTTAGTAACGACCACAGGATAGCAACACAGAGAGCCATGCGCTTGACCAAAACGCCACTCTATAGCCACAAATAATGCTCAGAACAGCACCTAACTTCATCAACAGGACATATAGGGTCACAGACATAGTACTAGACACCAAACATCTTTTTAACTTTGACTCATTTCTTTAGCAAAGAGACTAAACACAACTCACCTACTCTCTTCCAGCAGCTGTTTGTTTGTAGCGGGAACTCAGGCCAGTCCATTGAGGACTGCTGCGGGGTGCCGCAGCTCAAGGAAGAACATTTATGATCATTACTTTATCATTTCCTTGAGGCAATAATCATCATATCAATCATTTGATCTGAAGACGCTGTAGTTCTTAGCGTCTCGGTCTGATTGTATTTCCATAAATGTTCTTCCTTGAGCTGCGTCACCCCTACACACCAACTTTTATTTATTTAATTTTCTGACACCGAATATACCGATATGGACAAAATGATGGTTATTGTTGTAAATTTCGGTATCAGTAAATTGTCGGTTTATCACCCAGCCCTAGATTAAATGACATACGAGTAAATTCTGGTTTTTGCCTCCATGCCAGACTTGTACACTCTATACTTCTACAATACTCCACCTAAACATGTCTGGTTTTTGGACAAAAGCACAACCCGACCACTATCTTGATTTTGCCCTCAGATGACAGTGCGGCGTTACCGTGACGTCGCCCTTTAAAGGGTTTATATAAGGTGTTCTCTTCCACGCTTTCTTTGTTCACCTGAATCCTAAAATTAGTCACTTTGCAGCTCATTGGTCACTTCAGCGAGGAGCGCTAATGTACCTTTACATCACGGAACAGACGTGCAGCGTTAATTTGCGGGCTATTTTTTAACCGTGCATCACAAGAGGCCTTCACACACACACACATCCTACACACTCACAGGCACTCTTAAAGCCCATGGGAGATGAAAATAGTCAAGCAAAGATATAAATGCAATCCATTATTTATGATGTATCTGAGAGCTGTAGCAGGGAGGGAAAAGAGCTGTTTTTAGGTCAGCGTGTGGAATCCATTCTCACCGTGTAGAATCACAAAAAGCAGCAAAATAGTCGAATCCCACTCGTCCCTAAGCAGAGAGAGAGACACTAGAATCCCATTTCTTAAGAGCGAGCGTGTTCTGGCTTTACAAGTACCAGCCCAGTCCATTACCCAGCCTCTGAGTGTCGACATTTATGGCACAGAGAGATGCAGGGAGCTGCTTATTGGCACCATAAAACACCATCACTGTCACATTGATCCAGTTTTATCCACTGGATGACTGATCCGGGCACCGGCAGCCTCCATCAATCAGAGACCCGGGGCCCGCAGAGAGGTCATCACCGCCCGCAAAAAAAGACGCATTCAAATGTTTTCAAGTGAACAGACTGCAGCTTTCTGCAGCAGATGTTCTCAGAGTAGGATCTTCTGGAATATTTATTTATCTGCTGAAGGTTAACTGTTAATTTATGCTCTTTTACAGCCTGGCTCCAGCAGCAGGGAGCGGCTCCACTGGTGTACTTCAGCTTTAACTGTCTTTGCTCCACGGCTTTTAAAGGCCTGCTGCAAAGTTTCAACTCGCATCTGTAACCTCTGCGTTATTTACCGCTCATTTACTCCCACCCTGCTTTGCCAAGAAAATCAAAGTTTCTAACCGGCACCCGGCTTTAAGGATCTGCAAAGTTCCAAAAAGGGTGCAGGAACAGCGAGACAAAAGGATTTCCACACAGAGCGGGTCAGATTTCTAACTGGGGTCCTGCAGTGGAGGTTTTTCCTCCAGTCCAGAACAACTTTAAATGCATAGACTTTTTAATGGTCCGCTGTCATCCCCCCTCTCTCTCTCTCTCTCTCTCTCTCTGCTTTTTTCTCTCCTTTCATTTCCTTCCCTCGACCCGAGATAACTCTGTGGTCAAATGCAGAAGCTCTCTGCACCTTGCGAGGGGATTTTTCTAACCCCTACTTTCTCAGACACTTCAGAAAAACGATTAATCAAACAACTACAGTGTGCACGAATCAGCTTGTCGAGGCTCCGGTTAAACTGGAACTGAAATTCTCTACATGTCTGAGACCTTCTTGATACGCATGCATGTGTCGAAATCCTCCTATGACGGGAGTATGTGAGGGGGACCTCCCACTA